TGGCTTTTTCCTAGCACGACTCTGTCCCTATATTGAGATATTTCAAATCAAAAAGAAAACTAATAAATTGGAACCCATTTGGTGAGGTGTTGACAATTAAGTTCTCAAAACACCAAGGATGTTATGGTTGGATGATCAACGTTTGGTGCAGCCGACCCGTTTAATTGCATTACTGTAATATTGAATCGCCACTCAAATGCACTCAAACTGTTTTTTTTTTTTGCCACCGGGATCTTCCTTAAACTCAGTGTTGTGTGTGTGTGTGTGCCGCTGTGTGTTTTTTTCACCCAACATAATAACATGTTCCAAATACTCTTTTAAAAAAAGAACCAGGCTCACTTAGTGTTTTTTTTCAAAATATAAAATCACTGCACTGTTTATAAGCGTAGTACACCTACTGCTGCCAAAGAATCCAGATATTTTTGTTGATTTTCTAATTCTTTTAATAAAGACCTCATTATTTTATCTCAGCCTCAATTTGTTCTTATTTTGTTTTATTTTCAATTTTCAGCCTCGGTGTTCTTATAAAAAAAAAACTGAGTTTAGTGCGGCCTACTCTTCTATCCAGTCATGACAATCACACGAAATTCGACAACAGCAGCCTCCCAGGGGCGTATCTATGGGTGCGGGGAGCGCACGTCCCTTCAAAAATGACATGTTCCCCCCTCCCCAGTCTTCGCCCTCCCCGAAAAAACGGTGAAGTAATTAAAAATCATCTAAAGTCGACTTATTTTGCGAATTCGAGTCCCCGTCCCCCACCCCCACTTTTCACCTTCGCGCCTCCCAACAGCCCCTACCCTGCTAGGCTAGGCCTAGTAGCAGGCTAGAGATTCTTTGGCTATGGTCTTATGCTAAATACCAAAAAAAAAATCATAAAAATATTTTTTGAAATTATTAACTTGCCCATTTTGAAGTAGATTAGAGCAGGGAGTTGTAACTCCCCGATTAGAGGATCGAATTATCCAATCATAGAACTCCATGATTGATGACGCATTCCTCCTGAACCTCGTTTTTGGATCGATCATCGCTAACTGTTTTAACGTAGTTCAAAGGTTATTATAATTCCCTGCATAAAAAAAGAGTAAAGATGGAAGAAATTGGTATAGTTGTTTCACCGGATAAGGTAATATTATGAGGCTTAAATTTCATGCAGTGTAGTTACAAAAATCCACTATTAAATTTTAGATTATTCAAATGTGTTAAAATATTGAGTTTTACCGGAAAATGATCTGAATTGTTGAGGTTTTTACGTGACCCAGCCTGGCAGTGACACTTTTTGCTGTGTCACAAAAACATGCGGAACATTATTCTCTTTCGCCGGCCGTGCAGACCATCCCTCGAACGCGATCTAGGCCTATGCCCTACCTAGCCTAGCTAGCTGTGCTTCAGACTAAAGTGTTAGCCTAAGCCTACTGTAGCCTAGGCAGGCCTACACCTAATTTGGGAGGTGGCCTAATTAGGGCCTAGTCTCCAATGCTAATTCAATTGAATCCTAAACTTCACCTAGGCCTAGCCATTATTTTAATATTGAAAAGGAATGGTGCGGTGGTGACACCGTCAATAACAAAGAGGCACAACACAGACAGTTGGCACATCACAAATTTAGACCTAGGGCCTAAGCTTAGGCCACAGTTTTTGCTTAAATTATGTCATTTTACTACATAGTACCACCATCACCATGGATTTTACACAACACAGGCCTACCTACTACTACTACAAATACTAGCGAATTTCCAAGCAATTTTCAGTCACTTTTTCATAACTTTACAACACGATTATTAAATTAGTTGTACCGGCCAAACTGAGTTGGCGCATAAGAGATATTACTGCAAATATACAATTTGTTTTAAAGTACAGTATGATAACTTTTTCCTTACAGGAAGATACCTCTAGTATTAGTACAGACACCAGGCCAAGTACTAGCATTAAAGGAAGTGGTCTAGAAGACTTAGATACGGATGACCTTTACACACGATTTAAGGTACTGTAGTTTTTCTTACACCGTTTATTTGTATTATTATGTTCATATTAAATGTTAAGCCAATGTTATATATTTTAATGATGGTGTTAAAATAATTGAACTCTTAATTTAATTACCCTTTTTTTAATTACCAAAATGCTGTATAAATAATGGATTTGTCATTCCAAAAAACAGAGTGGGATGAGTGACATTTATTTTTACCAAAATCAAAAGATGCTTTGAAACTACAGTACTGTACATCCACTCTATCAAGGTTTACAGATACCAGTGATTGCCCATTTGGGTGTGATATGACATCATCATGTCATTTTATAGGCAGGTCACATTATTTGCAGCATAAAGCATGGTAGTGGTTGTGTGGAGAGAAATATATTAAATTTTAAGGCTTTATGATATTTTGTGAATACAAGTCACCCTCTAATTAAAGACCACCTCCAATTAAAAACACTTTTCTGTGGTCCCAAATTAACAAATTAGAGATAAAAGCTGCTAAGGACCATGGAAAACCTAGTCCCAAAAGTGGTCTTTGATTGAAGGGAGACCTGTATTATTTATTTTCCATCCTGACTTGAAAGTTAAATTTCAAATTTCAGAAATTACAACGTCAGTTAGAGTTCTTAGAAGTCCAGGAGGAGTACATAAAGGATGAACAGAAGAATCTCCGCAAGGAATTGCTACATGCACAAGAGGAAGTGAAGAGGATCCAGAGTGTTCCGTTGGTTATTGGTCAATTCCTAGAAGCAGTAGACCAGCATACAGGCATTGTGGGCTCTACAACAGGTACTTACATAATTTTCTAATTTATGAAGCTTGTATTAAAGTATATAAAGAATGTATATAAGTATATAATGAAATTGGAATTTATGGCAGGGCTGTCTGGGAACCTGCAGCAGTGTCAGTACAGCGCCAATGTAACTGGTATATTGTCCATTATTCTGCCTAACTGTCATGTAAACACTATTTTGTGGTATATACGTCCAACCCCTAGAAGCCGAACCCCTAGAAGCCGATAGCAGTCCTGTATGCATGTAAACAAATAGGAGCAGGTGACTAAAGTAAAATAGTTTCCTGTGGGTAACCACACGTAGATTTGCTTAGAAACTCAAGATTTTACTTAGAATGCTTAGAATCTAATCTACACTTTGCATACCAACAGGGTCTAACTACTATGTGCGAATCTTAAGTACAATAGATCGTGAACTATTGAAGCCTAGTGCGTCCGTTGCATTACACAAACACAGCAACGCATTGGTGGACGTCCTGCCTCCAGAAGCTGATAGCAGTATATCAATGCTTGGTGCAGGTTGGTAGAATATAATTTGCCTAATAGTAATACTAAATCTTATTTAAGCTTTTATTATAATATGGTAGCAGTGTCTGTTGACAGCTTGAATGAATGATTTGAATTATATAATGTATTTTATATAAAGTACAGTAGTTCTTTTTTAAACAAAGTTACTAAATGCACTACAAAAATCATAAATCTTTATAAAGTTCTGTCTGCAATTATATATGTCTAGATGAAATATCTCATACACTGTTCCTATATATGGGGATGTCATCACATCATATATGGGCATGATAGTATCATTTCACACCCATGTATGTCATCAGGAATTTGTCACATAAAACTAGTGTGGACAGAGCTCTCTGGATATGACAATATTTGATGTCACATTCCTGATAATGCTATTTTTTTTCTGTAGATGAAAAGCCTGATGTAGCCTATGCAGATATTGGTGGTATGGACATGCAGAAGCAGGAGATACGAGAAGCTGTGGAGCTACCCCTAACACACTTTGACCTCTACCAGCAAATAGGCATTGACCCGCCACGAGGTGTGCTCATGTACGGTCCGCCTGGATGTGGAAAGACTATGTTAGCTAAAGCAGTTGCCCACCACACGACAGGTAATTCTAAGGAAAGGAAGCTTCCATGAGTACCTATAACATTACCAGCATTTGATCTATCATTTGTTTTACGTTCAATAATAAAAATTATTTTATTTTTCTATTTTAAGCATCATTTATTCGAGTTGTTGGGTCCGAGTTCGTTCAAAAGTATCTAGGAGAAGGTCCACGTATGGTGCGCGATGTATTCCGCCTTGCACGTGAGAATGCTCCAGCTATTATCTTCATTGATGAAATCGATGCCATAGCTACAAAGAGATTTGATGCACAAACTGGAGGTAAATGGCAAACCTTAAAAACTCATTATTAACTTTACTATCAAAACAATACTAATCACCAAGTTGCATATTAATAATAATGTTTAAAGACATAATTTTAATAGTTTTTTTTATTTTTTGCGCCTAGCTGACAGGGAGGTTCAAAGAATTTTGCTGGAGTTGCTGAACCAAATGGATGGCTTTGACCAAACTGTCAATGTTAAGGTAATCTATCTACAAATACATTGGTAACCGTACAAAGCCAAAACGTTGAAAGACAAAGGGAGTGGGGGTGGGTTTTTCAGAGAAGAAACAAATAATAGGCTCATTTATCCTACACTACTGTATTTTTACTGAGTTAACTTTAAGCTCTAATGATTTGCACTTGTATACAGGTTATTATGGCCACTAACAGAGCAGATACACTTGACCCCGCATTACTACGTCCAGGTCGTTTGGATAGAAAGATTGAGTTCCCAATGCCAGACCGCCGTCAGAAGCGCCTCATCTTCAGCACGATTTGCGGAAAAATGAATCTATCAGACGAAGTGGACTTGGAAGATTGTATCCTTTATTTTATTTATTTGCAATTTAATAATTACATAATAATTTTAAAACTATTGTTAAGATTATATCATTTTTAATCTTGATGCTTCTGTGTTAGTTATTTTCTTGACTAAAGAATTAACAGATGTTGCAAGACCTGACAAGATATCTGGTGCTGATATCAATGCCATTTGTCAAGAGGTATTCATTTTAATCACTTTACTGTTTTAGCCTCGTCAATAATATACAGTGGCATATCTAGGGGTGCCCGTTCCTCCCCCCCCCAATTGAAGATGTCCAAAGCAAAAAAATCACTGCTTATCACCTTATTTTGCAACCTAGAGCCCTCACTTAATTATCAAGACCCCTGTTACAAGGCTCTTAGATAATATATGTTTGTACAGTATAGCACTTACTTGTTAAGTCAAAAAAATTCAGATTAGGCTCCTTGGGGACCCCAAATGGCCACAGTGCAGCGCCTACATTTGCAGGTTTCCAACTTGGTCCCTCTTGTCAAATCCTAACTCTACAAAGGTTTCGGATAGTGGTGTTGTGGACTCTACTTTGATATTGAATCTGGATTGAATTGAAGCCTAGTGTAGTACTAACTGCATGTGTAGCTTAATGCTAAAGTACTTGCCTTCTAATTTCAGGATTCAATACTTGTAAAAACCAGTATTTTTTTTCTTTCCACTAAAACATCTCCACTCCCTAAGCTTTATAGACTGTTTAGAGAGCATTGTTCATCCTGTAATTGACGAGTTTACTTGGAGGAAATAAAATAAATTTACTAATTTCCTGTTCATAATTAATTCAGCATGATCCTATCAATGTGTGAAAGGATTTTAAAATAAGGTCTGGCGCTTGTTAGCTATCAATAATTTTTCTTTTCTAAATTCCAGGCTGGTATGCGGGCTGTCAGAGAAAACCGTTATGTTATATTGGCTAAAGATTTTGAGAAAGGCTACAAAAACAACATTAAGAAAGATGAATCTGAACATGAATTCTACAAGTAAATTTATACATATGGCTGATAAATTAATGTCGCCTTTCAAAGCATTGTCAGTTTGTATACCATACTGATAATGATGAAATATAATGGTGAAAAATAAATTGCAAAATTAAGGTTGATTATGTGCAAAATAATACAGCCTTATTGAGCATCTCAAGTATAATAGCACCAACTGATAAGGTTACTACAACAAAATAGAGCTAAAACTATGTACCCCGTGTTCCAAAAACATCTCTAACATGTTTGTAAAGGTATCTGTAAAAAAAGTGTTTGATCAAGGTATTTTCTGATCAGATCAGCAACCTTGTAGCGATCTAATCAAGTTTCAGTGAATAAAAATATAATGAATATTATGTTGTTTTCTTAGTAATATGTGTATTTGAGTTGTGCCTCTTAACCTCAAATAAGATCTGGGCAAAGGGAGATTAGAATTTAGGTTAGAATTGAGCCAATTGATGATTAGTGAAAGTTTAGGGAAGTTGGTGAGAGTTTATTCTACAAGTTCCAATCGTTAGAAGAAGAATGAAAGATGTGTGCAAGGTGAGGAAACAATAGAGATGATTACAAGACCAAGGATGTAATGGCATCACATAGAGGCCACTGTGTATGCAAAGACAGTTTTAAATTCCACAACGTGGTTTATGTCAAATCTATGTTGTTGAGAGTCTGTTTTGGGGTCATATTACTATTGAAGCTCATTTCAGCCCTCCCGCTGAAACACAAGGAGAGAGACAACTTTTACTTAAAAGTTATTAATATATGCAATATAACATTTAATTTTTTATATCCACCTTCAGCATTGTGTGTGTTCAGACTCACTGATCTTCTGAGGTCTACTGGGAATTGTATACCACTTAGATTATTCTCGAAACATTTTACAATTAGGAAAAAAAAAGAAAAAAGTACAGCTTCTCTGTATGTCGGTATTTATTCACATCAGCTCACATTTGTATACATTTACACCAGGGGTGGCGCCAGGATTTGCACCGGGGGGGGGGGCATTTCCCGGACGAAAGCAAAGTGGGCGTGGTCAAGATTCAATTAAAAGGAATTTAGACAATTTAGGGGTTTCAAAGGCTTATTTTATCGATTTTAGAGTCCATTAATATGTAGAAAATACATATAATTTTTTTCCCTGAACGCATTGTGCTTTTTCTCCCCGACGGGGGGAGGGCGGCACTCCTGATTTAGACCACAAGAGATAAATTATATACAGTAATTACATACAAAACATCGGTTAGCACAGATGTTCGAACAAGGTGATTCAGTATCAAGTTCAAAATCTAAATAATATTATCTACAACATAGCTTTGCTTTGGCCTCTTGTCAGAACTAACACTCTCTAAAGACATGAACATTATTTTGAAATGATTGACCCATTACTCAATAAAGCTACACACTCAACAAAACAAGGTGCTTTTCTTATCAATGTTGTTCCAGGTGATTTAACATATTAAACATTCTGAACAAAGTAGGCCCAATTGTTTAAAACTAATGGACGGATTTTTCATCAGCATCTGTTAAAATGTAATAAATTTTTCTCTTACAAAAATAACAAGATAATTTAAATAATATATTTATTAAAAAAATGTTGCAATTACAATGTCATATAAAATATTTTAAATAAATTTCCAATAAATTATTATTTTTTTATTGAAATCAACCACTTAACAATGAATATATATATTTCCATTATAATTTTTTTTGTGCATGGAAGAAAATAAATGTTCTTCAAGAAAAGAGAATTACAAGAAAAACCAAAAAGAGCAAGTAATTATCAAACAAAAACAAATGACTTGAAGTTGTGTACAATATGCTGATTACATATCATTTTTACATATAGCTTGCTATGTTATATACACAGATAAAATATCAATATTTATATACACACACATTCAACATCCAGTATTGTACCCCTTTTTCAAAAATGAAATATTCTGCATGATGCAGTGTTTAGGAATTTAGAAGCACTTAGATTTAGAAGAATATTTATAAAGATTTTCCAAAAAAACTGTACCATATTTGGTGTGTCTGAATTCTAATACTGAGGCACTACTTTGGAAGTGATGTTAGTTTAGTCTTCATCACCAGAGATTGATAACCTGTACTTGTGTTAATTGGCCCACATAAACAGACTGATTTTTTCTGCACTGTGGTGTTTCTCTCTTCAATTTGCTATCAGTATTCTCCTTTGCCTCAAAAATGAATATCTTTTTCATTATAATTGGTTTGTACTGTACATGAAAGAAAATAAATGTTCTTTAAGAAAAGAGAATTATATGAGAAAAACTTTAGAAGCACTTGGATTTTCTTTTCTAAAAGACTGTGATTTTAGAAAAAAATTTATATAAAGATTTTTCATAGATTGTACTACTTTGGTGTATATATGAATTCTAATATTGAGGCTCTACTTTGGAAGTGATATTAGGATAGTCTTCATCGCCAGAGAAATCAATATCTTGTACCTGATTTGATTGGCCTACATTAACAGACTGATTTATGTCTCCACTGTGGTGTTCCACTCTCTTTAACTTGCTATCAGTACCATTTGCTTTCTCTGATTCCCCCTGCGACTTCATACTTACTGCTGACCCTCGACTTTTGCCACTTTCACTTTTCCGAGCTGATTTAACACTTGGTTGCGATCCTTCAACCATTCTACCTGATTTATTGCTTGCCCTTGATTCACTCGTAAATTGTGATCTTGTAGACTTTGCTGACTGGACACTCCCTTGAGAGGCACTCTTGTGAAATGTTGCAGCCTTTGCTGACCGCACACTAAATTGAGAACCACTTTTGCCTTGTGATTTAGAATTAGACTTTGTTGACTTTTGAGAGTAAACACTTTGAGCAGATTTGTAAGAGGTAACTGTCTTTTGTGACTTGTCAGACTTGACTGACTGTGAACTTTTGCGCAAGTTTCCTTCTCTTTGACTTCTCTCTATTTGGACAGGATCACTGTAGGTCTGCTGAGCCGATTTCAAAGATGTTCTTGACTGCTGTGAACTGCGACCTGCATTAGAACTTTGATCTTCCTTTTTATCTTCTTCATTGGCTACAGACTTTTTCTTTACAATTTTTGATCCATTCACATCCTTTTTAGTATCTCTGTCCTCTTCAAGTGATACTTTAGATGTTTTCACCTGATCCTCAGCTGAACCAGACTTTTCCTTCTGTGATGTTTTTTCAATGTCACCCTCAGACCTCACCGAGTCTCCGGAGAGAAATTGTTTGTTGTCAGAATCACCTGTACCCTTATTGCCATCGGAAACAACGGATTCATTCTCCTTTACTTCTGGAGATGAAACTTGTGATTTTGTAGAGTGAGGTCTAATACCTTTTTTGATCTCATCTTCATATTCACTATTCAAATTATCTTTTTCTACCACTGGTTCTCTTTCAGAAATCGATGTTCTTGAATCTGTTCTGACATTAGTTGTCTCTTCAAAACCATTTCCTAAACTTTTCTCATCTTCTTGCTTCAGGGAAATCTTTGATGAACTCTCTTTATCACTGGCTATTGCTTCTATGTTATCATTTAACTTTATTTTGCTGTCTTTGGAATTTAAAGATGGTATTGATGAAGACATCTTTTCCTCTTGCTCTAGCTTTTGATCTGCAGGCCCATCTACATGTGAGGAGGCACTATGAATTGACTGTTTATCTGCATTTTGAATATTGATGGAAGATTTTACTTTACTGTCTTTTGACATTAGAGATGTCTTTGATGAGGTCAGCTTGCCATCTTGTTCATCATCTGCTGGTTCATCTTCTGAAGAAGCATCATTCCCAGATTTATTGTGATCCATCTTTTCTGATTGGCTATGATGATTATAACTGTTTCTACTATCGACAGTCCTTCCTGAGCTCTCACTAGACGATGGAGATGAACTCTGTGATGGTTCATTATCAAATTCATCCTCATCACCTTTTCCATCCCTTCCATAGTCTTCATATTTTTCTTTCATTTCATCAATCTTATACATTTCTTTTTCAATTTCATTTCTATCAGCACCTGATGAAAGTATACTTTCAGATGACCTCGCAGTTGGATGTCTGCTGGCATTCTGGTTCTCATTATGTTGGATCAATTCTTGTTTCTTCGCCAACATAGATGGCATACGATAATCAAACTCTGTTGTCTGATGGCGCTCAATATCCAACTGCTCTGAACGTGCTGTCAAATTTAGTTTCAGCTCATCTTCATTTAACTCTGGTTCTTCAGCAATATCTACAGTAAGCTTCTTCTGAGCAGTGTAATTTCGCAGTGATTGCCTAGACAAGATGGAACGGCGCGAGAGAGATTCTCGTTGATCTTTCATATCAACATCGGACATGTTGTCAGATGCCTCTTCATCTAGTATTGCTTGCTTAGCTGCCTCTGGTGTATCTACATGATCATCATGAGCTGCTGCTGTAACCTCTCTTTTAGCAACTTTGAATTGTGAAGATTTTCTAATGGCTCCTTCAGGAATACCTAGAAAAAAAAATACATAAAACAAACTGTTAACAAAATGTAGCGTTTTAAGTAAGTAACAAAAAAACTCCTTTAATCATGTTAGTCGGTGGTGTGAGCAACGATAGAGTGAACTGAGTAAGAAGTAAAAAAAAACCCAAAAAACACCACCACACCTTGATCAAGTAGAAGAGCGGTTCCTGCCATCACCCACTGCTCCAGTGGCACAGGGCACCTTAGCTTCAGAGTGAATGCACAAAATTGCCTTGACTGGTTCATAAACACAGGACAATCATACAACCAGTACTCATTGTCCTCTGCATCAGTATGTTCACTGGTTCCCCTGACAACAGGATAGATGTACACGCTAGGCATAAGCGACAGTGAAGTTCTGTGAAGATACACATTAATATTAGTTTTTATTTGTTTTTTCATGATAAAAATTGTAATATAAAATATGTTATGCTGAACACTGTTCTGTTAAAATTGTATATAAAATTATCTAAATGATGGAAAAACAATTCTAAGAAATATTTATGAGGTAGAGTATTATTATTTGTCTAACAAAAAAAGTAAATGAGGAAGACAGCAGATACTGAAGTGGTCCATTTTATTATTTTCATGTGTAAAACAAGAAATCAAGTTGAAAAGTTACCATTTTGGAAACTTTAGGAATTTCTTTTAACCCACCTTGCTTTATCTAAGCAACGATTATCCACATCCCATGATGCACCCTCAATGTATAGACCTTGTAAGTACATACCACCTTCATGGGCTATATCAAAGGAGTCTTCATCATAAGAAGTGGACACATGGCATTTCAAATCCACCTGTTAAAGACATATGAAGAAGCAGATTGACAGGTACCATCATATATTATTAGGGGTTTGCAATGAATGTATGTGTTCTCACATTTAAACAGTTAGCCACACTATATCATTATTATTAATCTATTGTCATACAATACAATCATGGATGAGTGACAATCTTAATCTGACATCTACTGTATTTTAAGTTACTAAATTTCAATAAAATCTCCATAAATATGGTCATACTATAATAAACATTTGGTACATTATTAACAGAGGAAATTAAAGCTTACCTCGGTTATAAGATGACCCTGCAGGACTGCCATCTCATGACGCAGTGCTGTAATGACTGCTGTAGGGTTGACCAAACCACCCATCCATACCGACACCAAGTGACCATGAGGATAGGTGGTACCTCTGCTACGTGTTGGCACTTTACCCTCTTTCACCCACGACTTCAGTTGACCATGTCGCTTTAACAAATCTACAAATAAACAGTATGGGCATTGGTACTATATTTGGAGCCTTAATGCGAACGGTTGTTCATCATAGGGTTGTTCACTTAGAATAGATCAAGATAGAAAAGAAAGATACCTTGAAGCCATGTAATGAGTGTGTGTTCAGTTGGTTGTCTATTAGGATGTAACCATGATAATGGCACATGTTCCTGTTGAAGAGCAGAAGCTGTCGATGCTAATTCTTCTGGGATGGCATGCTGGCCACCCAGTACATGCTGGTCAAGCTCATACAAAGTCTGTCTGATGTGGCAGATGACAGAATTCATCCAGTGACACTCCTGGTAAAAGAAACAAATATATACATCTCAATTTTTTCCAAACTAAAGAATAAAAACAAAATAAAGGATAACAATCATTATCATTGGTATTATTCTAGATGGATACTAAAACATAGGGTATTTTAAATATTTCTGCATATTGGGACAAACAACAGAAACGTGGCAATTCCACAAGAAAACACATACACATGGTGCTCTACATAAAACTAAGTTTGTAATGAGGCTTTGAGTGTGAAGTTGCTTTTAAGAAAAATCCAGTCACGTGACAGGAATTCAAACTAGAACACTGGCAAGCAATCAACATAACAACGAAGCTACCAAGAACACAAATCAACAGTCTGAGTAAGTATTAAATTAATCAGAATCAACAATCAATTAAAAAATATAAATAATCTACTATAAAGACAAATATATATTAGGTGTTTAACTGTTGACATATTTGTAACTTTTAACATATGGAGGCAAATAATTAAAATGACTAATATGTCATTTTTTGAATTTGTATTTTTTTTCTTTTATTGTAAGCCTATTATATTTAATTCATATCATAATATTATTCACCTGTAGTAAAACAAAGCCAACCGATTGTGGCATTTCCACACTGGCCATGCTCAATAAGCTCATGAGCGAGGGAGCATGGTATGGGAAGGAGTAGTGCTCCGCCTGGTTTACGATGTGTAATGGTAGTTCCCCTAGCTCCAGCAGTGCAGGCAGCTGTTCCACTACAATTGTCATGGAGTACTGTAGCCTTGTCATGTTCAGTTCATTGTGCATCTGGGCTAGGCTGCTGCTGATTGGTGCATGCTGAAGTTCATATAGTGTGTCAAGATTTTTCAGAAGCTCAGCCCCACTGCAAAGAGAAACAATATAATACATATAAATTACAATAACTGACATACTGTACAGTAAGTTGACCCTATTTTTATATTATAATGAGAACTGTGAAAGAACAATAGTACTCTTAAGAGAATAAAAACAATACCGCTAATTGATAATGATGAAAATAAAATGTTGGTAATATTTCAAGCAACTTAGATATTCAATTCAAGAATTTTTAATAATCATTAATTTTATAACTATTAAGAGCAAGTGAACACACTTATAGAAGATATAAAGAGGTGTGTTCAGTGGGTTGAATGATTTTTACTACTCAGTTTTATAATTGTGATGTAGTAGTGCCATATTAATGTTATGCATGAATAACAACGAAAATGTACCTTATTTGGTTGACTTGCTTTTTAACAGCACCATCTAAACAAAGTGCCATTACTGTTGTTCCTCCATCTGGCAGCTTTTCCGAAGCCCATCTCCCAAAGTCAGCAACATCGACATTAGCAGGGGGAGTAGGTAGATTGGTCGTACCAAGCTGAATGGAGCCTGATTGGTTCATGGTTGCCTTCAGAATGTGCATATTGAGTGTTGCCAGGTAACGTTGATCCCATTCATTTGTGACGATGTTGCCAAAAACAATCTAACAAGGACAATAAAAACAAAGTGAAATACAAAATCTTTCTACATATTCGTGTATAAGTGAGACTTTTGTTATACCTTGTTTCGCTAACTTATTTTTTTACAGATCGTCAGACGAGAGCGAAAAAAAAAAACAAATTAAATAAAATTTAGATTTCTTATGGTTTTGAAAATAAAAATCAAATTTTAATGTTGAATGTAAACAGTGTAGTAATGGGATGGTAAAATGCTTTAAATTTATATAATAAGTTAGAAATATACATATCTTATTTTTGGAGATTTTAAGGCAGTGGTGGGCATAATAAAAATGAAGAAAAACTTTTATTTTTATCAGAAATTTCTATTTTTTTTTGTGGCAGCTAATTGGCCAAAAATAAAATCTCATTTTTTAATTCCCAATAATCAATATTGGCAGGCGGCGGGTTCGCAAAACAAGGTATAACAATGTCTCGCCATTCCATAGATGGGTTTTAGGCCAAGTATTCGCAAAATAAACACACTAACGTCTGGCACTCACTGCAGCTAACTGTTGTTAGCCGATACGATACTATTGACAACGCAACAACACGTGTGCAACGGATCATTTTTGACGATTCGTTCAGACTACTACCGAGACTACTACCGCTTACAGGAAGCAGAGTAGGGTTCGTTAACCGACTGTCGTATGACTGTCCTACGACAAAGTAAGTTCTTGGCTTTACTCTTTTGATAAGGGTAAGTGAAGTTACTGTTTTTTGGTCTGAAAAAATATAAGACATAATACCTCTGTCAATAGATGGTGAAGAACAGGTAGAGAGGGCTCCCTCTCTGCAGCAGCTTGTAAGATAACCTGGACAGCTTCGTTGATGACTACTTCATTGAGGGCATACCACTGGGACATACCTCGGCTTCCGAACATCTGACGTGCAACAAGTATGCCATGAATGACGCAGACACCGTAGACTGTGTTACGTAGGACAGGTGACAGGTCTCTCACCTTGCCGAGATTGTTAGGATGGATGCTGTTCAAAGCAGAAACAAGAGCTGTGGAGAAAAGAGATTCATATTGAATGTATACTCTGATTATTATTAAAAAAAAATTATTATTATTATTATTATTTAGAAAAAACAGTTATTTTATAAATATGAATTAAAACTTACCAATCTTGAGAGAATCATTTATGCTGTTGTGGATAGGTTCCTCCACTTCAATAACAGCTTCACTATTATTTGTAACGCTCTCCTCAATCATATCCCAAGCCACCACACGCAGCGCCTGGATTAGGTTATCAGTCAGGCCTGTACATGGCTCACATGTCATCCAGACGCAGAAGCCTGCTGTGTGATCCTTATCGATCCTGTTAAGCCCTAAAGGCCCTGTGGAGAAAAGATGATAAATCAAAATGAGAGCTTACAATAGTCGGAAGTTGCCATTAAATCTGTCATTGTATCTGAGCCAATCACAAAGATGGAAAGCTCAAAACATCTACATTTTGAACAGGTATCTGGATATTAAATGCCAAGACACTCAATAAGAGAGAAAGACATCAAATAGTGGCTTAAGATTTCTATTACTAGGCCAAGAAATGGTGTGAGATATTCAATAAATACCAAAGCAACTGAAAAAGATCAGATTACCCAATGTTACCCTTCTCATCTAAGCTAAAGATGAAGGAAATTGTCACTCTTTTAAATCCAATTCAGAGAAACATTTATTCACATAATAGTGAACACTTAAATCCCATTTGTTACTTCTTAATGTATTGTAATGTTTGTGTATTTTGAATGAGTAAAAACAAAAACTAAAAGTAATATACAGACAAACTTACAATTAGATGAATGTTGGAATAAAGAAAAAAAGGAAACAAAAACAAACATAAGATTAATGTTAAGAATACCTCCTGTATTGCCAATACGGACAAGCTGTTGATGAAGCTGCATAATAAGCAGTTCAGAGGCCAGGTGCACATCTTGAACTATGACCCAGCTTCCCTTGTCAGCTGCACTGTCGATTGCCATGGAGATTTGTGTATCAGTGTTCTCCCCAACAATCACACAATCAATGTGTATGTTTTTATCCTGAAAAAAAATAATGGTTGATTTATAAAAAGTAATAGAATAATGGCTGACTGTGTTAAGAGAACAATCAAATAAAAATAGAATCTACCAAAAAAAGAAAAATGCAGTCAGGAATGAAAGTTGATTATAAAGAAAATATATAAAATACATTTTGGCACAAAAGGCTTCAATTCATATAAAATGATGAAAAATAAAAATATTTTCAATTAGAGAAATTTACAGTGAGACAGGTGCTCACCTGCGCATACGAGCAAAGTAGATCAACAGGATTGCGGTTCATTTTCAACGAGCTTGGAAGATGTTCATTGTTGGAACTTGGTGAGGGCGGCATCAACACAAGAACACCAAGCGACAGTGTTGCGCTTGACAGAATAGCAGGAACAGTACACTTGAAAGGTTTGACGCTGGTCAAATGCTTGCTGATGTAACGGGCGGTTATGATTGGCAAACGATCTGGACGAAGGAGTCTGATCAACAGAAGCTGATGGAAGTCATTCAGAGGGCTGAGGTCTGGACTATCAGTGTTATCTGGATCTCGTTGGTTTGCTAGAAAAAAATGAAAATACATTAAAATTTTTTTCAGTTTTTTACTACAATACTGTTGATTGAATATTATAAATTATAATAATTTGGAATAAAGTTGCAAAAGAGGAATAATGATACATTTCATTTAATCAGAAAAAAAAAATGCTGGTACAATCCCAGCCAGATGCTCTTCCTGTGGAACATATGATACAGCGCACCATCTACCAGAAAAAATGCTTAAGACAAGTGATATGTTGTAAGACATGGCCCATGTGCTTTTTTTAAAGAATACATCACAATATCATGTACATCGTAACAAAGAGCCAAGTTTGTCTCCAATTCCCAATTCATCACCTGCGCAGTAGTTGTCACAGGTCACTAGGGGTCAAACTAATTTACATGATCTCTATGTTGTTTGAAGGTTTGCATGGCGAATTAAAAATATATTAAATGCTTACAGTAAACCACACAGATAGTCCTGAAAACAACAGTTTTTATTAGAACTATCTACATGGTGTACCGCAAGCATTTAATATACGATCTCTATGGATATGAATCTAAAGTAATAATGTATTATTATTATCTATATAAAAAAATACCTTGCGTATCAGCAGATTCTGGTTTGATTGGAAGTGGCTCATCCTCTGGTGCATCAAGTTTATACCATTCTTCCCAGGCCTCTGGTTGTTCAGCTACATGCACACACAAGCTGTCAAGGGGGCCAGGCAGCACTGACAAGGCAAGCATGTCTTCCCACTTAGCTTCTGGTAGGAATGAAGGTTGCTTAGCCTTACAGTCAAAATCAGCTAAAGTTAGTTCCATTCCTCCAAAGCCTGGGTTACCTTCAAAGAGAGAAAGAAAGAAAAAAAAAATCAGCTGTGTAAATGTGGTGAGAAAACACTGGCCTTCTTCAAAATTCCATTAGCTTTTACTATACTTGAATACACTATGTTCCATTAGGAAACTTAACATTTAAGTTATATTTTCACCAAATATATAATGGGAGCTTTTTCATTAAATAAAGCCGGGCCCTCACTGCTTGGCGGTGGCCGTTCGTCGCGCGCATAACAAATTGTTTTCAATGACGATCCGTTCAGACTGACAATCAGCAGATGGCAACACGTCTTCTAGCGCTCACACAGAACGGAGTTGGATTCATCGTACGACGGTGGTACTACACAGAGAGTGTCTGGCTTAACTGAACTCGCAAGATAAAATACTGCACATTTCTTACTATTACCTTGTAAAAGAAGAGCTAACTCCTCTTCACTGAAATGATTAGCGCCCTCGTACTGAATATTGAGGCACAGCATAGTGGAGAACAGTAGTCTGTGTTCCTCGTATAATGACCTAAACAAAAACAAGCATGAACAAGCAAGAATCTTTAAAAAATGATATAAAGAGATATGATGACCAATTTTACTCTGGAAATCATAAAAATGATTACAGTCAATGGAAGTGTTTTACTCATGGAACTAGAATGTCTTCCATCAAAGTATGAATATGATTACCAATATTATCATATCATAATCTTTTATTACTGTTACTACTTTTATTATCATTATAGACTTACTGCCTGATATGTTGGAACAGTGTCTGATTTAGCGAGTCTACTAATTGTTTCACTTGATTGGCAGAGAAGCTGGTGTACTCCACCCCTGGTGTCGGGAATGTTGGAACTTCTGGAAGGATTAGGTCATCAGCTTTATCATCCAAAATATCTGGAGAAAAAAAATCTGAATGATCAATAACAGAATGGTATCATACAGTTACACTAGCAACATCTTAAATTTAATCACCAACTATAGAATTACACTTGGTGACTGAAGATGGCGGAGCCATGATAATAGGGAGCTTTCTCTTTTTGTGACGACATGACGCTGGAACGGAATCACTCAAGCATGACCATCCTACCTGGCGTCCTACGTCCTCTGCATACATAGATTTGGCCAAATTGCGTTCCAGAATCTACTCGAGGTGACCTTAACATTTCCGCATGCATAGATGACTTTTACTGACATCATTACGTTCTATGTCCTGCCGTCGTCGTGCAATCGAAAGCTCCTTAATGGCTCCAGAATCAACCACAACCACACGCACAGAATACATATATTTTTCTATGTTAATTCTTTGTTCAGATATATTTTGAGATCCCACCTGCTGGCTCTGCTTCTTCTGTTGTGCCCTCTTCTTCAGGTGCCATCTTCTCCGAGTATCTGGTACCAGCACTTAGTCCTCTGGTCATCATCCTGCTTCCAGCTCTACTGTACTCACTCATTAACTGATTCACAAATAAAGCAGAAAAAATTATAAACTCCCTAAATACAAGAAGACAGTGAGGGATACTACCCTTTGACACTAGTGGAACTAGTAACAGGTATCTTTAACACTGAAAATACTGATTGTTTAACTTGCCTAAGTATTCCAATAATTGAATGAGTATGTTCAGATGGCTATAGGAATATAGTTCCATGGCTTGTTGTAATGGATGATTCTATAATTTTTAAGTTATGTTCTAGCTAAAGAAATATTACCAATGGTAATCTATCTATTTTTGATGTAGTCCCTCAGGTGTGCTTGGAAGTGTTAATTTTTGAAAGCCTGCAACCAGTTCGTTTTTTGATGGTATACTGCATACAATCTTCCAGTTGGATGCAGAATGCAGACACTCTTGAATACCCACAAACACGTGTTGTCCCACAACATGTCTTTGTATACGTTCTTATATTTTTCGGGACCCTAGCAACAATATTTAAGAGGCTCAGCAGAAAGTCCATTGGACATTTGTGTCGCCATGCCTCAAAACAATTCACTCTCACTTCCATTGCCCCAATTTTCTTTTAACAGCTTACCTCTGTTGGTTTGTCATCAGATTCTTCCTGAGGTGGCTCTTCTCCAACAGCTCTGTCGAACATCAGGAGAAAGAATGGCAGAGAAAACTGGTACTCCCTCCTCAGGCCCTCCAAGCTTGACATGACAGAAAAGAGCATGGCACCACGCTTGGCTACTGGAGAGAGGTCATTGCAGATTTTGTCCAAATATTGCAGAACTTCCTCAGTTTCTAGTAATTTTTGATAGATCTGAAAATAATTGAGCATATAAAAAATATCAAATCATACATGTATCTACATTGTCTGATCTGAAATGTGAAATTGCATTTAAGCTTGAGTTTTTCAAATATTGTAATTGTAAAAAGTAAAACAAGATTTGATTTCAAAGTTCACTTACATCCTCCTTGGCTTCGACTATCAGGAACACCCTCTTGGCATGGGCTTTATCATCATGACCACTGCCTTCATTCTCAAGAACATTCAACAGTTCAGATTCTAAAACCTAAACAAAAAGAAGCATAGATATTATAAGATATTTCACTGAAAATTGGTTGATTTACACATGACTTACTGCTGTGCCCCACTGCTTCCTGAATTTAAAAAGCAATATCATCATTAAAATCACTATTAGCACCCTCTCAATGATGAATACTTTTCTAGATTGTACCACTTATAGCATATGAATGTGGTCTGTGACTACCCAACTGCAGTAAAGAGGGGCTTATTAGTAGCTTAATGTTTACATTATTCTACCACAACAGTGGCTAAAATGAACCATAGCTTCGGGGTAACCCTTACTCCAGTTTAAGTCATTCGAGAAGACTTGGTTCTACCAACTAAAAACTGGGCAATGTGCGTCTCTAACTAGCGAAGATGTTAAGATTGTAGTTAGCGGCCCCTGCCTTACTGTTTAGCCACTTGACTCACCTTCACTCACTACCACAATATTTAACCTCACCTGCAATGTGTCCCTATGCTGCTGTATGGTTTTCAGGACCTGCTTTCTCTCCATATACAGATGGGGCATGACACGCGCGAATGTTCGTGACAGTAACTCGTACTGCAGTGTCTCTGGTGTGCTGTTGTAGTTAATGATGGTCGTTGTGGAAGCAACTCTGGGACCAAACTTGGCACGGCTATTAGGGGTGGCAAGATGTAAACTGAATTTATTACTGCAAAGTAGCCTGCGTCCAGAATATTTAATCAACCGTGCATCTGTTGAAAAAAAATTAACCAAAGAATTAGGTGAATCTCTAGATGACCTGTTTTTCAGCAGAAATTAGCTTCATTCAGCTATGGAGCTATGAAGATGAAGTACTGCTTTGCATGTATAACCAGGCAGTGGAGGTGCCAAAAGGACAGGGGGGGGGGGGTTTCCAGGAACAATATTCTTCTATACAATTTTTGTCCTGCTAATAAAAATATGTCAATGCTGTTTCCATACCTTCAAGCTGACCTTTTTGACTTCCATGGTTGGCATGGTGAATAAGAGGGGTCACCATACTATCCAAGTTCTCCTCACAGTTCATCAATAGGAGTGGCATCCCTGTCAAGATTGTCTTCTCAATTTGAACAATGATGGATGGGTCAAACCTATACAAAAACACAACAGAAGTTAAAATAAAAATTCATTCTGTTAAAATGACAGCCCAACCAAAAAAAATATACAAAGAGAATAATAAAGATATGATATTTAATAAGAGGTTTTGCCGATATTGTCCTGTTGAACTTTCTGCAACACAAAGTAACGAATAGTCTTATAAGTTACCATACTTCAATAACTTTAAAACATTAATTACTGATGACTATGCTATAACAACTCGAAGAAATATAAGATTTTTAAAGTTATATACTGCACTAGGGGAACAACATTCAATATACAAATTAATGAACAGAAAAATTATCCAACAACACTTGTAAACTGGTACAGCTAAAGCCTGACATTAAAGAATAAGAAATTTAGTTACAAGAAGAAACACATTCATTAATGTAAACAAATACATTTATCAAGTTTCCTGTAAAATAACAGAATGACAATCAGATGTTAAGATGATACACACAAACACAGGATGGCATATAAGAGTTTGTCACTACGGAGTCATAATTAGATACAAAGTAAGTAACACACATTATGAACACTTTTACACCAGTAATAATACTACACCATGTATCCATGAAACATAACAAAATTAATATATTACATAAAGGTATAAGAAAACTTACGCTAGTTTATTTTCCATTCGGCTACATGATTGAAAAGCATGAAAGTTAAGTTGAAATCATTAAAATTTTAAAAATTTGAATAAATATTAACCAATTCTTGATGTAAATTATAAGAAATAGATAGTAAATTTGTATATACGTCTGGATTAAATAATAAGTATACAAAGATAATTTGAGAACATGGCAAATGACTTGTAATTTAACAATACAGAGAAATATAATTCAAAATCCACAGATGTATACTACAGGTAGATATATTTTGAATCAGAACATCAATCACTTTTATCACAACCATTTGTGTTAAAATAAATGTTATTTAATACAGTATTATAAACACACACAAATACACTCTATATAAAAACACTGGTTATTACTAAATTCAGAAACAACATGAAGACTAATAACAAACAAAGGTTTGACCAATTACAGCAGTTTCTTATTACTTGAAGAAGCAACAGTGAAAACGTGCGTAAAAATGTCATTTGTCTTTGTGCTTTTCCCTGTGTCACTGTGTGTTTTATACAAGTATAATACTGTGAAATGGAAGGTCAATAATACTAGTACTCTTTTACCTGTTATGTTACAAATACAAAGAGTTTCACATCCACATGATTACCATATAAATTAAAAGAACATATGATTTTATTAGGTAAATAGTATTTAGTGGTATCTGAAGAAGGCTATGTCTAGGTAAAAATATTAGGGAACTATATATAAAATATTATTTTACTTCGTTCTCCTCTGTGAATGGTGAAGTAGTTAGTTTACTTTCTTAACATTTTGTAATTGATTAAGGTGCAAACAATTGTTAAAACACAATCAGTCTATGTTAGCAAAAGTGGTAATAAAAATTCCATCACATTTTTTTGTAGGCCTAATGTTAAAATCTTACTTCGTACTTTTTTCCTTTTTATATGTTGATTCTATACATAAGGAATTGGTGTTATTTAGTTAGTTGTTCCTTTTATATAGTGCCTTTTCCTATAGGTTACTAAGTGCTTCGTGTTCCCTGGGCATTGGGTCCACATGCCTAAGAGTGTTGCTACCATACTGGCAAAGTAGCAGGCAACCCCATCAGATTCCCATTTATACTACTGGGTGGAGAGAACTGCAACGCAGATAATGTGCCTTCCTCAAAGACACAAGCGAAATGCACAGCGAGGGATTGAAGTCCTAATTTCGAGATTGGGAAACCGAACAGTTTCAGCTGCGCGAAACCTCTCCCACCATGTATTACCATAGTGCAGAATGTCAATACTACCACATATTAATCATTTTAATAATAGTAATGTAAACTATCTTTACAATAATTATTGAACACATAAAATTATTTGTGGCAATCACTGCAATGCCTGTGACACCGTGGGGTTAATTATACAATCTCGTCAGTCTTACAACGCAAACGTTTCTTTGGAATAGACGCGAACTTGAAGTTGGCGCCTGTAAACAAATGAACACCATCACGGAAAAAAAACAGAAGAGAAATAAATATGCACGTCATGTTAGAATGAATGTATTTCAACATTTTTAGATTGTTTACCTAATGTTTAATACATTGAGCCAAATAATAAATGTAACACTAATTTAATTGCATATAATTTTGGAGCTTTCAAATATCAAATTCCCATTTTTGCTACAAAAAATATCATACATTTATGAAATAATTCTCACAACATTGAATTACAAGCATTAAAAGCATAGAATAGAGAATTCAATAGATACCCATACGTAACACTCAATTTAAGTAAGAATTTTAGCTCAAGAGTTTAAGCAGTGTTTTATTTTTATTTTCCTGTTTGACACCAACACGGACACAAATAATTCATAAACTGAAATACATACCATCTGTATAAATATCCAGTAATTTATGGCAGCAATGGAAGCAAAATGAATGAAAATACCAGATAAAATGTATTTAAACATAATAATACTATATAAAACTGTATGACAGAACATGCTTGATTAATAAAAGCTGTTCTGTATTTTGAATTGAATAATACAAGTCAACATGAACACACACAAAAAAAAATTTAGGTTACTGTAATTTTATCACAACAAATATCAACTTAAGCTACACTTTATACTTTAAACAATAAAGAAAATAGTCACTAAATACTACATATTGTAACAAAAGCAAGTGATGAATAGTGGTGAATATTACAATATCTCACTTTTCTCCTTTTAAAGTAAATTTTAGGAAGAAAAATGATTAAAGTTCTATATGAAATTGTTTTGTATCATTAAGTAAAATAGCTTTGGGTAGATTAAACTGAAATTGCTTTGATCTATAATTAATAAGTTGCGCATTGTTTTGACCTATCACTTACATGAATTGGGTTTGAACTATCTCTTGAATAAAATTGCCATAATGTATAAGTTAAATCTATTACTAAATTAAAATTGCTTTGAAGTATTATATTGAAATTTTATACATCAAAAAAATACAGTACTAACCTTGTTTGCATATCAACTGTGCACAACCTCTGACCCTTCAGTTTGCTTCTCACCCAATGGATACCATTCATGTTAGGGTCAACCAGGAAAGGAGGTCGTTGCCATGATGATTCTTCAATGGCTGCATTCTCTATTTGTTGTAGACTTAAACCTTTAAGATAAAAGTAAATTCAAATTTAGATGCAAGAAAGAGAAATAAATGGTTAATGTATGGTATTCATGTTCCAAATTTTATAAAAAAAAACAAAACAAAAAAACACAAATTATCTAATTATTTTTTTCTTTTAATTACATTTGGTTTGTGGCTTAAGCATTTTTGAAACATAACCAACACATCAACAGTTTTCTGGAGGAGTATTCCATTATATGACAGGTAGTAACCAGTGTGTGGATATTTAAAAATACCTGATATCCATTTATGATAGAGTTAATTAATGTGGATAATGTGCCATCCCAAGAACACTTGACCTTTCCACCCCTTAGGTAATTTTGCTAAGGTCCCACAAAAGCAACAGACATAGTGCGTTTGTGAGACAAGCCCACGTTCCTGGCACTCTCCTGATTGGTCAGTTGTTAAGTTTGATTGACACTCCGGAAAGCCCGCTGAAGGGATGGCAAGAAATCTGAACCATACATCAAGGGAAATAACATGTATAAAACCATAAACTAATGGAGCTCTCAACTTTCACAGTAACCTACCTTTAGTTAACCAGTCTTGTAAGGTGTTCTCCCCAACTAGTAACTTAACCAGTGAATGTATATAGTGCCGGTAATCAGTTGCCGAGATCTGAGGGACAGTTTCAGCCGAGTAAGCAAAATGGCTCTCCGATGCCAACATTTTCTGATTTTCTTCAAGGACAGACTCTTCGTCAACGATTCTTTCACCTTGCTTCTCATCTTTATCCTCATCTGTCTTCTCATCTTTCTCTTCATCTTTCTTCTCAGTTTCATCTGCTGTGCAAAAATTTGTTTAGTTCAATAAACATAAATTTTAGTATTGTAGTCTCTGTCCAGACTATCAAATTTTATTAAGAAAAACATGTGACATGCCTAAATATGGTCATGATGACATCACATCATGACCATATATAGGCACATTATGACTATATATGGGCATACAGCAGTTTTTTGTTAATCTGGACAGAGCATAAGTCTATTTCTATTTAGTGGTAGAAACTCTAAAACTTGGTTTCCATACAATCGCTACACGCTACATCGCTTCAAGGATAAAAAAACAGAAAAGTACAAAAAAAGCAATTTATTTCCACTGTGGTCCCTAAATGAGAATACTTAAATTACAGAATAATACATAATCAAAACAACAAAGTCAAATTCAATAATAAAAAAAAGACATCGTATAAATAAAGCTATGTATAATAAAGTTCAGTTAAATAATGGCTTTTTATGAGTTTTTTAAAAATGTATATGGATTGTGAATTTTGAACATTATAAGGTAATTTATTCCATTCATCGATTGCGGTATCGATGAATGAGAATCTGCTATGTGTACCAGATTTTTGTTTATAAATTGTCATTCTAGAAGTCGAAAATCTAGTATTATAGTTATGAAATTGGTTAGTAAATTCAATGCCAGTATTTAAATATACAGGGGAAATGCCATTAATAATTTTAAAAATTTGAGTACATTTTCGTTCAGCAACTCTAGTAGAAACAGGTAGCCAATTTAATTTTTTAAATTCATTATAACCAACATGGGTTCTTGGATGTAGTCCCAAAACACATCTTATAACCTTATTTTGGGAAAAAATAAGGTTATAAGATTTTTAAGTTTTTTAGAAAGCGAAGAGAACCACATACAGTACCCATAGTCATAGGGACATTGAAAAAGTGAGGACGCAAGCAATTTGAGTGACTGCTATGGAATTCCATGATTGCCCATGTTTCATGATTTTTTACATTTTTAAACAAAGCTTCTCATTATAAAAAAATAAATACCTTGGTCTTCATTTAACCCTTCATCAAAATGTGTGTCAGGCCTTTGTGGAGTTTTCTCTGCACCATCAACCTCACTACCACCTTCATCAGTACCAGACTCAAGTTCATGCTTTTCCATGATCTGTTGCAAGTCTTTTACTGGTGTTTGAAATTGGCTCATCACTGTGTTGGTTCGAGAACGAGTATCAATGGCCCAATCAACAACCCATCCTAGAAAACAAAACAAAAACCAAAAATATACTGTCATTTTTTTCACGGACAAAAGTCTGTATGGCTTATTTGGATGAGCAGCCCTTTTTTAGGGGCGTTCCATAGGAAACATTGGCAAACTGTCCATTTAAGTAAAGTGTTAAAAAATATTCAATTTCAATAATACAAAAAGTAGACCTTTTTTTTTTACAAATTTGTTTTATATATGTATATTGTTATCTGGTTTCTTAATCCAAATTTTAAACATTCTAAATATAAAATAAGGTCCAACAGCGATAATGTTATTGAATATACTTGTTGGGTTCTGTAGCTGAAGTTCCACTCTAATTATTGTTAACACAAAGAATGCTAAAATTTGTCTTCCAACTTGTATTAGACTATATGCAAACACTGAACTTTGGCAGTTATACAATAATCCTGATGGGGTTAATATTTACTTCCCTATTTTTCATTAACATTTTTGTTGTTAATGTATGGCAATACAAAATTAAAATACTATGTGGTACAAAAACTTCAGAATAAGTTTAATATTCAGTACCTTTCATTGGGTCAATCGAATCAATGACCAATGGAACGCCTCGTTCTTTCAAGCACATCGGCCAATGAAGAGTGAGCATAGTGTGGCGAATATTGAAGTCGTATGGGCCGAGGTACGTGACAAAGGCTGCAGCTAGGGATACACTCCCGGGACTTGCCATGATCCGTTGAGGCAGTGACTGGCAAATTTGAACACAGTGTTCATGCTCTGTTGCAAGGGCCTAGAAAATCAAAAACATAAAATTGGAAATTTTAGAAAAAATACTTTTAAAGCTACGTCCACACTATCAGTACCTATGTGACAAATACCTGTAATGTGACAAATACCTGTAATTTGTCATTGTATAGATGACATCATCATGTACAGTCTACTTCAACAACACTTACCAGGCTAGTATATCTCACTCATAGACCTCCACTGACGATTCGTCTATTTTAAAGCCAGTTTTCCACTAGGCGAATATATTCGCGCGAATCGAAATCGTTGGTTCATGCACATGCGCATTCACATTCCTATCGGAATTTTTTCGAAGGGAAAAAATGCGCAACCAATCAGAGCTCTGGAAGTGAACCCATGCTTTGATTTGTGCGAATAAAATTCGCCTAGTGGAAAACCAGCTTTAGCCCAGTCCACACAGCGGTTGGCGCACGGTTGTGGCTTGGACCTCGAGGTCAGGGGTTCAAAACTCTCGTTGTGCAAGTCACTTGTGTCCTTAGGCAAGGCATTTTATCCATGTTTGTCTCTCTCTACCCAGGAGTATAAATGGTTACCTCGTAGGATGTTGTGCCATTGAATGTACTAGTTTTGTGCGCATGACTAGGTATACTCCCCCCAGGGATCAGAGAAGGTTGCACTTTGTGTGCTGGTTTGCCACTGTATGTTATCCAATGACCAAGAGTGATAATGCTCAGCGCCTTTGATCATATAATTTGGAATTACGCTATATAAATATTCAAGCATTATTATTATTATTATTATTATTATTATTATTATTATTATTATTATTATTATTATTATTATTATTATCATCATCAAATTTTAAGTAACATATTTTTGTGGTGTGCCCATATATGGGAATATCATGTCATACACCAAAATATAGTAGGGGCTAAGAGTATACAGTAGACAGAATATAAAAAACAAATCAATTACTCCAAATTCTAAATCATGAAAATAAGCATTCAATCTAACATATCTCTAAAGACATGTTTCTATAGTTGAAATATTGCTTGCTTACTTTTCTGAATTTGTCGGCAGTCTCCAGCTGTCTGGTCATGGTTTCTGACATGGTTTCCTGGTCATTCTTGTCGACAGTTGCTTCTTCGAAAGAACTCGCCAAGTCAGCAAGTCTCTCCTCCAGTGCCTGCATCAGATATTATACATTGATATCAATTCATCATATATCAAAAATTCTACAGAACAGTACTTAAAATCGGTTGATGTGACCTTATCCACCTGACTACAACAACAATTTTATTACAATTATTTTTTTTTTATATTGTACTTGGTGAATTAGTGTCCAACATAAGTTTACACTATGGTAATTTTCAGTTGGCCCTTTAAATACAAGAATGTTGTTATGTAACCTACTTAAAGGGGAGCTGTTTTTAGACCTGAAAACAGATATTTGTTTGCTGAATTTAACCACTGATAAGAGGCTGAAATCTAATTCTTATGCATGTGTACACTGGTAATTTACTGACAATCAAACACCGAAATTATACCAATCAAAAGATGTGTACATACCCTGCGTTTGTTTTCCAAAGTCATTAACTTGTGCTCTGCAATTTCAACTTCTTTTGTAGTATCTTCTACTTTCTGATGGAGAGGCTTCACTCTTGATATCATTAAACGATGATATCTAAAATATAAAAAAAACATAACATCAAGCTAATAATATATATAAATAATTAATCAAATCTACCATGTGACACCTGAACTAGTTAGCTTTAGCTCGCTATCTTATAAGTGAAAATAGAATAAGGATGTATGCACTCATTGAGGTGCACTTAGATTATGAGAGGGGAAATTCCATTATTTTTAATGGGTAAGTTCTACCAAGAAATACTTGGCATTTATCGATTTATCTAGGTAAGCATTCATGAAATACATCAGGGTGAATTCACATTACACCAAATTCATTATATAACACCACAATAACTGCGTAACTATATACTTACATTCTATATTATTATTATTAATATTATTATTATTATTATTCACCTTACAACTCCTCGAACCCATTGACAAAGGGAAGCTGCAGCAGAACTATTTGTCTTCCTCCGCATGTTCTGAGGCTGGAAGGAGGCTTTCTTAAGGTACGGTTCCACCAGATTCAGAGTAGACTCTGGCAACTCTGTGTCATCAAAGCTGGCAAGCTCCTCAAGAAACCTCTCTAGGTTTGCCATCTGACGCTTAGCCCCTTTGCTCCAGGTCAAATCAGATGATGGATTTTTCACTTGAAAATCAAATAAAAATTTTTTGAGGAACATGAAATATCAATACAATCTGTTGGAGATAGATTGTTAACAAATGGAGAGAGAAACAATAAAAGAATAATCTTAGATAATAATAATTTGTCACCATTATTCAGAATACACACAAATTTTAGTGATAAACTATAACAGAAGGTGTAAACATTTGTTAACGTGAAATAGCAATACAAAGTATTGAAGACAGATTGTTAAAAAATAGAGAGAAAAAATCGTAGATATACTTTTATTTGTCATCAGTAAACAGAATATACACAAAATCTTGAGACAAACCACAACATTAGAAAGAACATTGAACTAAATTTTTTTAATTTAAAATATAGAAAAAAAATAAAAACAATCTGGTTTTAATTCCAGGTAAGCTTACATATCATAATAATGGCAGCCATGAGGTCCTCTATATCTACATCAGGCTTCTGCATGGCTCTTAACTCCTGTAGGCTGTTTGTGTCAATGTTCTCTACTATCTTCTTGGTGTCAGCTACAACGGCTACAGTCTTGTACACTGCTCTCTCATGGGCTAGGGAGTATTGAGGCAGGGCCTAGAAAAAATGGTCAATAAAAGAAAATGTATCACACTTGAATTAAAGTGGCTGGGTCTTGGGGAGAGAGTAATAGATGAATTAAATTGAAGGTACAATAATAAAACGAAGGAATAGGATATTAAATTAAGAGTGAATGTGAGTGAAGGCCATAACAGATCAAAAGCTAATGATTAACATAATTGCTTTAAATTGGATTGTATTTAATAAATATTATTTTTTAACACCACTGGGACACAACCTACCTGTTTAAGTTTATCAATCTTGTCCATTTGTTTCATGACTGTCTTGACCTGCTGCTCTGTGATGGCTGTGTCCTGACCAATCTGACTCAAAAGTTTGATGGTACCCTATGCAAAAAAAAACAAAACCCCATAAAAATTCAGTTCATATTTTCAATTACATTAGACAAGCAGCTGCTAGCCTAATGTACTTGATTAAAGATTGGTTAATTCAATAGACCATTTGAGCCAAAAAATCTTTGATTATTAAGCACATTTTGTTAGTTAATCAATGTCAAGCTTTTAGAATAAGGATGATTTTAAACAACATACATTTTTAGTTTATTGCTTACCTCTTTTCTTTCCTCCAGCACAATCAGTTCATGCTCAAGTTGTTTTTTAAGTCGTGTTGCAAGTTTGTTCTCTCTGTTAATGTACTGCAGTGCAGTAGTCACCGTTTCGTGTTCTGATTCAATATGTCGTTTACGTTCAAACATCATGTTCACAAAGCTGATAACAAACACATTTGGTGATGTTATTAGAAACAAGCAGAAAAATTTTCTTAATCAAATATTATTTTACCAGTATATTTCTATACCTCTGTTCATTCAAACATCAAAATTAATATTCCTATATAGAGTTTGGTGCAAGGCAGTCTTATACAGTGCATTCTACTATTTTTCTATTTTTTCAGGGTGTTTTTAATGGAGGAAACATTGAAATTTGTTGGTTAGATATTCACTGTATTCACACACTAAATGTCCAGATGATTAACATACACTGAAGTCCATTATTTACTTACCATTCTATGAACTTTTCAAATGTTGTGTTTGTCAGGTGGTTGTACTGGCCCGCGCTTGTTTCTTTGCCGTCCAACTGTCTAATTGCCAGGTGGATTGAAGCCAACAGATGCGCAAGATTCTCCCGTTGCATGCTGGTAACCACACGGAACTCTGTGCAAACATATTTCAATTATATAATAAAAAAAACAAACAATTCCTTAGCTAATTGTTGAAATTTTTGATAACAAAAACATTTATTAAAATATAGACCGATCCATTCAGAGATTAGTCTTCCTCTGCAGATGCCATAGCTGGGGATTCAGTAGGGAATTATATGCTACAAAATGTAAATATCAGAATTATAATACGTACAGTATTTTGTTTGAATTGCAGTCTACTCTAAATACTCTGCACTACCGTACATGGTCCTGACATGCAGGTGAGAGACCCCTCGGAGCCTAGCAATGGCAGTGCCAAGAGGGAGCACCATTTTCAAATTTGGATGTCTATAGATACCTTTGAGATGATACATTGCATGCTCAACTAGAGCCTCTCTGCTCCAATGCTGGAACCAGTAGCAGTTAAGATTGGCTGTGAGGGCTGGGTACTCCCGACAACGTCTCTGGAAGTCAGCTCCACTTGTTGATGACACCAACACAACCCGCACATTGTTCCGAACAGTCCTGCAAATAAAATAAAGTGATCAAATGACGTACATTTTGTTTTTGTATATAAGACACGCTGTTAATATAACAGTAAGGATAGAACTACCGTAATGTGGTGCTGTATACTACGTGTCAGAGTAAGATATGTTTGATCAACATTTATTTTCATCATCCTCATTAGCCATTGTGAATCCACTGCAGGGTTTAAGAACTTTTCAGGATGACAGCATTATAATAAACACACAAAAAAAGAGAAAACTTACTTTAGAAAGAAATCCCAGGCAGTGTCCCTTGTGTACGTCAGTCCGGCTGCTGTGACATCAGTTCTGATGGAGTTAATGATTGATGTCTGCTCTTCGGAGGTGAACAGGTGTGTAATGGCACCTGTCACTACAAACTCACCAATGTACACCAAGAAATCTTCTTCCATGAGTTCCTCTTCAGTAAGCAACAGGAGAACCTTCTCACCCTATGTGATAATAATTGTAACATAATAATTGCTATTTTGAGGGGTACTGTATATGACAAAATAAGACCTCAGTAATTATAAACGTATATGGTTTCAATGTGATGTTTAGTCAAGAAAAACGCTTATTTTAAAGCGGAGTATTGAAGTGTAAGAAATAGCACAATGTGTTGTACTTAGGGCTATCCGAGTTGTTGAAATGTTATTATTATTAAATCCAATTGAAATTGGCTGATTATCCAAATATTGTACTCTTAATGAAGTACCAGATTCAATAATCAATGCTGAGACACTGAATCAAGGGAGACGCTTTGTGAAAAAAGCCAATTTGGTAGTGCTTTCATAAAGTGGTGCTTATAGAGGAAGGCACTTATTCAAACATTTACGGTAATTTTGCAAGAGATACCTGGCATTTATATTGTTTTACACAATGATGATTATAAAAGCCTTTGGAAGTATGTTTACCTTGACTCCTGCTTTGGTGTAAGCTGTAACTAAATCTGCTTTAAACTGGTTTAGTTTGTAGGTCGTGGGAGATGCAACTGGTGACGGATTCACCTCGAAGACCACGAATCCACACAAGTGAGCTGCAAGGCGTGGGAAGAGATCACCTATTCCGGGGTTGCCTTCCACAACCAGCAGAGCATGGCCTACTTCATGAGGAGACTGAATGGTCCGGGCTAAGCGACACACGCGTTCAATCGTCTCCTGGAAAGTGCAATTACATAATATAATTGACACATTTGAGAGCATTTATTCCATTTGGGGCTTCAATTTCATAAAAATGTTCAATAATATCCTACAGTGTAAATTTACATACTAATCCAAATAAAATAGATATTGTATGTACTGCATATATTATTTTCAAAAATGAAATTGTACAAGACAGTATAGAAAAACTTTGTACATTGTTCAACTCACCCGATAAAAAGTTGCAACACAGACAGATCACAACCCACAGCATACCCACGTTTAACTTGTTAGTTGACCTTAGGCTGGCATTTACACAATCTCACCATGGAGAAAATATAACTACTGATCAAAATGTAACCAATCACAGACAGCGACACAATTATAAAACCAGATGATTGCTGGTGGAGTTAGATTAACTCATGTACTGTGGATGCTCCAGATGTTTTAGCATGTGCGTGAGACTCGCACAAGGCTAAGTATTACCTGGATGAGCGTTAGTCTGAATGTAGCCATAAAATAATTATATACCAATAACAAAAAATGGAACAAAATATAATTACATAAAATATCACATAAATACAAATTAAGCAAGAATTAAAATCAATGCAGTTAAATCTACGGTGAGATATAATTAGCTTTAAAATCAATGCAATTAAGCCCAACCAGAAAGCAGATAAAATACTGAACAAAAATGGTTATTACATTTAAAACGTCATGTACACTACCCAAAGTAGCCCTCTTCAGAATAGCATAATGTACTTTTTATTTAGCAAAAGTGAATGAGCCACCAGTCGGATGACAATAGTAAATTTAAACCAGTCGGATGACAATAGTAAATGAATACTGTAAAATAGTAGTACTTATAGACTACACTAATTTTATTTGACGTTACACAAGATTTTTGAGCACACAGTGCTCTTCTTAAAGGTGAAGGTGTACTTATTTTACAAACCTTGTTGTAGATTAATTATCTGTATTACAGATTTTTGTTAGTAGTTAATTAATTTTGTTTAACCATACTTTATTGCTGTCTCTTATACACATCTAGATGTGTAATATAATAATAATAATAATATGTTCAGTGTAATTTTACATACTAATCCAAATAAAATAGATATTGTATGTACTGCATATATTATTTTCAAAAATGAAATTGTACAAGACAGTATAGAAAAACTTTGTATATTGTTCAACTCACCCGATAAAGGGCGAGTTTTATACGTGGATGCCCCTTGTTGTACTCCTCCACCGCATCTTGCATTAGCAAGCGCACGTGATCTACATTGTAACGTGGCTGGTACTGATCGGTACCCTCTTCATCCCCTGCAATACTGCTTGTTGTTGAAGACACCTTGTATCCACCAGCAGTGACTATGCCACTGTCTTGTTCAACCAAGTTGCTGAATAATGGCTGCTTTAGGTCTATGACAATCTTTAACTGATGAACATAAACAAGAATATGCAAATTAAACATAAGGTAGGATAGAAACAATTGGCAAATCAGAATAATTTGTAAACAGACACATTGAGTGAGCATAGGAACATTTTTTTTCCCAATAAATATAACATATCTTTTTGTTTAATTACATTAATCATCAGAAGCATAGAATGACATATATTTTAAACTGTGGCAACCAATGATTCAATAAAATAGTGTTTTTTTTGACAAATATGATGGCAGAGAGCAAGTTGGATACAATTTTTCTAGATGAAGCTAATTTAAAGCAGCAGTATATACAAGCTCAGTTGTAGTTTCTGCATCTGCATGCCGACTTCTGGATCTTTTCAATAAGTAGAGGTAGACATGATACAAATTAATTTCAATGTTCAACAATGTTCAACAACAGCATGAATAACACCAACTTCCTTTGCATGTAAATTCTATAATAAAACTACAAGCACCATATGAATTTATGTTTTAAAAATATTGTGGTGATATATGTAGAACCGTATATATAAATATAAATACTTATAAACATACAGTAAGGTTAAAAAGGATTGTATTGCTCAAGCCTATCTGACATAAAAATATATTTTTTTCCCCAAGATGGAGACCAAATATTTGAATAATATTTTGAAAATGCACTTTTCAAGCTATAATTTATATTTGATACTTTGAATTACTATTTTTCCAACCATAGCACATTGTCTGAGTGCCTGTCAACTATGATAGGATAAGGCATAAGTATGTACCAAAACAAAATACCGATCTCCAATTGTCACTGGGCTTGGACAACACAATTTTTATTTTTTAATATTAATACCGAAAACAATGTTAAAAGATAATAAAATGTAATACACATAAATGACAATTTTGCAGTATGGTAGTAAACATTTACAGTATGCCAGCCAGCTATTAATATAAAATAATAAGTTCATATTAATCAACAACGTGTACATAAATGAAAATACAACATAGGCTACGGTCAGACTTCACACAGCTGCGGTTATAGAGTTTGTAGTAATATTATGAATAAGCATGAGATAATTCATGCCTGTCTTGAAGTTGCAACACAGACAGATCACAACCCACAGCATACCCACGTTTAACTTGTTAGTTGACCTTAGGCTGGCATTTACACAATCTCACCATGGAGAAAATATAACTACTGATCAAAATGTAACCAATCACAGACAGCGACACAATTATAAAACTAGATGATTGCTGGTGGAGATTAACCCATGTCAACGCATGTACTGTGGATGCTCCAGATGTTTTAGCATGTGCGTGAGGCTCGCACAAGGCTAAGTATTATCTAGATGAGCATTAGTCTGAACGTAGCCATAAAATAACTATAAACCAATAACAAAAAATGGAACAAAATATAATTACATAAAATATCACATAAATACAAATTAAGCAAGAATTAAAATCAATGCAGTTAAATCTACGGTGAGATATAATTAGCTTTAAAATCAATGCAATTAAGCCCAACCAGAAAGCAGATAAAATACTGAACAAAAATGGTTATTACATTTAAAACGTCATGTACACTACCCAAAGTAGCCCTCTTCAGAATAGCATAATGTACTTTTTATTTAGCAAAAGTGAATGAGCCACCAGTCGGATGACAATAGTAAATTTAAACCAGTCGGATGACAATAGTAAATGAATACTGTAAAATAGTAGTACTTATAGACTACACTAATTTTATTTGACGTTACACAAGATTTTTGAGCACACAGTGCTCTTCTTAAAGGTGAAGGTGTACTTATTTTACAAACCTTGTTGTAGATTAATTATCTGTATTACAGATTTTTGTTAGTAGTTAATTAATTTTGTTTAACCATACTTTATTGTAGAGTTCATCGATGGTACAGGTGGCCCTTCAAAATTTGTGATAAGTGAAGCATGTTGTTCATGCAATTGTATGTCCTGGTCATGTTTTTTGGGGAGCTACTCTGCCTCATCACCAGCACTAGTACTTGTGTCTATTTCCTTTATACTTAGGAATTTCATGTTTTTGTTTTACAATTTTGTTATTTTATGTACTTGTAGCTAAGAATATTAATTTGTTTATTTTGGTTCATTTTGAATGCATCAAATGATTTTTGAGACCACTGATCTAAAGGTGTATATGTTCTAATAATTATATATTATATAATTTTTTTTATCAGCTGTGGGGTTTTGGGTGATTAGTAGCTGAATATTTGTGTACCCACTAGCTAATCTGTTTACCCAGTGTTAATTTCTAAGCATTTAATCTGCAGAAACAATTGATTTTCTAATTAGTTTATCAAGTGTCAAGTGGCACTCTCAACGATTTGTTTACAATATACACAATGTTTGATTACGGCTAATCCAGAAAAGTTAATCAAATTAGAGTACAGACAGGCTCCTTGGCTTAATGATCACAGCATGGTCTTACACAGTACACCCTTCTTAAATCCTGGGTTGTAATTATACCAAACACAAAATAAAAAATGTTTCAAACTAAAAAGGTATTTCAATTAAGCAAACTACGTGCGTAGAAATGTAATCCAATAAGCATGATATTTTATTTTGAGGAAATTTAAACATACCATTTTGCTGAGTATGATTGAATAAAATACATGTATTTAAGAAAAATTTAATTAATATTTTTTTGCTAAACCCAATTTGTTAAATCTGGCCCGGGCCAAGAAATAGACCTACATTGAAATACAAAACAAACTGAAACATATTTTGAAAGCACCAAATAAAATGTAAAGTAAAAAGTACAGCGCAATGACTAAAAATCAACAAGGAATGATAAAACTTGTGAAACCATGCCTACCATTTTCTCTCGAACTTCACTAGGTATCTCCTTGTCTTCTTTGTCCTTTTAGGATGCATGTGTAAAGGGATGTTGATTAGAAAGTGAGTTTACCAAAAGGGTATACATACACCAAGGCAAGTATTTTTGAGTAATATTATAACATGAGTTGAACAAATATTGCATGTTTTTCAATCTCATAGTTTGTTAGAGAACAAGTGAACACTACATGACCAGGCAAATGATAGTCACTTGATATGCCAATACCCATTGAATATCTTAAAAAGTAGTACTGATTAACAAAGATCTTACAATAACAAGATAGCTTTCTCCACAATTTCTGCATGCAAATTCTATAACAACGCAGTGTAGGGCACCCTCTCACAATTAAAATTACTTTCAACTATGATTTATGTGCAATTTCCATGGTAACAACTAGAACGCTCTCTCTCGATTACAATTACTTTCTACTGCTTTCTGCTTGAATGGACGCTTCTACTTTGTTACACGTAAAACCGTGGTGGGCGCCATCTTGTTATTAAAAGATCTTTGGTACTAATAACTAAATTTAAGAGAGCAACAAGAATGAAAATGAAGCGTTTCTTATTCAGTAACTTTATCTTGTGATTTCACCTGCATTATTTTACGTAATGATTGCTGGTAACGTAAATGATGACTAACAAACTCTTTTATGTAATTATAAGTTATTAAATGACAAAATATTTAAAGGATTACAGTAAAATATAACAATTGTCTGGTCATATCAGTATAATACTTATTCTCTACATTAAACCATGTGTATTGCAAGACAAAATATAATGAGCATACAATCTAAAAATGTTTGCATGTACCACTGCCATGATTAAGTAGTAGTTAATGAATATAATTATAATAATAATAATAATGATAATGATTTTTGTAGTACCCAATCTGCTTTAAAAAAATGCACTTACAGCGCTTTCTCTGCAGAAAGCATTCTCCTCAATATCTGGCGACTGCAAAGACATTCAGGATACAAAGAATTACCAGAATTAACATATCAATATCTAAATAGTATTGTCTTTAACATTGTAAAAACGTATACAAAATAAACATCATGAAGATACATCTCCTCTTTTGCCACATTTAAATAATAAATTTGAGAATTTGTGTTTTGGCCACAATTGGTACAAGAGTATGCACCTTAAAAGTTTGAGTTTTTTACTTTTTTTTTTTTAATATATTAAATGACTGAAAAAATTATACTTACAAATTCTTCACTTGTGAATTGCTTCTTAGCCGCTGTAACAAAGACTTGATTGTATCGCTCAACATCAACAGGGCTAACAAGACGCTCACTGTAAATCCATTCGCACTCATGACGCCAGAGTAGCAGAAGGGTTTCAAGTTTGACACCAGGGTTCAATGACAGGCAGATGTTCCTGTATGGTGGTGGTGTGAACATGGAGAAAATAATTTAGAAGGAATTCTCTTGTCTATTTTAAAATTCATAATCTTATATTCTGGTATTCTGGTATATTTTATTAAATCATCATGGCAAGGTAAAATGAATTGAGATGATAATTACAAAAGTAGAAACTAAGCAAGTATACAATTCAAAAAAGTTACATTATTACTACATTATTGTAAATATTATTAATACAAAGAACAAAGAACACAAATATTATAAAATATCAATTGCACTTACGAAAACATTAAATTATTAAACTACAATACATATTACAAATATTGAAGAATATCTATTGCACTTACGATGGTAAGAAACACATAAAATTGGCATATATAAATATTAAGTAAATAACACATATGCCTATGACTTTTATAGGAGTAATTATGCACTTGGATTGGATTTCTTTGGTGTGATACACCACAAAAGTCCTGAAACTTGTGGGTCCGGAATGAACTCAACCAGTTGTTCCCATCACATCATCTTTACCATCTTTATTGTTATCATCACCACCATGTCCACGAAAATCATCAGCAAAATTATTACGTCATCATTTTATTTAATACCACCATCTTCATTGAGACTTTTTTTTTTAACCACCAACACCACATTTAGCATCATTATCATCTCAACCACCACCACCCACTACCAACGAACCCAAAGATCTCTACAGTATACATCACTCACTTGAAGACTCTTGATAGTTCCCTGACATTGAACATGTAATGGCACCTTTCTGCGGTGGTCAAAAACATTGTCCTCATGCGTGACTGGACTTCAAGGGTCACACTGACCATCATGGACATCAGCTCCTTCAGCTTTGCCTCCTCTTTGTCGACAAGGTGCAATTGTTGCTAACGAGAAAAATATAAATGAAGTTACAAGTACAGCCATGATAAATCATGATGTTGCTGTATTTTAGCACCCTCTGTCAATAGTAATTAAAATAAAAAAAAATAAACACTATGAATAAACAAACAATCAATCAAAATATCGTAAATAATGACATAGGTGCAAGCATCTTAAATGATTGACTAACTAACTAACTAACTATGTGTATATATCAAACTACTTACCTTATCTCTTGCAGATGTTGATGAACTCGATGGGGTACAGAAATGGGTGTTCAGTAGAGTAGTATATATTGTATGCAACTCCTCATCCCTAAAATGAAATATAATGTACAAAATATGAAACTCAGCACACGAAGGTTAATAGCAATTTTATATGAGAACACACCATCGAACATATTTTGCTAACCTTGGATACGGCATAGAAAATACTCCAAAGTGACGCAGAAGACGTGGACTAATTGACGGCACACTAGCCGGTGTGTTGGGATTCAGTGTTGTAACGTACGTCACATTCTTGACCTCACGCAAGACCTGAAGGTCAGGCTCGTAGACTCCGCCTGAATCCATGTGCTGACGAATCATCTCACATGCAGACTGACAACCATTCACATTCATCTGTAATTAATCAATTTTATTTTATTAGTATGCAAATTAGAGTGCCAGCTGGTCCTATGTATTTTAAAGTCTGATGATTTTTTTGTTGTTGCAATGTCCATCATCACACATGAAGCGAATGAAACAATCTGAGGAAGTCGTGTCGTGTCGATAACACAGACCTGCCAACCCTTGGGTCATGAAAATCTGGAGATTGTTTTTAAGAATCTTAAGAAAATCTGGAGATTTACTAAAAAATCTGGAGGTTTCCAGAATTAACCAAAAGATAATGCAAGATACCAAAAAAGTCATGTGACTGCAAATCATTGGCAGTTGGTGGCGACATTCGAATTGGCTGCTTGTTTATTGCACCGCGAAGCGAGCAGGCAGCAAATACATTGAATAATAATGATCAAATCAATCAAATTATGCATAAATTGGATTATTTTTTGGGAGGGGGGGGGGGGTGGCCTGTGAAATTTGGTGAAATTTAATACAATAGAATTGTTTTGAAGAGCTGTGCAACTTCTACATTCATTTTACTTACACTAGCAAGATTTAGGTCATCAACTAGACACATTAGTTTCTTGTTTCCTTTTGGTACATATGTGCGACCATGTTTCCATTCAAGTTTCTCCTCGAGGCGTTGCCACAGCACTCGACTTGTTGTGAATCTATGAAGAAAAAAAATAGTAATGTAACTCAACCGCAGTCATGCACTAACTATGCAACACGTGCATGCACACTGAAACTTGAAGCTATGTTTCTCAGTTATGTTAATACAGGTCTCCCTATAATTAAAGATCTCTCCAATTAAAGACCATTTTTCTGCGATCCTAGACTAACAAATCTCAACCAAAGCTGCTAAACACCATGGGAACCCCGGTCCCAAAAAGTGGTCTTTAATTGGAGGGAGACCTCCAATACTTCTTATTCAATTGCTCATTATGTATTAAAGAAAACTCATGAACCTGTTTGTAGTGACATTCAAAGCCAAGACTTCAGCAACCTCTCCAGAGCAAATTGTCTTCATGCGGTCTTGGAAGATGAGTGTCTTGCCACATCCTGGTTCTCCTGCTAGCATCACTGGTTTACCATTGTCAGACAACAAACCAAGGATGTATGACAGTTGCTAAAATTCATAAATGTAATCATTTTTTTTTTATTTAAAAAATTTACAAAGTCATAATTTTATATCTTATATTCAAGTGTGTTCATTTTTGTGGTACTGTTAAACTTACCTCATAGCTTTTTGTTCTTACAAATGCATCAGCTGGAATTCCTTCATGGGGAGGCATGCTATAAGGTGGAATAGCTTCATTCCAGTCAATGAAGTTATGTGAATCTCCATCAACGAAGTAATCCCAGACCTTGAAAATATCAAATAAACACTCAGAAAAAATCTAAACATATGCCATATATTAATTATCCTCTTCATTTTTGGTGTGTAAACTATATTTTTTGTACACAGTCAGTGCACAGTGATGTTGATTAGTCTATACACCACCAGTAGAATTCCCTTTTCTATCGTTACAGCGTATTAGACAAAAAAAAATAAAAACATAAGGAACTGCATAAAATTACGATTCTTATAATTAATTAAGAAAAACACCAGATTTTGTGTAGATCTTAAAGTATTTGAATTTTATGTTTTGCATAGTCTTGCAATTTACCTCGCCTTCTTCCGGATACTGTACATACTGCTGAAATGTGGAGCGCCACCAAGTACTGAGCATTGTCCGAGACTTATCATCAAGTGTTCCTCCAAAAGCCCAGACTGCTGCAAAGTTCAGGTAGTTTTCATATTCCAAGTCACTTAGCTGAGGATGCTGGGCTATCAGGGCCTGGTAAACAAAATATATTTTTGGATGAATAATTCTATTTTAACAGACTCTTTGAAAGTATTTAACAAGCCATGTTTGTTAATGACATCACATTTAAGATGCTTTGAGAATTAAAAAATGTTTAGTAAAATTTGTTATTTGTGAAAAAATAGCCTGGCATTAGCAGGATTTGAATCAAGGGCCCTGGAATATGAAGGCAAGTATCTTAACCACCAAACCACACCACTTCCCCTGCTTAAACAATTTTCCTCTTGACTACTCACCTCCAGTAGGTTGCAGAAGGTCATAACCATGTTCATTTCACTGACATCAATCATGCGTTTTAGTTTAGGTTCTGATTTTCCCTTTCCACCAGGAATAAGTGTAGGCCTTGTGGATTGTGACAAGTAGTCTATGACGGTACCGACATATCTTTCAGTTAGGGTGTGCAGGCGGTTCTGATCACCCTCCGGTTGGTTCTGAATCCAGCGACGAAGGTAAAGGCGCCAGCTGACATCCGACTTGTCCATTGAGAGAAGACCAATGCGTGACAACACTGCAGGACTGATATGAGCCAGGGAGCCCAGCTGAAAAAAAAATAGTGTAGAAAAAAGGTTGCACAAATCAGAAGTGATGTTGGTAGTCTATGAGTGTGATACATTCGGTCAGTTCTATTTTTGTTGTAGGGTTTCTTAAAGGAACGATTGCAATTAGTTGGTTTATCCAGTAGGTAAGTATTCAAGAAATAGACTTCATAATTATCAGCAACAAAATGATAGTAATAATAATGCCACTGTTACATAGCATATTTAGCGAAAAGTTTTAATGTAATATTAAAACACCAGAAAAAGTGGATAACAAATGGCGTGAAACTATGCTAACATAGAATGTCTTAAGCCAGGTGGCTTGCCAGGGTAGTTATTTCAGTAAAAACCATGGTTCACTGCTATAAAGAATGTTAACACTTACCTCCCATATGATACGGATATGATGTGGGATGTGGATTCTCTCATTGTTGGCTAAAACCAGGCAGCCGTCATTGTGAAATATGGAACCAAACACCTCCATCTGACTTGCGTCAACCTGAATAATATTTTAAAATTTTAATATCATTTTCCAACTCAAGATTCTGCTAAATACACAATAACTATGACAATAACCTATCATAGCTTTTATTCATTAATAGTTTATCAAGGTGCATATCTTAACCATTAAATATTCACATAACCAAATATATGCATATAACTACACTATATTTATTTACATTCAAATTATAACTGTCCATCTAGGAGTATATCTCAATATTCAAATTAGCTCACCTGTCCATCAAGGTGAATAAGTTTAATCAGAGGCTTGCTGTTCACAAAGTCAACATCACATACCAAACAGTGCTTCCTGAGTAGTGTGGTAAACAGACCATCACTCCACTCACTACCACAGGTAGATGTAAGAAAAAGATTATTTTATAGACAATATAAATTTACATATTGTGGGGTAATCTGTCGAAGCCCCCTCCCCCAAAATCAGTAAATATATACTATATATGTTGTGGTAAGATTAAATAGAAAGAATGTTTTGTCTACCGACAAATATCTAAGCCCTTTTTCTCACCTGGATGAGTTGTAATAACCAAGCAACTCCTGGGGCTCAACTGCTTGTGAATAGAGGCGCTGAACACTAACAAAATGGCCTAGCTCACGTTGAGCACCAGTCAGCGTCTTGATGCATTCACTCTTGCCACACCCAGCTGGACCAACAACAGCAACCTGTCAGTCACATAATATAATAATATGTCAATCATTTTCTATTGTTACCACAATATTTATTAATTAGGACGCAAGTCCTGTCCAAATACTAATGCCCTTTTTTCAGAAATAGAAACTGAGTTTAGTTTTATGTGATTATCTATTGGAATTCAAATGTTCTATGTGTTTGTTTTTGTCAATATCACAACTCTTCATGTTGAATTGTAAATCATAAATATTCAATTTGTGATTTTATCCCATGGCTGTTTTTCTTTCTTTTTTTTTTTTATTTGCATCCTCATCTTTAAACAAGTACAACTATAAAGATACATTCTAAAAAAAAAAAAAAAAAAAAAAATTATCTTTCAATTTGTTTTCAATTTAATGATTTTAACTTACTGTTTGGTGTGTTTCCATCAGCTGGGCTAGTTGAGCTACTCTGGCCTGGAAAGCTCTACCTGGTAGTAGGCCTAGACGTTGAGTGCCTACAGCAATGGCAGAATCTAAGTTGTCTAGAGGCTGGGTATCCTGTGAATTCACACCACTTAACACCTGGTTGACTTGATAATCTGGTTGGATGTTTACAACTGCTGTATTCAACTCCAAACAATCTAAGAATAAAGATGACTTCCATAAATTCACAAGAAAGGTTTTGAGGATTATATACTCAAATAAAATACACTTAAAGAAAAGATAATTTAGTTAGGAATAAAACATCTAAAGAATATCAATGAAAACAATAACAAATTAAGTTTTGACCCATCTATGAATTTCTGTAGATTCAAGAGAAAATATGGATTTAAATGGAATAAACATACAAATTTAAATGTTTTCAGGTTTGACACATCTATGAAAATAAGAATATATAAATTGAATAATCATATAAATTTATTTTTTTTGTATATTAATTTGTTTTAATTTAACAGCTAAACTGTAACAGATATATATTTAATACTGTGTTTGATTTTGTAACAATATGAAAAACAAAAAACTTAAATGCGACTGACCATCATCCTGTGAAGCTCCTTCAAAAGTCATAGCAATCTTCACAGAGGGGAACAGATCCTCGACCAATGTAATAAACATTTCAGCATCGCTACCATGGAGGCGCGGCATGAACATATCTCTGAGGGCAAGAACCAGTGCTTCGGGCTCATCTGCTATGTACTCCTCCGGTATTGTGATGGCTTCCCTGATGTCTGGCTTTGGTTCTTCTGCTGATTCCTCGTTGGTTTCATCATCTTCATTTACAGTATCTAATTCTGAAAGTGTATAAAAACATAAAGTAGACTCTATATAAAAAAAATGCATTAGCCTAATCCAAAAAGATATTTACTGTCTGCTTCAGACAATAACCTTGCAGGGACTGATGGTGCAGCATATTTTCTACACACACATGTACAGAGCAAGTAATTAAACCTTTGTACTGCTCCAATAAGTTTAAAATACTGTAGAGGTAGGTATATACTCTCTTGCCAGGTTTGAAGACCAACACAGTAATTCACTGAAGACTGCCCTGTACCTATACCTACCAGGGTACGGCATATTCTGTATCTTTTGCGTTAGCATATCATCCAAAATAGATCCTGCTTCATTGATGACATTACGAAGATTTTGAATACTCCAGCCATGAGACGTCTCATGCTGATCACTACCAATCTTGATCTTGTCTGCATTGCGCACTTCTGCAGGAATCATCTTGTTGTACATCTCGCGTAGTGTCAACAGTTTCTTGGCCAGTTCACCAGCTCGCACAAAACCTTAAGGTAAAAAACACAAGCGATGTAAAATTTGAAACTTAATCAGGTTAATAATCCAAAAGCTGGGCACTCACTGTATCGTGCGACGGTCGTAGGACCATCGCATGACGAATCCAACTCGGCTTCCTATGAGCCCTAGATGACGCGACATCGTCTATCGATTGCCGGTGGCAGTCTGAAAGGGCCGTCATTAAAAACGACCTGTTGAGCACGTCGTCGCGTTTTGTACTTCAAAAAATCATGTCAGTCGATGATTATCGGGAGCAGTTATTGCCAACGTAAAAGAATACTCATATGTTTAAAGAAATTATTGAGGTTAGTTTAGAATAGTTGGGCATAGCATTTCTACTTTAGGCAGTATTCGAATCTCAAGTTATAATATCTAATGGTGCCCTTGAGAAAGAGACTTAAGCAATATTTGTTTCTTTATAAGAAGAGTATAAAACTGGTACTTGGTAGCAGTTGGATTTAAGTGTACAACCACATAAATATGTATATTACCTTGACTGAGGAGAAGCACTTCAACAGCAATTCTGAAATCTGGATTCTGAATGGACACCGTTCGAAAGGCAGCAACAAGCGATGGAGGAAGTTGTGCGACTGATGAGTTCAAGATCAGGCGTTTCTCAGCTGCGCTTGTTGTCAGATCAAGGGCGCTGTCCATTGTAGCAAAACAGGCACCAGCCGAGTTCAAGCCTACCTCCTCGCTGAACACAGTCAGGCTGGATTTGCCTGCACGTTTGGCATCCAGGTACTGAGTAAGAAACTGTGTGAATATGCTCAGCACATTTGGTAAAATGTGATTTAGGTTGTTGAAACAAACCCAGCAGCCTAAAGGAAAAATAATAACTCTTGATATCATCCTGATTTAGGCAAAATGTTAAATACAGTTTATTCAGGATTTCAGGAGCAGACTGTTCCATACATTTTTGAGGGGTATTCTTTCAAAGAATTACAACTTTGACAATGCAAAATTCCAGGTGACTGGTGCAAGACTGGTGCATTTTGAAGAATTGGTAACAGTCAGCTGGTCTAAGTCAAAAAGACTAACTGTAAACTCAAACTGTTGCAGTGTTAGGAATTACATTAACTGAGCTTAAAAATCAAATAAAAGAAAAATCTAAATACAAAACAATTATATGAAAGGAATAAAGTTAAATTGACCTGTACTTGCTAATCCTTTAAACACATCTGCTAAAAGGAAAGAGTCCATGGATTTGGAACAGTTGAACAGGTAGAGGGGCTGGCCAAGAGCCTTAGCTAGATCACGTACAACCTCAATACGGCTATTCCACTGAAAAATATAAGTGATAGTATTCAAAAACATCACCAGAAACTTTAAATCAAAAAAAGTTGTTGAAAAGAACTTCATAAGAATTGATTCAATTTACATTCCTTATAATTTTTTTGTGTAAAATGTTAGGCAATATTGTAGGCAATTTTTGAGACATGAACTACAAAACTTGTATAAAAAAATAAACATTCTTACTTTTTAAATTATTTATACAAATTTTTATCAATTTATGGTCAATATAAAAACATGTTCTTTTTTGCATCATGCAATCATCGTGAAAATAAGATAGGCCTTTATTAGCCTTATTTTGTTCATATAAATATTGATATCTACTATAATTGCTGAATCGTATATAATTTTATAAACTTGTAAATAAGCTTACATTAGGGCCTACTCCCATTGCTCCCATGTGTGCTTTGATGGCCTGGATGAGGGTTAGGTAAGCCTTCTCAGTCACAGGAGTCTGTACCAGTCGAGATGTGGAACCCATATACTCAAAGCCATACTCAAACTCGTTCAACATACTCTACAAAATATATAACAGAAAGACAGGAAAAGAAATAATCAAACCACATTGTCATGAAATAGATGTCATAATATTGCAGGGTTGCAGTAGCTGCAGAAAACTAAAGGTGGGTAATAGACATTCTAAGGGTAGGTGGGTGATAACATTAGTAAACTCTAAATAGTAAGAGTGGATTTTAAGGATGGAAAAGTGGGTTAACAAAGGTGGGTGGAGGGCCATGATATTAACTTTAAACTGGGTGGAAAACTTTAAGGTTGGGTGGCCCCGCCCATCTCCGATTGCCATAACTACATCCCTGAATTGTATAACTCTGGAAGTGTATAATAGTGTTTACCTTGACAGTAAGTGTAGCGTTCTCAGGTGTCCAGCAGTATTGCATCTGGGACTGCCATTCAAAGCTCTCAGTCAGACCTGTCTCACCAGATGCTTGTCTTTTCTCAAATCTACAATAGAGGATGGGCAATGTAAAGAATAAAAAGAGTTTTTGGTATATCTAGATGAGCAAATGAACCTATGATTTTGTCCACAGACTTCAATATTTTCTAGTGTTTCAATTTAACACATTCGCTGCCAGGGACGCGAGTTTACGTCCGACAGGTTCACGCAGGGCCTCAAAAATGTGAGTTCACTTCCACACCTGTCTAAACATACCCCAATTGTACTGTACGTAAACTCCCTGGCAGTGGTTGCCAGAATATGAACTCTCAACCTGGATGTTCAGGGAAGAACCCAGGCAGTAAAGATCTAAAAATATATACCATATGTTTGTTTGTGTTTCATTACAGTTGATGCGAATGATTGTCATTATGATGGCACCCTTTATGCCTTGGTATACGGGATGAAACTAGGAAAAAAGGGCACGACAGTCAACATGTTAGATCCCCTAGGCTTGCATAAAAAAGTTGAATGACTAATAATCTATATCTTTCTTCACCTGTTCAAGATTTCTCTCTGGTTAGCTAGAAGAGCAATGAGGTTGCTGATCTTCTGAATTTGTGCCGGAAACAGCATCAGCTTTAGTTCTGATTTATCAACCTGTTCTTCCTCAACCACCTTCAGCATACGTCTTTCAGGGGGAAGAACAACCTTCATCGTATTCAGTGGTTTTACACCTGAGCAAAGCAAAAGCATAACATTAACATAAGTACTGTAAGAGAATGCACCTAGGCATTTTAAAATATCTATCCAAGACTTCAGAATAGGTATAGGGACACCTACACACTCCCACATAGTCCATAGGACTCTTGAAATATAGGTCCTTGATTTTGACTTCCCTCCATACTCCGAGCAAAAAAAAATGTTGGATCCATTACTGTCTTGTTGAAGTATGTGTCATATCTAAAAAATTAATCAGTATTTAAATAAATCATTATTTCTTGAGGATGAGGTACACCATGCCTTTACTGATCTACACCTCCTCTCTTTTTACACAATCCTTTCATACTGTCAATTTTTTCCCCCTTTTCATGATTTTTTTTACCTTCTTCTCCCTCTTCAGTCATTCCTTCCAGTTGTGTTGACCTTCCACTAGGTACCTCTGCAATAGGCCCTTGCATTGGCTCATTCAAGGACCAATTAGAGGCCTTAAATGACTGAGTACTACTGTGATGTGCACTTAAGCGACTGTAGGTAACCACATCTGATGCACTGTTTTCACGTTGAGGCTTCTCAGCTACTAAAAAACAATTAATAAAAAAATAAAATACAATAATAAGATTTATGATTCACAATACTGCAAGTGAAAATAATTACATTACAAGAATGTCAAACACAGTCTACTTGATTCACATTCCCAAACAATTTAAGTGTGATATTGGTTGTTACGTGGGAGATACTCAGCTCAATAAATCAACACATGCACTGTTTTCTTGCAAAAGGCCATAAAGACCATCACTATTAGGCAGGGAAGGGTATCCAAGGTCAGGGGTAATTTTGCTTTCACTGTTGAACATGAATAACTTAACTTTACCAGGATGTTTACTGAAGTAGAATAGCCTCGTTATAGACTAACATATGGGACGTATTCCCACAACAATCTGTGCATCTTCACTCAATATTTTACCTTCTCGAATCAGCAATTCCCTTTTCCTCCTCAATCTTGCTTTCTTTTCTTCCTCATCTTCGATCCCTTTCATCATGACAACAGCTGCTTGTATGCTTTGTTCTACCCTCTCAACTGCTTCCTATTGTAAACATTGAAGAGATCATTGACTAAAGTTGATCTACAATGGGTCATTACAAAGTGTCAATCAAACTTAACAACGGACCAATCAGAGCAGGACAAGGAATACACACTTGCCCCACAGACACAATTGTTGTCTTGCAAAAGCATGTGTTCACATATCATATCATCATCATCCTATAATGTGCATAAATCTCAAATGAGTATATTCGTACAGCGTTGCTGGTCAGTTATGTTCACTTGAGAAAATTAACAGATGTGAATATCAGATACCCTGTCCTTGAATGTGTTGTTAGATAGTGAATCAACAACATGTTGAGGTGTAGTGTCCGGGAAGAACGAGCCCTTCCTTAATGTTGTGCGGGTTTTTGGTATAATGAATCTCTTGTCGTGACCTCTGGTGCGGGTAGAGGATGGAATGAGCTGATCACGAGGGATGCAGATCATGTCATTGGTGATCCAGTACATCATGGTGACTTTTGCAAGCGCCCTACAATTTTTATGCATATATTTATGCTGTTGTTTTGTGAGACCTTAGCAACAATATCCAAGGGGCGTGGCTTAACTTAACAGTTAATTGATCTGTATATTTTCATACTTATTTAAAGGTCAAGACATATAATTGTAAAATATATTTAAAAACACTCGTGTCCATGAAATATAATAACCAACCCGCCAAATGGCCAAATAGCTATTGATTTGACAGAAGCCATTATCACATAATACAATAATTCAATAATAATGATCACTTTTGTATGTTTCCTTTCTTTGAATTTCATTGCAAGCCATTTTTTTTCTACTAAATTTTTAGTCTTGTGCAATATCAAATAAAACATTTTTATAATAATGATTTTGGTGCTTTTATTTTTTCTCTTTATGAATGTTTTTTATTGTCCAGTGCATTTCTCCCTATTAAGTATTAACACGTTATATTTTCATTGCGGATTTTTTGGGCTCAATACGGACTCTAAATGTATGCATTTTCTTTTAGTTTTAAGGCGTATGCGGATTTTATAAGTCCGCAATGACGATATAACGTGTTTATTTGTATTCTTTAATGTGAACTGCTGTTTTTTAGCTTGTTAATATTATAACGCAATTTTTTCTTATTACAATTTTATATTTGGCTATTCTTTTTTACCTTTGTATTGTTTCCATTTGCATGTCTGAATAAAATATATCATGAGAATGAAAGAATAAACAAAAATGAAAAACATGAGCATCTATTTTAATCTAATCCTGTGACTTTAAATATTCTAAAAACATTAATACTAAAAACAATGTTAATAATATTATTTATTATGTAAGTAAATAAAATAAAAAATACCTTAATAGCTTCTTTCTCACCACCATCTACTGCCTTCAGACATTTCTCAACCTGATCAGTTATCTGAATCTGAGTGGTGAGGTGAACAACCTCAGCAACATTGTCCAACATCCAAGACTTGGAGGTTGGTACGGAATCGTCTGATGTCTCTTTTGCACCTGGAAGATTCTTCTCATAAATACCTGTACGGCTACCAGATCGGCTGCTCAAATCTGTTGAAGGTAATTATTAATAATAATCTATTAAACTCTATGAATATTTAAATTTTAGAAACTACAAAAACAAACCTTATCTCTAGGGGCAGGTCCAGAATTCCTAAACAAAGAGGTAGGTGGGGGGGGGGGCAGGGATTGGGATACACCCCCTACAAAGGTGTGTGCCTTTTCCCCAGGCTCATCCAATGGAAATTTGCTCAAATAGGTAGAAATCACCTCATATTCCCTTATTCTGCAAGCTACTAAATAATTGAGTCCACACTTAACCTTCAAACCCCTCTCCCCCCCACCCCCATCAGCCTCTACATTAATACTCATAGATGCACTACTAAATTAGGGTTCCCTTCCAACTACCCTTACTCTAAATCTGGCTTCATATCGTTATAGATAAATACTAGAGCATTATTAATAATGAATGTAACAAATTGTAAAAATTGTTGCATACCTTTCTTGTCATCTTTCAACAAAGTGACTCGTCTAGCCCCAGCACTATGGATCTCTCGCTCAACCATCCTGCTATTGGCTACCTGATGATTGAGGGATGATGTTAGCTGCTGCTGGAGGCTAGATTTGATTGTAGGAATCAACACAGCTAGCCAGTTTTCAATTGGACCATCACAAACAACAGTCTAGTAGAGATGGAAAAACAAAATGCATGAAACAGTACATAAATATTGACTGCTAGTTTTCTTTATATGGCAATAAAGGTATCTTGATATTTTGAGCAAACTTTATTAAAGAAATAATGAACCAACCGCAAAGTAAAACAAATTTAAAAAACATTTACATATAAAATATTTTCGGAATAAAAAACTATGTAATTTGCCGAGTGGTATTGCTTACACAATTTTAGGAATGAAGGCTCATTCTTTGCCATAAACATGTCTATAATTAATTCCATAAAATACCCTTTCGATATGTAAAAAAAAAAAAGTACAATGGATAATTAAAATGTACACACCTGTTTAAGAGGAAGTTTCTCTCCCAAGTTGCTCAAAACACCTGTAACTTGAAAATGGGCCTCCAAATCCTCCGGAGCTTCCTCAAACACAAGCCGTCCCATGTTCTCAAACAGTTTGGGTAGGTAAAGGTTTGCCATATTCAGATCATATCCTGTAAAAGGAGAGTAAAACAGAACTTGTCTAATCAATACAGTATACATCAGTAGTGATGATGTTAGTCTACGAGTGAGACACGTGGAAAAAATAACTACCGGTTATAGTATTGGAAATGTATTGGAAATTCTCTCATAAGTAAACACACCTTTAGAGAATAATTGGAACAGTCAACTCTCCATCATACACATTCTCATTATAATATAAGAAAAGTACAATTTACAGAAAACACTAATCACCATAACACAACTAAATAGAAGAAAAAGCATATAAAAAATAAAAATATATTCCTGGTTTTATCATGTCTAAACATATGTTAAGCCCTAGCCAGACTATAAAATGTTATTGGACAAAAAATGTGACATGCCCAAATATGGTCATGATGACATCACATCATGACCATATATAGGCACATCATGTCTATATATTGGCATATAACATGATAGTGTGGACATGATAGAGTTAAAGATGTTTGTATCAGCCCGAGCTAAATACATTGTTATTGTCATTACATTCTGCAAGGGATGCAGGTTTGCATTGTTACTCCGGTAGAAGGCATTGCAGGAAGTATTCTATGGCTTGTGTTGGATGGACACTGATCACTTATCGTAGATAAAAGCAAAACCAAAAGTAAGAAAGCAGAATCTACTGATAATAGAGTAAAGCTCTGTTCACACTATCAAATTTTATGTGACAAAAAATGTGACATGCCCATATTTGGGTGTAATCCAGGTTTGCATTGTTACTCCGGTAGAAGGCATTGCAGGAAGTATTCTACGGCTTGTGTTGGATGGGCACTGATCGCTTATCGTAGATAAAAAAGCAAAACCAAAAGTAAGAAAGCAGAATCTACTGATAATAGAGTAAAGCCTGTCTCTTATACACATCTAGATGTGTATAAGAGACAGTGCCTCCCCACAATAACTGAGTCCACACTTAACCTTCAAACCCCCCACTCCCCATCAGCTTCTACATCAATACTCCTAGATGCACTACTGAATAAGGGTTCTCTTCCACCGCCCTTCTTCTAAATCTGGCTTCATATCGTTATAGATAAATACTAGAGCATTATTAATAATGAATGTAACAAATTGTGAAAATTGTTGTATACCTTTCTTGTCATCTTTCAACAAAGTGACTCGTCTAGCCCCAGCACTATGGATCTCTCGCTCAACCATCCTGCTATTGGCTACCTGATGATTGAGGGATGATGTTAGCTGCTGCTGGAGGCTAGATTTGATTGTAGGAATCAACACAGCTAGCCAGTTTTCAATTGGACCATCACAAACAACAGTCTAGTAGAGATGGAAAAACAAAATGCATGAAACAGTACATAAATATCAACTGCTAGTTTTCTTTATATGGCAATAAAGGTATCTTGATATTTTGAGCAAACTTTATAAAAGAAATAATTAACCAACCGCAAAGTAAAACAATTAAAAAACATTTACATATAAAATATTTTCGGAATAAAAAAATATGTAATTTGCCGAGTGGTATTGCTTACACAATTTTAGGAATGAAGGCTCATTCTTAGCCATAGACATGTCTTTATATAATTAATTCCATAAAATACCCTTTTGATATGCAAAAAGAAAAAAAAAAGTACAATGGATAATTAAAATGTACACACCTGTTTAAGAGGAAGTTTCTCTCCCAAGTTGCTCAGAACACCTGTTACTTGAAACTGGGCCTCCAAATCCTCCGGAGCTTCCTCAAACTCAAGCCGTCCCATGTTCTCAAACAGTTTGGGTAGGTAAAGGTTTGCCATATTCAGATCATATCCTGTAAAAGGAGAGCAAAACAGAACTTCTCTAATCTATACAATATACATCAGTAGTGATGATGTTAGTCTACGAGTGAGACAAGTGGAAAAAATAACTACTGGTTATAGTATTGGAAATGTATTGGAAATTCTCTCATAAGTAAAAACACCTTTAGAGAATAATTGGAACAGTCAACTCTCCATCATACACATTCTCATTATAATATAAGAAAAAGTACAATTTACAGAAAACACTAATCACCATAACACAACTAAATAGAACAAAAAGTATATAAAAAATAAAAAAAATATTCCTGGTTTTATTATGTCTAAACCTATGTTAAGCCCTGTGCAGACTATAAAATTTTATTGGACAAAAAATGTGACATGCCTAAATATGGTCATGATGACATCACATCATGACCATATATAGGCACATCATGACTATATATGGGCATATAACATGATAGTATGGGCATATAACATGATAGTGTGGACAGAGCTAAAGATGTTTGTATCAGCCCGAGCTAAATACATTCTTATTGTCATTACATTCTGCAAGGGATCCAGGTTTGCATTGTTACTCCGGTAGAAGGCATTGCAGGAAGTATTCTACGGCTTGTGTTGGATGGGCACTGATCGCTTATCGTAGATAAAAAAGCAAAACCAAAAGTAAGAAAGCAGAATCTACTGATAATAGAGTAAAGCTCTGTTCACACTATCAAATTTTATGTGACAAAATAATGTAACATGCCCATATTTGGGTGTAATACAACATCATCATGCCCATATATGGGCACATCACTCAAATTTGTCCCATAAAATTTGACAGTGTGGGCAGTGATTAAAATTTTACAAGCATTTACCATTGCAGACAATGTGTAGTACATCTTCCATGGATAAGAAATAGAATCGAGGAAACTTCTGGCGCCTTTTCTCCAGATGATCTAGTAGAGATTTACGGCAAAGCTCCAAATGGTGGTTCATCTTCTCCAGCAAAGGCAATATGCCTGCAAAAAAAGCAATACACTAGTAACTAATACATTATCCTAATTTGCAATATACATGTCTCCCTCTAATAAGAGACCAATTTTGGAACCGGGCATTACAGTCTTTCGCAGCTTTGGTCATCAATTATAATAATAAAGATAAAAGACATTTGTTAATTTGGAACTACAGAAAAGTGGTCTTTAATTGGAGGTGGTCATTAATTGGAGTGATCTGTAATTACAGGGAGACCTGTATCAATAATTATCAATATTTAAAAAATAGCATATGCATAGTGGCTTTCCCGAAACCCGGAATGATACAGGTTGATACTTTGAAAAAATATTTAAATTGTGTCTCTAAATTATAATTTTGTTAATAAACCACCTGATAGAAATGTAGCTGCATTTGGAAACTACTATGTCCAGATGTAATTACTAAGTGGTGCAAAATCTATCAATAACATTAGATATTCAATTACCTTTTCTTTGACAACATTGCAGTACATTTGGGTTTCGTTCTGTTGCTCTCATAAGGAGTCTAAAATCTCTATTAGCTGAGCTAAACAAACCAGACTCATGGTTTAGTGATGTCTTGATATCCAGCCCACTGAAGACCTGAAAGTTTCGAAGAAGGTAATCCATTATGTTCTATCGACCCTAACAAATTTCATATTAAAAAAAACAAATCAGTAGTGATGTTGAGATACAGTATTTACCTGGATAAACTGATAAATGCCTAACTTTCCTTTGAAACTTACTTCTCGAGCATAAAAGAAAAATAATGGAATCACCCTAGTTTGAGAGGTAAGTTTCAAAGGAAAAAGAAACTCGGGCATTTATCGGTTTATCCCGGTAAATATTATTGAAATAATCTACTGTTAAGTTTAGGCCTTGAAACATATATTATGTTAGAATTTAATGTCTCTGGATTCCAATGTGTTACTAATTCAATACAACTCAAAGTTCAAAGACATGATTCTCATCATGATATATTCACATGATATAATTAGCCTTAAAACTTTCATTAAAACAAAATGGACCTTTCTGAAGTGTCAATCAAACGAAACAACTGACCAATCAGAACAATGGCAGGAAGACGCACATGTCCTACATACACAAATGTTGTCCCACAAACACACACGTTTGTGTATGTTCTTACACTTGAACTTTAGCAATAATATCCAAAGACCAGGGCTTAGCTGGAAGGTCCATTCTCACTGATTACCAAAGACTCTTATCTAAGGGAGAAATGACAGAGGTACAGGGGAGGGAGAGAGCAACCTTATTGAAATAAAATACCTCCTCAAGCTCCACCCACTTCACTTGCACTTCTAACCACACAGTCAATACTGCCTCGATAGTCTGTAGTCGCTTTTGCCACTTCAGAACTTCATCGAGGAATGAACCAGCTGCGCTACTGCTTTGCATGCTCTGGAGAGACACCTGGTGGGACTCCAACTCATCAAATATTGGATCAACATCTGAAAGCAGGTTCAGTACTCCAGAGTCCTGAATAAAATGAAACCACATAAGTCCTTTAAAATCCAACATATAAATTTTCTTAGAATAACCTTTGTAGGGGTTTATCACTGTAACAGTGATAAATGAATGAGAACGTAAATGTGGTACTGTGGTTAGCAAAAGATTTGCGGCAACCAGAAATTAAAGATTACATGATTTTCCAAAGGCGAGTTTATTTAAGAAACAACTGTTATAGCCAGCTTGTCCAGTTAAGTATTATGAAATAAGCAAATTTATATGTTCTTTATATTTGATATAGAAGAAATTAAATAGTGTACGAAATACTATATCATAGTATATTCCTGAATATTTCAGAAAAACAATGTATTTCTTTAATTGGCATTCGAACCCAATACTCTGCTACCCAATTACTCTACCAATACCAAAAGCTATGAGGCTAAGCTGTAGTCACCATTAAGGAGCTATTGACTAATTAGCATATAGACCCACATGCACCCCTTAGGAGGTGCCCCCAATCTCACCTCTCCAAGGTTAAGCAGTGAGGCTGGCAGGGATGACACACTAGCTCGTCTGTGTCTTCCACCTCCTGTCCCCAAGGTCTGACTAGACATACGGCTGTGTGCACGCCGGCCTAGAATCATGCTTCGTGTTCCTGTTCCCGCCTCTGATTCGGAATATTCACTCTTGTTTCCGTCCTGAAAATAAAAAAAAAAAATTATTATTATTATTATTTCATTATAGTCATGTAATAAAAATGATAAAAATAATTTTCAAATAATGATAATGATGATGTATGATAATAAAAAATGGTATTGATAAAGATGATGATGGTTCATAAATATTAAATGATGATGATTATGATGATGGTGATACACAGTGCATTTAAATCATGTAGGACCAAAATCACAACATATTACAGTGAGACTTACAATTACAAGCCATAATGTTAGTAGAGATGCAAAACCATTTCACATCTTCAAAATTTTACTTACGTCTTTATCCACACGCTCAGCGACAGCAGTGGTACGAACATGTGTTTTCAGATCAAAGATCTTACTCAGCCAGATCTCTTCATATGTCCTGAGGGCGCTTTCAATTGAGACATCCTTCACTGCACGGTACACAATAGCTCGAACCTCATCAACATGATCTATAATTCAAAATTGGTAAGATTTTACAGAGCATGTAAATGTAAGTAAAAAATCTTAGCTTAAACAATCAAGATCATTATCATACTTTATAGTTTATTTTGTCAGCAAATAGGGTGCGGTTGTGTAGTTATTCATGGTTAGGTTGGATTGTGGATTTAAGTTGTTCAAGTGTTGGGAGGGATGTTATGGATTGTTACAACGTGTTCGAAATTGAATACTGTTTTGTAAAAAGAATGTGTCCTAGCAAAATTTTGTATGTATTTTACATAATTAAACAAAATTTTCTTATAGAACATATTATTTTGTATACTGTATAATTTCAATATCCTGTAATTACTTAATGTTTTTATTCTTTAATTTGTTTTAAGATATAAATATTCCTCACTTTGTAGACCAAGTTGTAGAAGTTGACCAAGAGTCATTCTTTTCAGGCTATCATTGTCAATCTGTAGGATGCCTCCGGTCACTCTCACTAGCTGTTTCCAGTGACGTGTCCTCATGGCTGGATTGCTCAGGTCATCTATCAGGGGTAGACAAGCCTAAGAAAAGAAAAACCAAAACATTACATATCAAAAAGTTTAATCCACCAATATTATTTAGCATGTGTTTATGTCAGAAATTTTTTTTTGGGAGCAGTTCAGTGATTGCAATTCAGGCTTTTAACCTGTTTAACTAGGGTTGGATTTTTACCTAACCACCTATTAATTAAAAGATAATTAGCTATGGCAATACAAAATAATAAAAATTAAGTTGAACCATTGGTGGCAGCAAACAAAGTAAGGCACTCACTGTATTGTACGACGGTCCTACGACAACCATCGTACAACGAATACAATTCCACTCCTGTGAGCGCTAGATGACGCTACGCCATTTGCTGGCTGTCGGTGGCTGTTTGAACGAATGATCGTTAAAAACAATCCATTGTGTGCACGCCGTGCATTTGCCTTCTCCGTGGAGTCGCGTCGGCTGACGACCTTCGTATGTAATGAGTGCCTGGCTTAACCACATATAATACCTGCTTTATATTAAGAGCTGGCAATTACCTGGATTACTAGAATGGACTCTTGCATCTGCAAGTACACATCCCATACATGGACATCATCGGGAAGTGAGCGGACCATGGTCAACTGGTCATTAGTAGAATCACGTAGGTACTTGGTGTTCATCTTTTGCCAGGTCTCCTGCTTCCATTGCTCCTGCTGGTCATTGACCTCCTGAACTGTCTCCCACACTTGTTGTAGATTGCGCAGTTCATGACGGCACCTATATTATATATTTGGATTGGTCAGTACAGAATATTCATCACAGAGAATGAAGTTTATAAATTACACTTAAAATTACCAAGCTTCGTCCACCCTATCATATTTGATGTGACAAATTTGTGTGATGTGCCCATATTTGGCCATGATGATGTCATATTACACCCCTAATATGGGCACATCACAGTTATTTGTCAGACAAAATTTGATAGTGTGGACAAAGATTAATACAACTTACTCTGGTAGGATGGAGAAATTGACCACTGCTGTTTCAAGTAGCTCTTGTAGCTCGATCAAATCCTAGCAAAAAACAAATATTTATGAATTATTTAAAAGGCAAAGGTAGGAGTATAACCCATAATTCGCAGTGTCATTGTGCTGAGTTGTGTATGGGTGTGGTTTGTGACTACCTAGCCGCAGTAAACTGGTGCTTATAACAGCTAAATGTTCACATCACAGCGGTTGAACCATATCATTGGGGTGACCCCCTACTAAAGATGAAATGGGTTCTTTAAAGTGCACACAAGTACGATGTGTACACTGGATTTCCATTTTAAGTCCTCATCTGAGAACACTTGGTTCAACCTACTGAAACCTGGAAGAGGAGAGGCTCGAAACAGGGCCGACGTTACGGCTATAATTAGTGGCACCCCTGCTTTACCATTCCACCAGTTGACTTGCCCAATTGCCAACAAAAACATGATTGATTTTAGAACACAGAATAAACTAAATGTACTACATAGCTTATAAAGTGGTTTATAAGATAACATTATACTCATATTAAAATACAATATATAATATAATATTAAAACTACATAAGTTTAAATATAATAAAATGATAAGCAGTAGAAATATAACATACAAAATACACTGTGGAAATACTTGAACAACATGAAAAGTTTAATAACTTGTGCAAAATAGAGAAAAAGCCTTTAGATTATATTCTAATCATTACATAGAATCATCAATTGAAGTGCAATTATAGACATTCAAGGGAACAACTGATTTCATTTGAACTATAATAAAATAAAAAATAAAATAAGTGTAGCTCTTGCCAAAATGAATAACGACAACTGATAATATTACACAGTAAAGCTTTACATCCACAAACAACCAGCTTTGCATTATGTTAATCTAGTTGATATAGCATCATATAAAACTAATTTACTAAGCTTTAAAATTAATATTGTATTGTAAGATTTGACTTTAGTGCAACATTAATATACTGTAGCTACAACAGTCACTCCATAGAGTGTATACCTCTGCTCTGTGCCTGTATACTGAAAATATGCAGGCCGTGTATAGTGGGCTATTCCATTACTTTTCCCTGTGCACGAATACTAAACAATACACTAGCACTGCAGGGGAAAAAAAAAAAGGAATTTCTGTGACCTTGACCTGTTAACTTTTCTTACCAAAATTTAATAATTTCTTCCTTTGAATATTATGTACGATTCCACTAAATACTATTCATTAGTTTTTGCGCAATTTTGCTAACAGACAGGCAGCGGTGAATACACAACCTCCTTTGGCTGAGTAAATAAGCATTGTAACCCAGTGAGATGCGCAATTCATCTATGAAAGTGACTCTGATAAGCAGAAACAACTATACTACATTATTCAGTAGTATATGAAGATGATATTTTTTTTTTTAAGATAATGTATGGCCCCTTGGAATTTTCTATTCAAACAAGTATATTGTTTCTATCTATAAACTACTACACATGCAACAATTGAAATAAATATAAGTTCTGCTGAAATTAAAATTCTATATAATCTTACCACAGGGAAGGAAAGCAATTAGGAACTAGTAGGTGATAGAGGGAATAAGATACACACATTAATAAATCAAACCATGCAACTAATGACAGAATTTATACATAAAAGTTAGTTTATAAAAGTTAGAAATTTAAATTATATAACAATACTTGAGTTTTTCTTGTATGCTGTTATAATAACTTTTATACACTAATTAAAACATATACAATATTTTAAGATAATGTGTCATGAAAATAATATTGTTTATGTATATCATACAGTATGTAAGATATTAATGATTAAAGACATTAGTTTAGTTAGTTTTAGTTTATATTTTTATATAGTAGCACCTAGTCCTTTAGGTTACAAAGCACATTTGTTTTTCCCTGGTTATTGAATCCACATGCTAAATGTTTCTACAAAATTATGTGCATTAGTATAGTCATCCTACTATTGATTCATATTGAAAGGGAACTAGAAAGATGATACTTTTTTCTGGAGGGAATTTTTGATATGTCATAATTAACAGAATCAACTTAAAAAAAAATCTTTTTTTTTGTTGCAATTTTTCATGAAGTTATAGGCCATTACCCCTTACCCCCTTCAGCCACTGCTGATTTTTGGTTACAGCTTACACTGATGTCACGCTGCTAAAGAGGGAAAATTGTCTAGGCTTATGGCTTCATAAAAATGGCCAAAAAACGATTTGTAAGTTGATTCTATTAATAGTGACATATTAAAAATCCCCTAGAGAAAAAAAATTATCTTCTAGTTCCCTTTTAAAATTTAATGATAATGTCCTAATGCGTAGTGAAAAAACCTTCACCGTATATTTGATTATTTTATTAGCCTTCTCTTACCTGAGCTTCATTATCAAGCTGGTCCAGCTGATGGAAGAACTGGCTGATAGCTTGGAAGGCATTCTCCATGCCACATTCTCTTGAGTACACATCTGATGTCATCAGTGTGTGGCTTAACTCCTCAACATGCTTTCCAAAGGCAGCCAAGTCCTAAAAATTTTAAAATCACAAAAATCAAAATGATGTTGTTTGTTAGCTTGAGTGTTCAATAACTACAGTTAAACTTGCCTAACTCGAATTTGCTAACTCAAATAAGTCGATCATATTTTACATGCTAAATTGTTGTGATTTCCATTAATTTTCAATCTGTACTAAAGTCAAATTTTATCTAATTTTCAATGCCATTGTGGATTTGACTTAGGCAAGTTCAACTGAACATAAACACGGATTATTGATGGTAATGTTAGCTGTTTATCAGCGAGATACTTAAGCAGATGAATGAATAATCAATGAAAGACTTTGTATGATTTAGAGTAGCATTCTGCAAACTTTTTGACTGACAACCCACTTCAAGATATTCAGACATGAATCACAAAGTACTGACACCTTATCCACACATACCTAATTCAGATATCTAGCCCTAGAGCATTATTTTGGGACTTGGATTTTTAAATTTAGATTAAAATAAGTAAACATGCTTAAACAAAAATAAACATTACAACAAAATTATAATGAACAATGACTGTACTTCGTTGTAATTACAAATAAACAACAAGTACGGAGATTGATGGCTTCATTTATTTTATAAATAACATAATTCAAATTATCATAATGCCTACACAAAATTAAGTGACAAAATTAATAAAGCTGATTGTGGTGATTTCTGTCAGTGTCACAGCTTTGTGATCTACCAAAATTGTTTTGGTGACCCACCGGCGCGGGCCATGACCCAACGTTCCACAGGTTTAGAGCATTCTTTTATAAGTGTAGAGACGTTTTTAGTGCCACAGAGAGATCACTAGCATTCATTGATTGATTTACAAAATATACTAAAGGTTAATAGTTTTTAGAAATTGTAGTATAGAAGCAATTTGATCAGTCCACTGGTAAACTTCTGGTGTGTAAAGCAGCATTTGCGACTATGACTTTGAGCAGAAAATATATTCTTCAAACTATAAATTAAACCAATAAGCATACCTTGGTAATTCTAGCCGACTCCTCTTGGATCCTAGGCCCTAGTCGCTGTTTGGCTAATGACACCTTGGTCTTGAGGTTATTCCAGCGGCTTGGAGCAGCGCTAAAGAGTTTCTGCGTGGCTTGTGGCAGGGTGTGGCCATATTTCTCTATGAGGAGGACAGTGCGGTTCATTGCTGTGAACTTGCCATCCATCTCTTGCTGCTTAGCAGATACCTGATTATAATATATACGGGGATTAAATATACAGGGGTAATGATAATGTCAAGTGTATAGAGGACTAAGCAATATGCGCTATATAAGTCTATCATATTGTTATATCAAGAGTCTCCTTATACTCATAAATAAAGTTCATTTCTAACACTACCACATCTCAACACACAGCACAGGCTTACCGTATTAAATAGTCTCATCATTTTCATGAATGAAGCTGTGTCTCTCTCCTCTCCGGTAATACTTTCAATCTCAGGCTCTGTTCTCTTCAAGAAATCATCTAAATCTCGAAGCATACCTGTCACCTGCAGAAAAAAAAAAGATATTTGTAGTAACTATTCTGTCAAAGCTCTGTATCAATAAAAAAATTATTCAGTAATGTTGTTTAGGATCAATGACATTCTTAACTGGATAAACCAGGCAACTATCCATTCATTTAGACAGGTGTTCACAAAATAAACAATAATAAAACCAAGTGCAATTGTTTTTCTTTAATTTATTAATAAATAATTATATAATTAATTTTAAAAAATTACAAATATTTAAAATACTTATACAACTATTATCAGTTCTGGTGATGTATTTCAAACATTTAAAATGTAATTTGGACAATACTGTAAAGTGAAAGTCCTTTTATATGCATATTTATTCAAAAATACAAGAAAGGTATTAGGGATGATACAATAAGAAAAATTAATATAGTAAGTTCTTACTTGATCTGACAGATATTTGATGAAAGTCCACATCCACCTGCTGGTGTAGGTTGTCAGAACCTGTTTAATTGGTGTCATGTCAACCCTAAGCCATCCCACATCCGTGTAATCCATAATGTTAGCAATTTCATCACGTGATCGCTGCAAAGCAATTTCATTTGTCATTACCTGTATCTACTGTTGATCATTATTAACAAGAAATAATGATGGAAGTCACCATGGTTTATTTTACTTGCTTTTTGTTCTTCACACCATTTCAGAAAGCACACACTTCTATTTTGAACGAATTTGCTGCACGCATTCTATATCCACTTCAGTCAGATGGTATTGGGTGCACTTCTATGGCACAAGCCTTGATTAGCACTACCAGCCTGCTGTGGTACCAGAAACTATTGTGCTTCTATCATCTTCATTTGCTGTGGACCATCTGATAGGTCCACTGGGTTCTAATAAACTTGCAAAGTCTGCTAGACATGTATTTATATTATTATTAACATTTTTTAGATATTTATTGTTTAGCTTCAAATGTTATGTGAACCTCATACAGGTCTTTTCATCAGGATGTGGAATATTGGTCTATCACATTCTTTAAATATTTTATCATCACATGTATAGTACTGTATATAAACATTTTTAAAGTTAAAATACAGGTCTCAATTTAATTAAAAACACCTCCAATTACAGAATACCTCCAATTAAAGACTACTTTTCTCTGGTCCTATATTAACATAATGTCTTATTTTTATTATTGTAATTAGAGACCAAAGCTGCTAAAGACCATGAACACCCCAATTCCAAAGCGTTCTTTACTTGAAGGGAGACCTGTGTCTCTAGATTGACGCTGCATACGACTTACCCTATAGACATCAATCTCCACATCAAACATGTCAAGAGATGGCACATTGACATGTTCATCTCGTGAGTGCTGTGGAGAAAGGAAAGACTTCTCTGCCGTGCCCATTAATCCTGCTCGACCAATGCTATTAGAAGCGGAGCTAGCTCTGCAACAAGGAATGAATTATTGGTACACCTTAGATAAACTTTGTCCAAAATCATTTCTGACAATCTTCTAATAGGTATTGTGACTCTAAAGTTTCATGTGAAAAATATCTGCAATTTGCCCATATATGGGTGTAATATGACATCATCATATCTACTGTGTATAATGTGGAATCACAGTGTTTGTTGGACACACATATTCCTGGCCCTGTTCTGATTGGTCAGTTGTTAAGGTCAAAGTTTACCTGCCACTACGAGCCGATATTTGGGATCTTGCTGATGCTGCTGATCTCATAATGGTTGTCTTCTTAGGAGAGCTGGTCGGGGTAGGGGTCAAACGTCCATACAGAAACTCTTCAAATGTTTCACTGATGTCCTGCATCCACAGGAATGTGTAGTTACTGAACAGCTCTAACAGTTTCTATAATAAAAGTAATAATTATTATTATTCATTCTCTTTTTATTTTGGAAATATATCCATATACTTACAATTACCAGTTACAATAAGATGATTACAAAAAGGAAAGAAATTGCACTATAAAACTTTAAAATTACAAAAAATACAAAGCAAAAGTCAGCATGACAATGATGCATCTTGTTATAAAATAAGGGGTGGCATAAAAATGGTTAGGAGGGCTGCACCAAAACTTTGATGTCTAAAAAAAAACCCCTTCATGATTCACTGCTTTTATGCTGATTTAATATTACTTTTTGCAGGTGATCGGTGTCAGGTCGTAAAAAACAAAGTGTTTTCTAGCCAAATATCGTAGGTGGGCCTCATACATGAGGTTTTTAAAATTTACTTTTGCTCCCTCAATCTCTATGTGGCCCGTGGGCTACACATTGCCCACCTGTTGATTATAAAAATACTTTACTACATACCTTACACTCCTCACTGTTTTCTCTCACTAGCAAAGTTATTTGCTCTGAAAGCTGGAGTATTTCTTCATCTAATGCGATGAAATCATGATATCCTCCCTAATTTAATATAAATGAATCAATAAAAATTAAGTAGTGATTTTTATGACGATGAATGTTGCCGTGTTGATGGTATTCACAACAATGATAATGGGAATTACATAAATATACAAACATGGTCATTCAGTTGCTTTTGAGATGTTGATGTTGCTGGCTATGAAAATTAGTATTGAGATTCACTTACGTACTGAAAATTAATTTCTTTTTTTTTAAGTTGTTAGATGAGTGTCGCAATGTTTCAAAGGCATCTGAGCATTTTCAGAGTATGAATGTATGACATTGAAAATAATTACGCTATGCAACGTGCTGTATCATGCAAAAGACTGTGCAATAATATTTTAGAATGCAGTGAGCTCATTATTATTGTTTTTGAAAGGAATACTTTCCTTTGTGATATACTAATGGTATATTTATAGATGAAAAATGAGAGGGCCTGGTGGTGGATGTATTTAAAATGTATGATAAAATTAAATTGTACTATTTTAAAAAGTTTGTTTATGACATGACATCAAAAAATTTATCCTCAGGGTCTTTTACCTTCAGATAGTAAACGGATGATTAAAAGAATGAAATAATTTAATTATTTTAGAAAGTTAGTGTTAAATATGATATGATATCAAGAAACTGATCTAGACAATGCTAAATTACCTTCAAATAGTAATTCTTGAATCGCTAGAGTAAAACACAACAGGAGCACCATTTACTTTTTATAACTTAACTTGATTATTTTCAAATTAAAATCTCTGTTATTTCAGTTTTCTGAATGCTTTTAATTCTAGAAAATACACTAAACGAAGTATAAAAAGAATGTACATAGTACCTCAGATTCAGGACTTAGCATGGGTACTAAGGAGCCTCGACCCCTGTACATGTTCAACCACTGATCAACCTCTTCTTCAACGCAAGTAACAGCTGTGTTATGGTCCAATGGTGGTGTAAACGACACAGCATTTTCTATCAGCTCCAAACGGATGGTCAAAATCGGTACAGATATCTCCTGAAGGGATAAAGGGCAACAGAATGCAAAATTGATAAATGCATATTTTCCCCGCAACCCCCAATCACAATAAATTTTTCAAAATTATTCAACAAATGGAGAAAAAAAGAAAAATATATACACATTTAAATCTGAGAGTGCTATTTCCAGTCATCTAGGGGTGCCATTATTATAAATTTTCTTGTTTTGATCTCTAGACCCTCCATCTGTGAAAGTCCCTCGCTAGGCATCCTTTATTTAATTCAAATTCCTGGATCTGCCACTAGCAGTATTATTATTTTTAGGGGTGTTTTTAGTGCACACTGGCAGGTGAGTAGTCAATTTCATATCGTTTCATTTACTTGGTCTAAAGAACAACCAAAAAACATAATGACAGAGGGAGGGAATAAATCAAATGGGCGGACAGGTTTGTTAGAAAGAGAACTAAATTACTGTCTAGTGGCTGATACCAATAAGAACATTTATTATCATGCTAGGACTTATTAATAATAAATTACAAGCTATATTTTAATATTTATTTATATCTTCAATATATCTGCAGTTGATTTATGTGGGAAAAAAAAATTAAAAACATAAGGAAAACATAATAATATAGAAATATACAATACTAACCTCTGCCATATTACAATGTACCAAAGTATTGAGCATGTTGCGTAATGACTTCAACGTAGCTTCTTTGAGGCCATCCAACACCAATGCATCAATATGTTCAACATAATCTTCCCATGCTGGAGAGGCTTTGCTTATTTGCACAGCCTTAAATTAAATGAATAATGTTAAGTATGGAAAAGAACATTTGAATATTCATGCTGGAAACATTTTCAAGTTTAAAAGATTATGAGTTCCTACAATTTTTTGAGTGGTGTTTCATTAAGTAAACACTGGCAATTTGGTATATCTAAGTATTCATAAAATATACTTGACTTGGTTGTTGAATCTGTTGTACAGTAATTATTTAAAGTAACAAACATATTCTGAATAAACAGACAATGTAGTTTGGTTAAAAGTTCATAGAATTTGTTTATTAACATACCTGGAATGAGTCCATGAGAAGAGAATGGATGCGCTGTCCAGATGGCTTTACATTACGTTCAAATTCTTCATTTAGTTTTCTGAAAAAATAAAACATTATTAACAAATGTCCAAATAAAAATGACAGAGCATCTGTATTGGAGGATGGTAAGCTACACTGAAGCTGATGAAACTAAAAATCATATTGAAAAAGAAAATAAAATGAGGATAGTGAAAGAAATGAATTGAGTTTGAACTAACATTTGCCATTCTATGAGGTCATTCATTGAGTAGCTTGTATCATTGTCCCTTGATGTAAATACATCCAGTCCAGCTAATGACCAGCACTGTGTTATGTCCACTATCTCCTGGCAGTTGGTCTGTATAATGGCGAGTGTCCGGTGAAGGTCCAAACTGACCAATGACGATGCCAGTTCAATGAAGTCGGCACTCTCTGTCATATTCCATGTGTAATGGTTCAAACCTTGATCAAATAACTGAAATATGAAACAGAAATGAAGTCAACGAATCAAATACTAAATAACATGGTTTACGTAACAAATGTTTTCTATTATTGCTGCATTTCAGTGTAGATCAAGCCTTCACGCAAGTCAGGAAAAGCACTCATCTAACTGATCATCATAACTTCCCAAGTACAGTACTGAATTTAAAGAGATAGCTCCTGCCATTATGCATAAACAACCCTGCACACAATGAAACAAGTACACAGATACAAGCAGTTCTTTTTAGTTGCACATTTTATGTGTTTGTGAATATTACAAGTAAATCCAGTAGAAAAGATTTACTCCTTTATTGTATATTTTATAGTTAAGTATGTTTCATGATGTGTTGAAGATACATATATGGCCTTGTGGAAGAACACCACCTTGATGAATATGCTTCTGTTATAAAAGAAAAATTTTATTATTATTATCATTATTATTATTATTATTATTATTATTATATTACACTAACATGACTGGAACTGAATTAGCACAATGTGAGACAAAATTTGTTATTCTACTTTTTTCTGAAGAGCATCCTGATTTGCTTTTTGGGCACCACTTATTGTCCCAACCATGAACGAGTATTACAGCAAAGTGTTTTATCAAAGCAAATAAGCAAAGATAGGCATTGACAGTTTTCAGGTAAGGGAAAACCTGCTAAAGCCAACTTTGGCATCAACTATAATTACATTTTCAATCTAATTTCTAAAAATATAGTTTATGTCCGAAAATTATATACTGTAGAATCATGAACCAGATTCATCCTACATAATACTGTAAATCAAAACTTACATGATCAATCTTGTTTAACTTCCTTTCAAACAAGGGCTTCTCAAATTCAACGAGACATCTCATAACTGAGTTGTACTTGGCTACAATGGTCTCAAGTCTGGCACCCATCGTCCTCAATGAGTTACCATCTGTATGCCGTAGCATTGTGCGAACATTGTCCGGTAGTTTTATGTTAAACGGTTCTTGCGATAAATAATGAACTTCACGAAGAAGCAAGAGAAGGTCGGGATCCAAGTTGACGTGAACCAACTGTGGCCGCATTTCCACATCGTCACTGAATTCATCAGCGACCTTAAACACAAGAAAAAAAGGTGTCTTTATGCACTGACATAATGGGAATGTTGCCAGTCTATGATTTTAATTAATCAACATTTTGACAAACTATGTATACTTTGACAGATAAACGTGCTACATAATATTACTACTAGTAGTATAATTAATATAATCAATCCATATTTTTTATCAATATATTCACTATTAATATTATTATTATTCTTATATTGAGAATTTATTTGCTTGTGTTAATCTATTATCTTAAACATACCAACAATGGTTGCTTGACTCTATCATGTAGTTCAGCTTGTATGTTTACTTGCCAGTCAGTAATCGTTTTCTCCTCGTAATTTGTGAACTCTTTCATTGCTTCAGCAAATTGATCCCTAAGATGCCAGCCTGTGTCGCCCTCTAGCGAATGTGGACTGACCCTTTTTAGTTTCTCCATTGGCTCCTGTTGAATATAAATGTTCATTATATCATCATTATCACACATACCTCCAGTTATATAATAAAGCTATAAATTAAAGTATCGAAATAGCATTGCTGTACCCGCTGCTATTTAGGGATCGGATTCAACACTAGCCACCGAGCACAACCTCAGTAATCTAGCGGTTATGACACAAGAATCACTTGCGACATTTTTTTCGCAAGTATATGGGAACGTACTGAGTATTCAGTATGACACCATGTCAAGTAGGTAGGTAATTATATTTATTTATACCAATGTAATAGTCAAAGTAGCCACCTGTATTCTTCTTCGTAATGCTCTGATCCAGATGAGTCTGCTGACAACCGGAGGAAAATGGGAATGCTGAGGTGGTGACCTATTCCCTTTGATGAACATGTTCCGAACAGAGATCAATTCTGAGGTGAATGACATCACCAATTGGCTGTCTTTGTCTTTCAGGTGTTTCTGGACGAGCTCCCGGCTGCTGATTCCTTCAAAGACCTCCAGTAAACGCAGCTGAGATCCGATAGTTGGACATTGCTGGAAACTCTGCCTTAGCACAAATGCTAATTGCCTTTCAAGGTCCTGAAAACAATAATTGAAAAATTAATAACATTTATTAAATTATCCTACAATATTTAAAGAGAGAAGTCAACTGACTTAAATCTTATTGAACAAAATATTGGATTACAAAATCAAATATTAAAACTAATTCATGAACGTAAATAAATGTAGACCGTTTTTTACAGATGCTGAGAAGTTTGTAACACCATGAAGAAAATGATTTAAGACTGTTTTAAGCCTCCTCCAAGTAGGCTTTAAAATTTAAGACGATTAACTGGTTAGACCGCGGTATAACAATGGTCTATAATCATAGACCAGTAGTGACGCCAAAACTATAACTGGCTAAGCGTTAAGACCATCTAAAGCAATCCAACCCAGCAATTGTCTATAGCAATCTGCCCAAGGACCAACCAAAATAAATCACTGAAGAAATCACTGTATCAAAATTCAGGGACACAAGATGTTGCCAATGGATGTCTAAATACTGACAATAAAAAACAATGCTACAAAATGTATTAAAATTACGGTACAATATTAATAAATTACATTTGCATTACCTACAGGAAATTATTACCTTAACAATTGTTCTAAATGTAAAAAAAGCTTTTTCGAAGGCCTGTGTTGCCATCAAATCTAGAATATTCTCCACATTTCGGTTGAAAGAATCCATGCTCTCCGTAAACTGCCTGTGAATTTCCCTTACAAGAGCATCAAGACTCTTAGTGCCAGCACCGCCTACTTCAGCAGCCTTCTGCAACAGGTTGAAATGCCCTGTGGTTTGGACCAACTCTAGCAGATCGTTGCATCTAAGCAAAGATAAAGTGAACTAGAATTATTACACTGTTTATTGCATATGCCTTAGCCCCTTTGTCTCATTTTAATGCTTGAATAAATTAGCTTACTTTGTCTATCCATATTGTTTATGTTTAGCTTCACATTCACCTGAAGAAGTGCACTGTGCGCACGAAAGCTAGTATACTGTCAAATAAACTAGTCTTTAAAGTATTTTAATGTTTTTTGAGTTTTATTTTTTATTTTCTATTACATCAGACTAGTACGGCTCATCTATTTTTATAGAATTATTAGATTTATGTTTCCTAGTAAAAGAATAGTCTCCCTATTATTTAATATTCTTCACTAAACAATGAAATTTTACGAATAAGTACTAAGACCCAATTAAAGTTTGTTTTGCCCAAAAAAAACCAAAGAGTAATTGCAAAAATTTGAGGGCTTTTTTTGAAGGAGGAGGGGTCCAAGTTAGCTGTTGTACTGTATGATGTTTGAAAAGCAGTGGTGGATCCAGGAATTTGAAATAGAGGGGGCCCCGAGAGGGACTTTCACAGATGGAGGGTTAGAAAATTTATGATTATGGCACCTCTAGATGGCTGAAAACGGCACTCTTAGACTCAAAATTTCAGTAGAATTTTCTTCTTTTTGAAATTTTTTTTAAATCTTAAAAAATTTAGGGGAGGGGGCCCAGGCCGACTGGTCCCCCGCTTAAATTCGCCACTAAAAAGGTCATCATTTACCAGTAGGGAGCTTTCGATTGCACGACGACGGCAGGACGTAGAACATAATGATGTCACTAAAAATCATCTGCGCATGCGAGAACGTTAAGGTCACCGCATCGAGTAGATTCTGGAACGCAATATGGCCAAATCTACGTATGCAGAGAACGTAGGACGCCAGGTAGGATGGTCACGCATGAGTGATTCTGTTCTCGCATAAATTGAAAGCTATTATATATAATACCTAACCATTGAATTTTATCCCTGCTGTTACAGTTTAAGCAACCAGGATATATGGGGTGAGAGATGGTTGGCAATGAAACCTAAAATTAGGTACAAGCATATTATGAGAGTAGAAAGGAATTGCTTTCCTTGATAATGTACCTTTCCATAAAGCTATTCATGAGGTTGAAGCAAGGGGCATTACGCTGGGGCCAGGGTGAATCAATCCACTCATCCTCCTGGATAACGATCACACTCATGGCACTGGTGGTTCGGAGTAGATCGGCTGTCGGTGTACGTGTCTTGCGGCGACTTGCTGTCGAATACAGCTTTGTGTTGTACAACATGCCTTTCGGTGGGTTCATTGTCCTACAAGATAATAAAAGTATGCAAAATATATCTACATTTATGGATTACGAAGCATTCAAAATTCTACACACAAATACATATTTATACATATTATGAATGAATAAAGATACAGATAGGAAAATAAACCAACTCGCAGTTGAATTGCATACAGGTGCAGTCTGTAACTACTTTAGCAGCCATACAGAGAGGCACTAAGTATCGGCCAGCTATACGAGCCAGATGTGTACACGGGACCTCCCGTTTTAAGACAACATCCGAGAAGACTTGGTTCTAACCAACCCCTGGTCGACTAGAAGCTCAAACCAGCGCCTGTGTTAAGGCTATAGTTAGCAGCACTCCTACCTTACCAATCGACTCAAATAACTGAACTAGATATTAAAGTAAATGGAAAAATCAAGAATTAAAGACCGAATTACATAGAACATAAAATAATCAAGCATCATCATATCTATTTAAAAAGTAAGAATTAAATGATATCCTTACATTGCCTCGGTAGTCTCAGACACACGTTCCATGTTCACTTCATCTGCTCTGTCTTTCATATCAAGGTAGGTGCCCCTGAAGGCAGCGCTTACCCGTAAGGCATCCTTCAAACCAGCATATGACTAATAGAGACAAGAGTAAAACAAAACATTATTTAACTTTTCTGTCCACTATGGTGGATTTAACAACAGTACTGAACTTTGTTAACTAAATGATACAAGAACAGGGGTGGATTTAGAGGGGGTTGGGCTGGCCATGGCCCCCCCTCCCCCTTTTGGAAAGTAAAAAAAAAAAAAAAAAAAAAAAAAGAAAAAGAAAAATTTTATCACCCAAAAGGCCTCAGGGGTTATTTTCGGGCATCTTGAACACAGAAATTTCGCGGGGGCATGTCCTTGGACCCTCCAGAGTATTGCTTTCTCGATCGGCCACACTTTCGGCCCCCTTCCAGCTCCCCCCCTTTTGGACATCTTTGGATCCGCCCCTGAATTATATTAAATTTGTACATGCCGCATTGGGTCTAGCTTTTTTTATTTTTTCGAAGGGTGTTTCATTTCAGGAACAATGGCAATTAGTTGATTTATCCAAGGTTTAACAATAGTACTGAACTTCGTTAACTAACTGATAAAATTAGGTATTAAATTTGTATGTGGCGCACTGAGTCGAACTGTTCTATTTTTTTTTAAGGGGTGTTCCATTTCGGGAACAATGGCAATTAGTCAGTTAATTCAGGTAAGTCCCGTAAATGCTGAAATAAGCGCCGTTCTCATATAAAGGCTGCTCTCGAATAAGCACAGCACCAAACATGATTTTTTTCGTTAAGCACTCTGTGCCTGGTCTACCTTTAGCAAATTCTTATATATTTTCGAATCTATCAAATGTTGCATTGAAATAAAGCATATTTTGGATGGCCTATTTCGTTTTTCTGGCTAAACCCCTGTAGCAACTGCACCTAATTGCTTCCACAAAATTCTTTACAATCCGTTGGGAACTGCTCTACTTTACCTCAAGAGTGTTCTTTAGTATGTGATTCCCTACAAGATTCTCAGCACGTGCTACAACTTCATTGGAGACCAGTCTCAGTAAATTGTGGAAGTTACTTGGCACATGGTAATACCTAGCATGAAAAAAGTAATACATAACGGATGATTCTATTATTTTTTAGGTAACATCTGCTAATAGTATACATGGAACATAGCAGATCAGGAAGTAAGTATTCATGACAGGTGATAAAAGAAACACATAAAACTACATATTGTTGGCTACAATTCCACATGGGTCTTACCTTGAGTGAGACCAAACCAGCATCAATGTGTGTACCAGAGGAGGAAAAATAGTAAGCATCGTAGCAGGGGTAGATGCCAAGTGAAGCTGTTCAAACCAGTGCTTCAATGTCTTCAGGAATCTTAGATTTTCTTCTGTTTCTACCATTGCCTACAATGACATATAAATTGAGTACCAATAATAATATCATCATTAGGCTTGTTGTGGGGGTAAACTCACTATTGTCACATAAATGCTGAAGCGATCATGCTCCCATGATCAATGGGTAGTAGCTTATAGCAAGCTTACCGCCACTGATAAAGGTATGAGGCTACCAAACGTTTCCATAACTATTTTCAATTACTAAATTAATAAAGGTTTTAGGTTAAAATGAAAGCTTACCCTCTATATATATGGCGTAAATTGTTTAAAAATTGCTAAAATACAGTCCTGGCCAGGTGCATGTATTACAAAAAGGCAGTGGCATATCGAGTGGGTGTGATTGGGCCCTCAGTCAGCCCTCATGTTTGAAGCAAAAATATCACGCTCAAGTAGTTAAAAATCACACAATTAATCATTGACCCCCACTTAAACTTTGCACCCCCACCCCCCTCCCCACTTCAACTGACTCCTATTTCAAGACTGAGTATTGAGTATTTTGGCTTGCAGATATACTCAATTTTTTTCATGACACTGACAAAGGAAATTAAAATAAAAAATTTGGAATAATTATTTTTTTGGTCTGCAATAATCATGGAATTTACAACCAAAGCATCTATCTACATCAGGAGAAAGACTATATTAAAACACTATGAGAGAGCCTCTGTGTTACCTGTGAGATTTCTTTTCTGACGTTATGAAATGAGTGTGAGTAGGTACTATTAGCCTCGTCCAAGTTCAGTAGGATATCGCTGGCTACTGCCGAGTCCAGCTGAGTGTTGATGGATCGCAGTTTAATTTGACGTTGTTTCCACAGCGCCAGTTCATCCAGTGGACCTGGATGGGTCCCAAACTGAGCAGCTAACTCTTGCAGAGGTTCATGTTTCAAGACAATCTACAAAATAGGGAGGCATGCTAACATTATTATATAATATACAGTACTCAAAAATTCATGGTATCTAAAGACAGCTGATGAATTTCTAAATGAGATTAAAATCCTTTCAGTTTTTATGTAAAGTAAAATAATTTCTAACATTGTATATAACAATTATTAGGTTTCAATAAAAAATTTGAAAAAAATTATTCTAATTTCTTAAGATGTATAGTCCCCTGAAATCATAAAAAAATAATTTGGAACCATCATAAAAAATTATCTGTTGCGTGAGCGTCATGGGATTGCATTCTGCGTATCTGTCTTTAGAGACATTTTGTTAAATATATTTTAATTTCTCAATCAATCTATATCTTACACGTATCTGCTTAATCCAGCCAATCACTGAAGACTCTAAGACATGGATGACAGCGGCACGTCTGTTTGGAAGGCTAGCAGCATCGGCTAGCACCTCAATGGAAGGTAATGGAAGAGTTATTGTGCCCTGAGGAACAAAGTTTTAAGGAACAATTGGACACAATACTAAAAGAAAATGTCATATTTTTTGTATATGTTCCATTACATTCAATATAAATGTATCATTATAGTATACTCTATTGTTATTCTACTATATTGTTTTTTAGCACTTCATATAATATAATTCATTATTATCACTTAATTCAACACATGGGTTATTCATATCAATATCAGTTAACAAGTAAATGCTTGTAAAATATTCTAAAACATCCTGTTATTGGCAAGTGATTGCTGTTGGATGTGGTTTTTGAAATAAAGAATAAAGAATAAATAAAGTAATGCCATTTTTAAATTTACCTCTAAATGGCCTTCTGTGACTTCAGTCATTCCCATCATCCTATGCAAAATATCTAGCAGTTTGTCTGCGCTGACACCGCCGTAGGTTTGCACACCATCAGTACATAGCAATGGAAGATAAACCTATGGATAGATAATAAATTGTATTAGAGTTTCTATAATGTTTGTGGTATATTGATGGGTACACTAATGGGTACACTAGTTTTTCGTTTAAATTTTTATGTTACTTCACAATGAGAGAGTTAATTTAAAAGTTGATTTTTAAATATGTATTTTTTTTCCAGAGGAAAATACATCTTTAAGCTGGTATTTTAAGACATTGTTTTTTGTTTGGAAAGCTTGTTCTTATTCTGTTATCCCATTTTATTTGTTCGTATAGTAACGTTTTTAATACTTTAAACACAGATCTAGACTAGACTTTTTAAACTGTGTAATGATACAACACCTGTGCAATTTTGTAACATATCTTATTGTACTATCAGTGTCGTTTTTTTATTTTATTTTATATTACTTTTATGAATGCACCGTAAGTGAGTGCACTGCTGTTTCAAAAATGTTGTTTCAAATAAAGTTATTACATAAGAGGAACACTAATTACAGAATGTAACTGACCCGTTAGAAGTGTGCTTATAAAATTAAGCTTAAGTTTTTACCTCCCTAGCAAGCAGATCAAGTTGATTCAGTGCTATTGTATTGCAGTCAGTGTAAACAACATCCTCCCTTATGTTGTCCTTGGTGAGTTTCGAAGCCTGGTTTGTCTTGAGAAAGAACATGGCCTTGCCATGAAACTTCAGAGGGGGACTAATGGACACGGTAAGGGTTGTCTTTGGCTCTTTTGTATACACAAACAAGCGACGTATATCTTCATTATTGCAAAATTCCATAAATATTTGTCTAAAAAAATAAAAAGTAGATAATATTAATTCCCCCAAAAAATTACTCGCGCCCCCCAACCCAAAATCATGGTCAAGTAGTTAAAAAGCACCTAAAATCACCATATTTTGCGAATTAGCGCCCCTTAACTGATCATCAAGCCCCCTCACTTCACCTTCGCGCCCCCCCATCAGCTACCCCAATTCAAGACTTCTAGATACGCCACTGACTACGTCCAGTCCAGACTATCAAATTTTATAGGACAAAAACATTTGATATGCGTAAATATGGTCATGATGACATCACAACATGACCATATATAGGGACATCATGACTATATATGGGTATTCAAAGGTTTTTGTCAAAAAATTTGATAATCTGAACAAAGTTTAAGTAATGACAAGAGTTCTCAACAAACTGGTCAAAACAAAGTAAAGCTATTGACATGTATTTTTATCAGCTTTTGACATAAATGGTTAGAAATAATCATAATAAGTTTACCTATATTCATCACTATTGAAGAGTGTTTTCAGGTCATCGTTACGAGGCCGTAAACTTGATGTTATGTGGACTTCAAACCAGCGGAGCCTCTCATCTACTTCCATCTTCAAAAGCTTCCCAAATCTAGTTATCACACTTCAGGAGTTTATAGGTCTTATCTGAGGGTGTAGATGTTTATCAAATGCTTAGACTAGCACCGGAGCACCTTACCACACTTAGGCATAGATGGCTGGGTAAACACAAGAGAACAAATTTGCATCTAACACCTCCATACTCTGAAAGCTACATTATCTGAACAAATCTGAACAAAAAATATTTTAAACTACCTGCAAAAAAGGTAACTATATCTAAGGCTTAGTGCTACATACACTTTTTCCTTTTTTCATACCTTGCCTTGCGAACTTATTTTTTTTTAAATCGTGAGAGGAGGGCGGGTAAAAAATAAAATTTTATTTTTTTTATTTAGCAAATAATATTTGCCAAAAACATCCAGAGGAGAAAATAACATAGCCTATATGTCAAATTTTGAAAGTAATTTTAACTGTGGGAGAGTGCCCTAAATTGTGTTGTTACAATATGCGAGCAGAAATTATGGAGAACGATATCTTGTTATAACTTAGATCTTAGTGGTGGTGGATCCCTTTTTTAGTTGACTGGAATTGGATGGAATGAAACTGAAAAAATAAAATGCATTTATTAGTGCAACGAGGCCTAAGTAGGGGTCCACTTTTAAGTTCTTATTCCCCTTGACTTGTTTTACAGTCTGTCTACAAGCCGAATACCCACCTAGCCTCATCCTAGCTATAGCTAGGCCAGGCCCTATCTATTAATTATACTAACTAGGCCTAGTAGGCTAGCCTAGCCTCCCCCTCCTCCTGTCCTGTGGCCCTACCAGGCTAAGCCTAGGCTAGACCTTATCAATTAATTGAAAAACACTGCTTGAATATAAACACTATTCTCCACAATTCATCAATATAAAATAATAACTCAATCAAATATACAAACAATTACTGGCACAAATCAAATAACAACTGCAATATAAACCTTTCACTGCATTCCGCCATATTGTTTTTAGTTTCAGGGTTGTTGCTATCGAAATCTTGGGTTATTGTTTAAAAAAAAATAGCTTTCAAACATTCAAACAATTAACTCGAAAATGGGCATACGTTGGGCCATAGAAAGACAATCTTTGAGTCTTAGATATATAATTTGCATTTCCCACTATTATAATAAATGATTACACAAATTGCGCCTAATGAACTTCTAAAACAATCTTTAAAATATAAAATAAATTTTTCAATTACTGATCGGGAACCGGAATCCAAAAAGATTGCAAAAACCGCCCTCACTCAGTGCCTTCAATTAGCTACCGCAACAACAACAGAGAGGCCCGGGAAAATTATATTTTTTAAATTAATGGGTGTAATGAACGCTCTAATTTTGATATAGCCAAACATTTCCGACGTATGATGAACACACTGTTTTATAAACAGAATAAATGGTTTGTAAACAACTAGGCCTAGATAAGTGTAGGCCTAGCCTAGGTCTATGGTGGTAGGCTAGGCTACTAGGCCTAGGCGCTAACTAAGAGAAGACTGATCGAGAGACCGGGTGACAGACGATCGGGTCCAATTTCAAAAATGTTCAAAATACGATCGTCTTTAATCGGAGTGTGTGCAAAGTTTCCTTTTCTTTTTTTTTTTCTTCTTTACGTTTGTTAGAATTTTTATTTAAATTTGTTAATTTTGATGATCATGTAGGCCAACAAGGTCACTTTTAACAATTTTAACGAGACTTTATCAAGATTTTCGCTGTTGTAAATTTGTTAAGAAACATCTTGTAAGTTTTAATTGTAATTAGGCCTATCTTAATAATTACATTTTATTTTTATTCTCGTTTTAATGTTTTTCCTTAATCCTTTTTAATTAACCTTTTTCCTTTGACCTTTTGCGATTTGTTGTCTGTACTGTTTGTTATTGAATTGATCGAATAAATGAATGAAATGAAACTCTTATTTTCTTTCTCTATGCTCTTTTTAAAATTAATTATTGAGTAGCCTAATTGGATTGTGAATAATTTGTAAATTTTGATGACCTTGTATATATAACTTTATTATTAATTAATTATATATATAGGCTGTAGTATACATTAATGTTTTTTCTTATATTGAACACCAAAAGGAAGGACCCATTCGCTGAACCATCTGTGCCTCCGTCACATTACCATCCATCTCTTCAGAAACCCCTGTCTTCAAACAACAAGCAAACTAAGATTCAAGCATCTACTGCAGATCAAAGCAAGCAGCAAAAGTTTAAAAATCCTACTGAAAAAGTCAGTCCAAAAGAAAAACAATTTCTTGATAAAGGACACTCATATATTACAAGAGAACTACCAACACATGACACGCCTTCCCCTGGCAACAATTCCTCAAAGTTTGATGAATCGTGGCCAAGCAGTGAACGTCCTTCGACTGTGGACAGCCCGCATGACTTAAGTGCATATGTAGTAAATGACAACAAAGCCTCTGGTGCTCCTCCCAAGTTATCTTCATTAGCATATAGCAAGAGCGTACCTTCTGAGAAGAATGCATGGAGTGTGGCATCAAGTTTAGCAGAGAGCAGGCATTCAAGATTAAATCCATCAAAAGTAAATTTAGTACAGGTGGGGGATCGACTTAATAATGTTTACATTATTTAAAGATTATCAAGTTAATTAATACTTAATTTTTTAATTTCCACATTGTTACTTGTTTGTGGGACTGGACTCCTCCACTTATTTTGATTTGTTGCTAGAGCACCTGCTTCACCGCATGGAAGTACCATCTCACCGAGCTCTGCCATCACTGTCCTTCCCCCAGGTTGTCTTTAGCTTTCCTCTTTAACAAGGGCACATCTCGGAGCAATATGTAATCCTTTCACTGGGCATTCTTAGGGCGTGACTGAGCCAACTTAAGTCTTCTCATCTTAATTTCAAGGGATAGGTACAGCCTCTCATCTTGTGCAGGTCATTATAATAGTCCAGTATTTGATGTGATACATACATTAAAATCACACATTAGACAATTCAGTATGCAGCATTTCATTGGAGCAGAAATCTTGAATCTTGAATCTGTAGTAGACTACTATTCAATGTGATTCTTTTTACAAATTGCTACATATACCAGTACTCGAGTACTGTAGGCCTACTGTAATTGTCACTGATTATGAGAACTGGCTTTCTCGAAACAAGTCTGCTTTAACATTAAGGCTTGCGTCTTGTTTATTAAATGCCTTGTTCTTTTTGTCTTATGTAAATTCACAGTAGTTTTTCTTTAATACAATTTTTGCACATACTAGAGAAGTATGCAAGGACATCCCACTTCCAGCCAATCAGCAGCTTGGAGTTCTCGAAATGCAGTGAGGAAGAAACCAGAAGGATCAACCATTGCAAAGTAAATTATATACCATATTACTTTGAAAATAATTGCTGACTACATTCCAAGAACTTATATTAAACAATTTTCTTTTGTATAAAAAATGATTTTAAACAGACTTGAAGGTTGCTTTTGGCATATCTGACCAAAATATCATGTGTCTTTCCATGTATGTTAAAGGTCAGACAATGCTGTACTTTGACAAGAGATTAGATTATACATTTACAACTTTTGTTATATCTTTCTTAATTGTGTTTATTTTATAATAAGGTATATAGAGCGATTCAGATATGGAGAACCCAGTAGCAGAGAAGTCAGAGAACGTGAGAAGATTTCTGGTAAGGCTCAAGATTTTTGGTGGCTTCAAAGTGACTCATCAGTCATCCAGACATCAACACCAACTGATGTAGACTCCCAAATAAGTAGAAGAATTCCAACAAGGCTTGCAAGCTCTCCGATGAAGGCCTCCAGTGGTTCTAAAGCATCAGAGATCCATTATGAGGTAATTTAAACTACCCCACTCATGAAAAATCTTCAGATATTAAAGATTCTGTTGTGAAAGTCATAACAATTTCAAAATTATATATTATCTTAATATTTTTTATTTATGTTATGTTTTTACCATTGTTCTGTTTAAAGAAAAGCGTTATCTTAGATATCAACAATGATTTATGTATTTTACTTTTTTATGAAAAAAAATATATCGTGGTAAGGTAAATGTAACTACAGCTGTATTTTAGTCATCTATTTCTTGAATAACACTAATAGTCATTTTATATACTTTACAAATTCTTCTAATAGAGTGACTCAAGTTCGTTTGTAGTCCCTGATTCAGCTGACAGACACACAACAGATATTCAACGAAGAGCAAACGCCTTAATCGAGAGAAGGTACATAATTCTTTTTTTTTAATTGATAACACTGTTTATGGGTAGTATGCCCAGTACTGAAAAACAAGTGTTGTATGAAACAATGGTTGGATCTTTCCTAAAATACAAAATTAGTGATAGTTGAAATTTAAATGTATGATAAGCACCCAGGTTAATTTGTCAAATTACGGAGTACCATACAGATGATTATAATGAATAACCCAGGGTAAACCTTAGATTTCAAACAACACTAATTCCATCAATGGTTTGTATTCAATCCTTGAAATAACTGGATGTTATTTTATTTCCCTTTGTTTTTTTCTCAGTGAATCCAGTTTTACAAATGATACCAGTATTACTTCTGAGCCAAGCACTCTTTTCCCCAGCCAACCACCTCCCCCAGTGTTGAGGCATTTCCCAACTAATGTACCAACACAATATACCAAAAGTAAGTGAGAATATATAATTAGTTGAAATAGAAACAAATAAATTTTTTAAAACCATTTTTAACAAAGGTGTAACCCAATCAGTGTCAGACTGGATGTTGTCCCACTGGACTTTTTTCGATAAAACTAAGTGAGACACTGGTTAGTTTTACTGTAATTAGTACCGTGCGAACAGCCCAGGAAACTAACCTCTCAAGAAAACTTAACAAGACGAGTGGTTAGTTTAACCCACAAAAGCTGACCAGTTTAGTTTTACCGAGCTGAATAAGTCCAATGTAAACATGCGTCTTCCTGAGTCATTCAAGCATTATTACTCAATGGATGATGTCATAGACTACCGCTCTCAATAGTTAGTTTTCATGGCTTTGTTAGTCTAAACAAATTAAAGTGCGGACAGCTGTAAGATTTACCCAAATTTTCCCTTTTTTTCTGCGATTCTGGCTTTAGTGAAGTTGTTGAGGGTCGTGATAAAAATGCTGATATTTTGACAGGATTTGAATGTGGAAGGCAAGCATCTGAACCAACAAAATATTGGTCCACACCTGTATATGCAATATTATATATAAAATAATTACTGTAATTTTTATTTTATTTACACACCACCTTCAATTTGTTTTCATTGAAAGGGACTCATTTCCAAATGCAGTCAGGTATGCCAGGTGGTTTTAAGACAGCAACAAGGAATACTACCCCAGAGGATGACATTCTGTACCAGTGGCGTCTGCGCCGTAAGCTAGAGCAAGCCAGAGATAAATCTGCAAAATTTACAGGGCCATTATCTGGACTTTCTTCTGGCACCAACATGAAGCCTCAGCAGTTTGTAAGAAATCATCAATATATTGGTTTTAAAATTTTTGTAACAGTATATTTTATATATACTAATTCATAGTTTTTCTTTTTCATAATTTTGTAAAGTGTTGTGGTTGGCTTTTGAAAAAATAGTGAATGAAAATGTAGTATTGCTTGCAATATTCTTCTGGACTTGGACACTATATCCAGTATATATATCCAGAGAGTCTGGTTAAAGTGTACTCAAACTGGCAAAATTTAAATGATATTATAAAAATACCTATTTATAAACAATATGTAAATTTGCTGTTGTCTTTTTGACATTTTTTTTCAGTTTGTAGTTTTTCCTTCCTTTATTCAGGCAACTACCGGACTTTTAACCAATCAATCAGGCCACCGGTCCACAAGGCCATAAATGTATCAACAATAGCCTGATCAGTACATAATATTAGATACGACTTTCTCTTTTTTAATATTGAAAGTAACGTTAAAAGGAACTTACTGTAGATAACCTCTGAGTATCTTTGAATAATCTTAGGAATTTATAATAATTTAGGTTTGTTCAGATGAATGAAGGAAGGACACTGTGCAAATTAAAGAAAAATGATACTCATCTTCTTTACCGCTTGTGACAGCAAAACAGCAAGTCATTTCTAGTCTAAAATACAGTATAAATAATTTTCATCTCGTAGGAAAGAAGCAGTCAAGATGTAGACTCCAAATTGTCAGAATTTCGAGAAAGGTTAAGGCATCGTGAACAGTTAAGTACATTGATATCGCATCCAGTGGAGAACAAGACTTGTTTGGGTATGCCTGATGTAAAAAATGCAGGAAATGATCCAATACCTCAAACTATTGCTACACAAACAAATGGAATTTTAGATGAAAGACCGGAATTTGATCAATATCACGATAATGAACCAAGAATAGAAGCAAATTTTGCCCAAGCTGACGTTACCAGGGATGCTGTATCGGTCAGGATTTCAAGTCCTAAACATTCATATCCCCTGAAGTCTAAACAAGGTGTGCTGCCTCATTTGCATATGTCATGTGACATCATACCATGTCATGATGCTGAACATCACAAAGGTACAAGGGACAGAGGACAAAATCAGGATGACTTGCAAGATCCATATTTAAGAGTAAAGCCACAAAAGTTGGATTATAGTGACTATGAGGAGGAACAAAGAAACGAAAGTGCTCCAATCGATAAATATGATCATATAGGAAAGAGAGATGGAACTCAAAGAAAGTCACTTCCAAAATCAGAACAGGATCAAGCTATGGCAATAGTGAAGGAAGCTCAGACACAAGCAAGAGAGAAGTCTGTCGATAAAGAACCTGAGAATACCACTGTCAATGCTGCAAGTAGGACATCACCAATATCCTCTACCATTGGGAAGGTGAGATACTGCATGTTAATTGTACAGAATGTAGAAACAATAAATGACCAGGTTAAAATAATGTTTTGGCATGGTGGTCTTTAGTGTGAGTACCGTATATACTCACATATAAGATGACCCCCCCCCCACTATTTCTTGGTCTTGAATTCATACTTTTTTCTGCTTTTTAAGGTTGTGATACTTCATCTATCTGGCTAAAAACGGTGCCAAATGCAAGGTTAATCTTCCATATAATACCATTCTATGAGTTTTTAAATGTTATCAAAATTTTATTCCCCATTTTTAAAATTGTGTCAATTCATACTAGCATTTAATAGCTTCACTGCAGTAGTAAATTCGCGTGTTACGGACAATCCACACGGAAGACCAACATAATTTAAACAAACTAAAATATGTATGTCATAAGATCCTACAACCCTATGTTTTTCGATCATAATTTGCTATTTTACGTCTCATCTTGTACGCGAGTATATATGGTTTTATTGGAAACCAGATTAAAAATTCATTGTCATATTCAACATAAACTGGGTTCCAGTCCCTAATAAATCTATTTTGAAACCAATGGCGTTCCATATTACTTTTTGCATGGCATTTCTAATTCCCATCTAAATTCAACAACATAACAAAAACAGACGCTGGTGGCGCTCTCCGATATTATCTAACTCGACAAAAAGTCAATAATTTGTGGCAAGTCTAATCTCACCACTGCATTAAATTTTGATTCTAAAAAGTGATTGTATTCATTTTAGGTTGTTAGTGATCGACTTTTTTCAACACCTCAACAAAGCGTTTCACCCTGTTCTAGTCTACCCAGCATGCATTCGTCTGCTATTGAGGAAGATCTAGGGAACGAGGTGCTACAGGAAGTTGAGAGTAAGTCCTGCCACGTGTACAGTTTGAGTCAATTATTACTTTTGCTGAACTATTCTTAGATTGTAATTTTGTTTTTGTTCCTCTTTCTTTAGTCTCTGATGACAACAGCAGTGGTGAATTCTCAGATGATGACCTGTTGCAAGTTCTTCGTCGAAAACGTGAAATATTTGAGGATGAGTTGCGGCAGATTGACCAGAGACTAGCAGAGTTTGAAAATTGAAGTATATATTAATATTAATTTATAAAATGTATATGAAAAAGACAATCAGATATGTTATTTCTTGTCTATAATTTTTTTGATAAATTACTGAGAAATAAATTGTGACTTAGAACCACAAAATATGCTTTATTGCATCTTGTGTTTATGTTAATAGTGGGGAAAGCACGTTTTATATGATTAATATTTTTTTCTAATTTATTTTACATCTTTTAGTGTTAGAATTTTATTCAAGGCATTCCATAGGCTATGTTGAGACACAGGGTTTACGCTAGTGTAAAGCTAGTACAGTTAAACTTGCCTAAAGCCTCAATCGCACTGGATTAAATTTTGGGAATATGTAACTGTCATCACGGTAAACATTTCTAGGGTAAATGTTACCGTCAATCGCACTTGGACTTTTCAACTCGGTTAGTTTTCCTGAGTAGTGTAAAATTAACTATTGAGAGCGGTACATTTTGACCCGTAACATGACCCGTACTGACATGACCTACAGCCTTCTGATCCCTTGATCTGTTTCGCGCTGAAATCGTTGAAAAAATCAAGAAAAATGTCATTCCATACCATACTACTATTTAAGGGAAAGTAATTTAACCAACCTGTGGTTGTTCGCATTGGATTTTCCAGGCTGGTCAAAGAGTAGCTCAGTAGGAATTCCTGAGTAAATTTCACTCCCGAAAACTAACCGGCGGCGACAGTCAAGTTAACCGAGCGGGACTATCCACACTGGATTTTTTCGGTCAAACTTACCAACAAGACGGTTACTTTTACTGAAATAAATCCAGTGCGATTGAGGCTTTAGTCAAATAATTTCTTAGTCCATCTTAAGTCCATCTTATTTTACATGCCAAATTGTTATGTTTCTATTAATAAACAATCTGAAAGTCGAACAATATTTCACTGGCATTTTGGATTTGACTTAGCCAAGCTCAACTGTAATGATAATCTACCAACAGACCACCCCAGATTACCATTCATCATTGATTTACTACAGTCGTGCATCAATGATTTTGAACAGGATTTGACCAATCACAAAAAGCCTAGATGTCAACAGTAAATGAAATGCACAAATACATACACTAGCATTACATTAATCGCCCACTTTGAAAATCTCGCTAGTTACGCCTCGAATTAATGAACGCCCAGCGTCCTCTCAAGTATGAAAATGGCCGTAATATAAAGTCCAAAAAATAGAAAATTTAGAAAACCATGGTGGGGCTGGGCCCACATTCTGTAAAATTACCTCCCAGTCCTACTCCTTTTGCATTCCTCATATCCTGACCATTCTTGCTATTCCTTTGCCCTTTGTTGTATTACAACATCAGACAAATTAGATACTGTGTTATGTTAAGGCCAACTCAGACAGCGTCGGCCGATGCAGCCTGACCCGATTTATCGTCAGAGACAGTCTTAAGCCGTCGTGAGAAATATTAAACATGTTTAATAATATTCTACTACACGACTGCCCCCGACGCACACCATCGCGTCTGCGTTTAACTCACACAGACCCGATGCGACAACAAATTGCGTCGGGCTGCGTCGTACGACGCTGTCTGAGTTGGCCTTTAGGCTGAACTATTATTATTCGTTCCACTTATACAGTATTTTAAAATAAGGTGTACATTATGACAGTGGTATTAGCACATGTTTGCCTTTTGGTGAAGCTAGACTTGTGTGAGACCATCAATAAAACCCGTATAATATTAATGTTTTCATCTTTTTTTTTTATTTACTTTAATAACAAGTGTGTAATTACACTATTTACAATCCTTCCATTTAAGTCTGTTATTTTAGGTTATGACATTATTATAGAGATACACATGTTTCTATTAGCTATGCACAAAACTATATGGAATACTATTCCAAAAAGTTCATCCATAAACACTAATGAATATTTATACTATCATATGCATATCCATACTCTCACATGAAATTAGTAGACTCCCTGTCTCAACTCCCTCTTAGAATTTGAAGTGAGTGGAACAGCGACAACACTCCAATCCAGTACACTTGTGATCAACATGAATCATGTAAAAATATGATTTGGCAAGTTGAGGTGGAAGAAGCCACTTCTAGAAATCTGGTTTTTAATTAGCTTTCTCAACATATGTTTACTTGGTGTATATTTCTGTGTATAATGATACCCATGAAACATGTGACATGATAGTCATTATGCCATCACATAATGACCATATATACCACGTGATACTACTCCGTTGCTATTGTTGCAAAAAGAATTCAACCGGATGCCATTTTCTTCACTGACAAACCATTTATTAAGATGTATCTTAATTTTTCTTTGTAAATTTTAATTGATGATTAAATGTGTGGTTGATAACTAATATAATGCGAGCTTTTGTGTTTTTAGTACATTTTGATGGTAAAATATTAGATTTTAAAATGCCTATTCCAGAAAGCTTATGAAGTCATTCAGGAGTAATGAACGGTAACTAACGTGTTGACAACAGAGCGCGCCACCTGGCGTCCTGACGACACGACTGTGGTACTTTATAGGCACATCATGACTATCTCATACTGTACATACTGTATGGTAAATGACTATGATGGCCATAGAAACGCTCGCAAGATTTCCTGGAAACTTGGGCCGCTGGGTTGACTGAGCATTGGAACACTTTTTACATCTTGTGAGAATCGCAATGGAAGTGCGATTTGCAATTGCGCTAGAATGAAAATTACATTTGTGCTTCCAAACACGCGTGTTTGTTACTTTGATGATGTAGCAATTCTTTCACTTACAACAAATGCGTAGACCTACTAAACAAAAAACTTCTTCAAGAAAGCAAATTAAAACTTTAGTAGGACATGTCTAAAGGCATCAAATGAGATACTAAATGTTAGTTAATACACTCAGAGGTCACCTCAGACCCAACCGCTGTTTTTCTCTTGTTTTCTTCTTAGCAGTTTCTATATTTCGTTCTTTCCACATGCTCTTCCTTAGTTTGATTGGTCGATTACCAACATACTTCCCTGAAAGAAAGTAATTATTATATTAGATGAAATAATCAACGCATTTTATATTTGCTTGCAAGTGAAAATCAAAATAGAAAATTGTTACTTTTTAAGGTTTTTTTTTTTTACCTTTGCTTATTTATTATTATTGATTATATCGAATACAAATATTCTGATCACTTTTATTATCTTAATTACTGATTTGTTTTTCTGCCTTTATACTATATTTTGATTTTCTTGATTAGTTTGTTTTATATTATTGATATGGGCATAAACTGGGAGAAGAGGACGGGTGGCAAATTCTTTTAGCTAAATGGGTTATAAGTAAAAAAAAAATCAATTGAGTTTTCATTTAAATAGGGCTGTGATTTAGTTTCACATTCTCAATTTTCACATCCTGAAGCCAAAAAATGCCGACACCCCCTCATCTCACTCCCTTCTGATTGAACATTTCAATTATTAGTATATTATTAATATTATTATCTTGATTTTAATTACTTACCATTCATCTCTCTCATTGCTTGAACAAAATCATTGGGGTCCTTGAAACTCACAAACCCATAGCCTTTAGATTTACCATTCCTCTTATCACGCACAACCTACAAAATTGTAAAGAAAGCGAAGTTAATCTATCATTACAAGCGGAGCCATGGAATTAGCCCATGGTGGAATTAGCCCATGGTAGAAACTACTGGAGTACCTGCTTGTGGTCGGGGTCACAGCGATGCTCTTTATATTATCAGGGTCAGTCGTCCATTTGAAATTTTTGACAGTCACGATGATTGAGCTTTGAAGAGCACTGTTGTATCGATGCACTGCGATCACCTTTTTAGATGGATACCAGCGTAAAACAAATAGTAGCTTAGCTCAGTTGGCTAATTTGGTGATAGCCACTGTGTGTGCACTGAAGCGTGGAGATCTCTAGGTCCCAGGTTCAATTCCCATCTCTGCCTCTCCTTGTGTTTAAGCTGGAGGGCTGAAATAAAAGTTACATAGCGCACCGTCTTTTGGATGAGACGTTTAAGCCGATGGACCTGTGTGCATTTATGGCCCATGTGCACGTTAAAGAACACAGTAGGGGATTGTCTCCCGGTGTACTGCTAAATCACCACCAAAAGGACCTCACTGGAAATAAGCCTACAGTACTTCTAGACTTTCGTGGGCTATCCTTGGTGTTTACACCAAATCCAATTCAATCCAATCCACCTTTACATGAACGCCATAGTCTAAAATAGACACAATTGGCAACCAGAGTCGAGTGATGTTGGTACAAATTATAAACAGAGACAGCAAGCTACGCTGACTACTGTAAAACCTCGAAAATTTGGGGAATTAGTAGTATAAAACAATAAATGGGGCCACTATAACATCAATCTGTATCATGGAGTGTATTAACCGGCATTAAATCACCTAAACTACTGTATAAACCAATTTATTTTGCTTTTGCTTCTTTGAAATTCATGTACGGTGTTATGTACTGTACTATCATGAAAAGAAGCCCTGGGCCTCTTTTCGAAGCTAATTTTGCAAACTGAAGAGGTGGGCTTCAATTCGAGGTTTTAGAGTATGTGATAGAATAGAAATATTTTGATGTGAAGTATATTAAGGATAATATGTCATGTTGGTGAATTGCTCAAGGGACTAACAGCTTTCAGAAGACGATACACATCCAGCTGAAAAACAAGATCAGCAATTAGAATTGACCAAGGGAGCAAAAAATTGAAAGGATCTTCATGATTTAGCCTGCACACAGTAGCTACGATCAAGCTGCTCTAAAGGAAAATTCATGGCTTATAGACTGAAAGGCACATCATGAAAAATGTGGTTAAAATTCTAGTGAACTACTCAAAATCACTTGCAAATTTTACTTGGGGACATCATGCTAATGTTCCAAAAGATACTGGCCCCATTTTTTTCACAAGGAGTTAAGTTAATATCTATAAGAACCAATCTTTGCCTTTTAGAAGAAGACCGGTAGAGATTTTACTGGAATGAAAATTTTATCACTTAAGTCATATCACTAAAAAAAAATAATAAAAATAATAATATAAACAAGTTCTATATCATCAATGTATATAATCACATGAACCAACCTTTGCCTTCAAAAAAGATGGATATCGATTGAAAGCCTTCGTCAAGGTGTCATCATTCACCTCATTTCCTAAGTCACCACAGAAAATTCTGAAGTCATCTGTAAATTGAATGATAAAAATACTGTAATAATTAAAGTAATGTAAGGTTCATCCATGACCCCTCCCCCTTAAAAAAGACACCAAGATATTGTACAGCAGTAATGCGATAGTGCCATTGCAATGTTACAAATGATTATGATTACATTGTCCAGAAATGGGCAAAAAATTGTTAAAAAAGACGTACATAACAGCTGAACAAAGGGCGGATGAACTTCTCAGATTAAACAACTATACTTAGTTTACGGGGTATGCATAGTTCATAGGGATTTAAACTCAAAACAAAGGTCTTGCGCATAGAGACTTTATGCATTATGTGCTCTATATAACCATACTTATTATTACTATTATTATTGTACTACAGCATCAGTACGATTCCACAAGACTCCAATTTTCCTGGTGATACGAACAAGAACCATGTGACAAAAATATGACATTTGTGGCATCTTAGTGCATTGTAGCAAATTCTTGGCTTGTTTTATTAGCTGTGGCATCTACGGATGAGTATGAATTAATAAAAAAACAGTAACACCATATCATGATTATCATGACAATGTTACCTATGCGCTCTCTTTTGGCAGTCTGCAGGGGCCCCAACCTATCGGCGTCCAAAGGGTCTCTGACGCACCTACATTAAGGGCCACAATGGGACCTGGCTCTGAATGTTGATTGCCACAAACTGCTAAGTACAGTAATATAATCCCAAACACTTTTGTTTGAATTTCACAAGACAGATGATTTCTAATTCTTGGAAATCTTCTATAGTGTATTTGTTAATAATAAAGCATCCATTATATTTGTTGACATTATAATAACCTAAAATAATGACTCTGGCAACCAAGCTTTTCCCCTTGAAACCCTACCACCAGAACCTTGGTGCTCTAGCAGCGAAAAAGCTTACAAGGGTCCTGATCTTATGAAGTCACTGGCCCCAAGCCCCGGCGTTACGTCACTGATTTGAATGTTACAACGCTCATATGTTGCTGCTGTGTAAATAAAATATCACTTACTTTGGTTCCACTCTTGTAAACTGTCATCCTCCCAGGTCTGGCCAGCTGCTGTACGGAGTACCTTCTTCTTCTTAGTCTTTTTTGGTACAGGCACAGCTTCTTGGCCTGCCATTGCAGAATTTTGTTGATGATGCTGCTGATGCTGATGCTGCATTATCGCGTGTGGTTGATACATCATAGGGTCAATGACTGGTGTATGACTTTGTATGGGTTTTTGTGGTACTATCAACCAAAACAAAAACAACATCTGTCAGAATCTTTTAAGAGACACAAACTATAGTACAAAGTGTAAACAATTCTGGCTATTGAATAAACAAAACAAATGTTTATTTAGCATCCTCTTTCAAATTAAAATTGGAAATAATGTGGCTGGCCCCTTGTGGACCAACATCAACTACAGTGCAGTGCCAACCAAAATATTGTAGCAGATCACAGATTGCTCTTAACCTTAAACTTAACTCGCATGTTGGGATTATTTGATCAATTCCAACCACAATGTCAATGATGACCTTGAACTGCGGTCTACAGCGCAGGTAGCAAAAATATTAATGTAATGGAATGTATTAATGTAGTATACAAAGGGCTTGAAGCTAGCACAGAAGTCTTTCATTTCATTTATTATTTCCAGGCAACATACTAAAAACGAATACAATACTGGTCTGAGGATTACCTAAAGGTAAACTATATTACTATCGAGAGGCTTTCCGAACAAAAATACAGGTCAAAACCTTACATTAAAACAATGACTTTTATACAAAATTTTAAATTACATAATTATTATGAAAATACAAATATTTACAAAAACTTTAATTCTCCCCTAAGGGTCTCTTCGTGTCTGAGCTACCCAGTAGACCAGTGCCAGATACTTTAGTCTGTCCACAACAGGGGCTGTATGGACCAGTACAGTGGGGTAACTCCCTACTTGTCTCGAAAGATGTACTGGGTTCTTTATATTGCACGAGCCAATTGTAAGCCTACAGTTTATAACCTTACCTGGGACCACAACAAGAACCATAGGGCGCATGCGGCTAGAATCAGCATAATATTATGGCTGTAAGTTGCGGCTGCAGCGTCCCACCTCAACCGCTCGGCTTTTGATTTGCAGCTTAGGTAAATGCTTAGCATGTTAAGGTGTTTAAGGTCAGCAATGAGAACGCAACAGAAAGAATGCACACATTCATACCAGCTTTATTTATTTCAGCAGTAGCTGAAGTTTCCACCGCTTTCTCCTTCTCTTCCACCTTTTCCTCGGTATTAGTGAACTTTACTGGTTTGGCCGCATATATTGTGGGTGCAGCTGATATTGTTTTTGGTTTCATGGGCTTCATAGACATCATTGGCATGGGCATCATACCACTTCGTTTGTCCATCATCACCCCAAGAGGAGGCATGGGTGGTGCACGCATCGGTCGAGACATACCTGGGTGTGAACCCTGTTGCAACTGATGTGGGATGAAGCTGGGTTTCACTGAAAAGTCAATTAAAATGGCAAAATTATTTTTGGACCTAAAAGATAGGATCATTCATTATAATTTATAGAGGACTTACCCGAATCTGAATCTGTTTATAGCCAGTCACATAACATAGGGTATACCATGGAAAACATTACAATGCGGTCAGTGTGAAAGTATAGGAAAAGGTAATGTTATGGTTTCGAAAACAACCACCCACTGTTAACATGAGAAATAAATGGCAAGAAAAGCCAATACGATTTTTCAAAATAGTGTTTATTTACTTAACCTTGCATTCTCCTAGCATTGTATGCTTTGAAATTTAAGTGATCTTTCATAAACCTTAGGTAGACTTAAAGTCATATAAACATATATATAAACAGGCCGTAGATGTGCAGGGACCTACAGTAGGCCTAACATCTGTCGAAAAATCTCAATGTTTGCGGCCAGTAGCCTTTGGAGCATTAGCAAAACGTTAAGGCAAAGTTCAATTTCCAATCAATTTCATATAGTTTACAGGGAATTATGATGATCTTTACAGCAATAACAAGCGGTGGCCACAATAGCAATCTCTATGTAAAACACCGCTGTGCCAGTCCATTGTTTACATTCAACACCAAAGTTAGGTCAAGGTTAGCCTCAACATGAAGTTTGGTTAGTTTCAAAGACAAAAAGTATTTAGGCTATATATATTTATTTATTTATTTTTTTTTTTGGTTTATTCCAATATAGAGATGGTAGGTTGTAAAGGAAAACTCCTATTCCAATTAGGATTCACCTATCATACATTCTGAAAAATCTGTATAGATTAAAAAAATTTTTTATAATATATTATTACTGTACTTGACTTGGTTCTTAACAATGATTATAAAAATAATTCAATTTAAAAGATTCAAAGATAATTGAAACATACACAAGATACAACCAGGCCAATTGACAAAGCGGTTAAGTGAGAAGATGATCATTGAGTGGGATGAAGAGACTGAGTTTTAAGAGAGCAAGGAAGACGGAAGCTTTAAATGCATGAAAATATTAATATTATTTAGCAATCTTAAGGTGACAGGTGTGCTAAATACAAAAAAAATATAAAATAAAATTACACCATTATTATAGAGGTGGGGGTTAGATTTAGAAAAACATATAAAAAATAAATGAAGAATGAAACTTACTCTGCCTAGGCCCAGGGATTCCAGGAGGTCCTCCCATGCGAATTCCTGGTGGTCCTCCCATACGAACTCCTGGCGGTCCTCCCATACGAACTCCTGGCGGTCCTCCTATACGAACTCCTGGCGGTCCACCCATTCTCATTCCAGGTGGCTGCATAGCAGGTGGGCCTGGAGCTCCTTGTCTGGGATGCCCAGATCCTTGCACCATTGGTGGCTGTGGTGGGAAGCCTGCTGGCCCAGTTACTCTGTAATTCATGGATTCATCCCCAGGGAACTTAGCCTGAGGGGCAGATGAGTTTGCCGCACCATTATGACTACTTGGTGCGAAAGGAAATTGAAAAGGTTTGGTGCTGTTGCTGCCACCACCACCACCTTGCAGTTGGTTAATGGCATCTGCATCACCTTGGGCATTGCGTCCAAGGATTTCCTCTTCAAACCTGAAAAGCAGATTGTGTGTTACAAAATAACATCAAATTCTGGCCCTAAGTGTTTTTATGCTGTTCTCCCTTGCCCAATGCTGCAAACGCACCGAACGACGATCGCAATGCTGGAACTTATGGGGGCGGAAACCCCTTACAGTGAACCACCAAATCCTATAATATAGGATAATAATAATTTCTCATGATGTGTTCGTTCTCAATTTCATTAGGCACATGCACGACCTCCTTGCATGCTCCTGTCCTGTAGAATACGGTACCCTAGAGAAAATTTTATTCCGTGCACAACCAGGGGTGGATCCAGAGATGTCCAAAGAGTGGGGGGGGGGCAAAAGTCGGGCCGATCGAGATAATACTACCCTAGGGGGTCCGAGAGCATGCCTTCCGAAATGTTTGCCTAAAAAATGAAATGAAATGTTTGTGTTTGTGTTTGTTTAGACGCCCAAAAATAACCACTGAGGCGTTGGGCGATCATTTTTTTTCTTTCTTTCTTTTTTTCTTCTTTTTTTTAACCTTCCAAAAGGGGGGGGGGGTGGGCAGGACCCCCTAAATCCGCCCCTTACTTAGCCCTAGTCTGAAGCCACGCTTCCAACTCGGTAGCCCAGGCCTCTTCTTTGGCAGCAAATTTGCCAAAGAAGAGATCGTCTGCCCCAAAAAAGTTGGGCTCGCCTAGGCGTCCGACAAGAAGGACAAAGCAAAGTCGGCCACATTCATGGCGAGAATGCCCTCCAGAGCCACGCTGGGTCCACAAAGGACAAAGCCTACTCAGCTGCCCCCTGTGCTTTGTTCAAAAACAAAGCCTGCAATCTGCAGTTGGCAGCACAGGGAATGGCACGGCGACTGTATTTACGGGGAACGGGAAAGCAGCTGCAAGATGCTGTGGAGCAGCAATCGGCTTATACTTTGCTTGCAAGTTCAACCAAAGAATGAGGTCCGGCTGGAGACCCACTACTAGAACTGGGCGGACGGGACACGCAGGAGCCGGCGGCCTCCACAGGCCCGCCCCCAAAACACCCTGGTGGGAGGGAGTCTAACTAAATCGTCGAAAATGGCAGGCATAGCTCAGGCAACGAGCTGGGAAAGATTGGAACTGTAAATTAACTCCTCATCCTCCGAATCAAAATGCTTGGACAAGTCATCCATATGCTACAGGCAGCTAGGGCCTAGGCTAGGCCTACAGTAGTAGTAGTAGGACCTACAGTATGCCTTTACATAAACGCCGTGGCTAGAGATACGGTACCGTATCGGAACTTCCGATTGCTAAAGGTACGGTAAATGATATTACGTCATGATTTGCCAACAGAAATGACCGACTCGATTTTGGCTTTTTGCAAAGTCAACGTCGCGATCATGAGAATCAAGTCATAAAACTTTTGGCCCATTTCATGTATTTCGAATGGGGCTTATCGCAATGTTTGGGTTAAAAATCCTTTCTGTTATTCTTGCTATTTTATGGTCTACCATAGAGAATGTTCTACTAAGGCTAGGCCTAGGGCCTAGCCCGAATACCCGCCTAGGGGCCTATATAGGCATACTACTAGGCTAGGCTTAGGCCTACTGTAGTGCTACTACTAAGTGTAGAGTCATTGCGGCCCTGAGTAGATTCAGCATCGGGTCGTTTCGGCCCTGAGTTGGTAGTTTTGTCATGCACTTCGGGAGCGGTGCATGGAGCGCCGAAGGTGCGGCCGCGAATAATAATTTAGAACAAGGTGGCTAAGCAGTAGACCGTTTGTTAAACATAAAAACTTAGGCTATACTGCAACATTATCATCAGATATTAACAATTCTTTTTAGTAGTATTTTATTATTATTATTGTTATTAATTATTATTATTATTATTATCAAAGAGTTCATTGCAGTATCAAATGATGTTCTTACGATTGGTTTGGAGGCACGTTTTTTTTTATCGTTTCCATACGATATATATTTGGATCATGTTTATAAATGCTTCAATAAAATTTAGATTATAAAATATGTAGGCTTATAGTTAATTTAGCGGATTAGTTTGTCATAAATTGTTTTTTGTTTCTCCATTTACATTACCAAGTGTTCTATTTATAACAATACATAGGCCAATATAAAATAAATTAAAATATACTGAATGATGTGATAATGAAAATAAAGCAAATATATTATTTTATTCATAAGGCCGACAAAATCACTCATTGCATAGAAATTAACTAAAGAAACGCCCACAAACAGGTTCCCACGGTACTCTTTAGGGCGAAGCAGACATCCTTTATACGCCGTCTTCAGGAACTTGTGGGGGCACTACCGCAAAAAGTGAAGTAGGTCAGAGGATAAAATTAGACTGGCTATTTTTAGGTGCAAACACATGCCATATGGCAGTGAATGTGTACGCGTGTGTTCACCTCTTGTCTATAGTTCCGATTAAAAAAAAAATATTCAACTTTGTTTAAGCTTTAATATTTCATTTACCGTATATGGACAGGGCCCCTGAGATGTCCGATCCTGAGATGTCCGACGGGGAAACGAAAATGGGGCCGATCGAAATAACATCGCCTTAAGTTAAGGGGGGATGTCCGCGAAATATTTGTTTTCTAGACAGACGCTCGAATGTAACCTCTGAGGCATTTTGGCCGATCAGTTTTTCCCCTTTTTAACTTCCTATTAAATTAAATTCCTAGCCAGGTTTCAACTAGGTTGAGGGCCTGGCAGTAACAGCAAGGAAAGGTCGGACCTAGGCCTAGAGATGTTCAGGCAGGCCTTCCTACCTGGCATAGTTAGGCATAGAGTTCGTCCGGCATTACTCTAGCTAGGCCCTCCGGCTTCGCAGGTTTCAGCTAAGGCAGGGGTACAAGGCCTAGGCATGGCTTCTACTATTAAAATAGTTTATTCTCGCTTGATGTCGCCAAATCTAGCAAAACTGCTATCCTTTTTAATTGCATAGGGCCTAGGGCTACAGAATATTAATCACAGCTTGTCAACAACACCCGCGAACGAACAAAATTTCTTCTTCGATCGTTGCTAAAACACACTCCAGCAGCAGTGCACTGAATGATGTCACGCATGCATTGGTGTTTCTATTGGCTAATCATTACGTAATATCATTTACCAGAAGCAGGTCAACTCGGCCACAAGTCAACTCGGCCCCAAGTCAACTCGGCCACAAATCAAACATATCTCAACCTAACCGAACGAACGCATTGTGCGAGATGCGAAGTACAAAAACTAATCTCACTAGAGAGGGCGTACTTTATTGACTGTATAAAGTATACATAAAAGCGAGAGTATTCCAGTGGATGCGATCTACAACCTCTGAATTTGCCTAGTAACGATGAATTCGTCGAGAAAATGGTAATATTTTATGAGAAATAGTCTGTATTTCTCATTTTTTTTATTCTTTTGCGTAAAACTATAAAATTCATGCCAATATTTTTCCATGATTTATAATAATTGGAGTAATGCAAATGCATATTTTCTAAAAAAAGTCAATTTTTAGTGAAATTTTGCAGGGAATGGGGCTTTAAATAAGCAATCGGAAGTTCCGATACGGTGCCGTATCTCTAGCCACAGCGTTACCTAGTAGGGCCTATATAAAAAGTGAGTCCACGTACGAAAAATGTATGGCGTCTTGGCAAAAATGTTCCAACGATGTCCAGTTACGCCATGAAATAATTATAACGCCATGATTTGGCCGTGGAGATTATGAAATTAGAATAGGATCCTAGGCCACCATGTTTGTAGACAAAACAGGTGGCAATGGAGCATTTTTTAGGCGAGTCGGATACACATTACGCTGGGCTAGACCGGCCTAATAATACTGATCTGTGTATAAAGTTCTGACATATCACACGTTTTTAATTACTTACCTGCTCATTTCCTCCTCCATTTCCTTCATCTTGTCCATGCCATACTGACTTGGCCGAGTGTCACTGTAATTATTTGCCATGTTTTTTTACATCCAATGTTCATTCGAATATTGAACGATGCAGCCACCCAGCCTACGATCTCACAACTCGTTTATGAGACTACATACTCTAGAGGGAGACAAACATTTTTTTTACTTTATATAATAATAATAATAATAATAATAATAATAATAATAATAATAATAATAATAATAATATTTCTTACTATGTCTGTTTGTACAACAGAACATAGGGCTTTTCCTCAATGCTTTAATGAAAAATGAAGTTGAAATTGCAACAAAAAACAAAAGTCGTTAAAAAGTTATGATAATAATAATAATACAGTAATAATAATAATAATAATAATAATAATACCAATAATAATAATAATAATAATAATAATAATAATAATAATAATAATTATTATTATTATAATTATAATATAATATCTCGAATTTATATGGCGCCAATTCCAAACATGATCAAAGGTGCAACGCATGTGAATAGCCACCGTAAAACAAATAGGTTTAAGCCGTGACTTAAAGTTGCAAATAGAGTTAGAAGAAGTTATGTTATTTGAAAGCTAGTTCCAGAAAAAGGAAGAAGCATAATAAGTGAACGAACATTGACCGTAGATAATTTTGGTACGGTATTTGGTGACAGGAAGGAGGCTATATATACTTATAAACATAATTGTTTACTTATTTTTTTAGACTTCCGTCAACATTTCCTTTCTTATTCTTGAAAGATTGCTTTGACCATAGGCGTAGATCCCGGGGGATGGGGGATATATCCCCCCAATATTCGACAAGGGGGGGGGGTGGTCTATTGGATCATCCCCAATATTTTGACAATGTATGGGATAAAATGGAGCTTTACAAACAAAAGACTGTCACAGAAATAATTTGCACTGTCTTATGCGCTTACAAAGATGAAAATTAGCATAATGTATTAATGTTGATAACACAATTATTTTATCTGGTACCAATCTAAGCTCTTCTTTCCCTAGATGTTAGATGTGCTTGCAAAGAGAGCCACATTTCACACTGAAGGGTGTGTACGACATCAGTAATGTTATGTCAATTCCAAGAATGTTTAAGGTTATATCAGTTGATGAGGAATTTATTGATTAGGCCTATAATAGCAAATTGCATCAATTTATTTTGAAGTTTCCAGCTTCAGAGGTGGGGGGCACATCCCCTGTCCGCACAATGGCACACATTGGCGCTAACACCAGGCGCGTAACAGGGGTCTTGAGTCAGAGTGGGTATTTTTTTTAAATATTTTTTTTTAATTTTTTATTTCAACCATCTTTAAAGAGGGTACCGTAACCCTTCTAATTTAGCCCAGTAGGTTAACTGATATTCAGGGGCCCTCTTTAATAAAATTAAAGAACAGTACAAACAGCGTCATTGCAACATCATAATAATAATAATAATAATAATAATAATAATAATAATAATAATAATAATAATAATAATAATAATAATAATAATAATAATAATAATAATTATAACATACATATCTCATTTCCCGGTTAGTAATTTACCATACCCACCCCACCCCACCCCACTCCCCATATAGAAAACAATACGACATAGGGCTTATCTTATTGATAATATAGGCCACACACGTGTGTTTGAAACTAAATATAAGCATTTTCATCATGGTTTTATTTATTAAAAACATATTATTTCACCATCTATACACATTGAGGCCCTTCTTTTAGGTTAAAATTATCTATCTTAAATTTTTCTTTCTTGAGTTTGGGACTATTATGTGTTTAAATAACTTAAAAGGAAAAAACTAAAAAAGCCTTTAAAAATGCGCGCCAAGCGCGCAAAATATTTTTGTGTTTTTAATTCCAATTTCGTCGGAATTGATGAAAACTCCCTAAAATGTGCAATTTATAGAGGAAATTGGCCTACCGTAACAAAAAATTTGCGAATTTTAGGCACTTTCAGAGGATGCATTTGTCAAGGGGTGGGGAAAGATTTTCCAAAGATGGATATTTTCCCCTTGTCCCCCGGTGTTTTTAATTCTAATTTCGTTGGAATTGATCAAAACTCCCTAAAATGTGCAATTTTAGAGGAAATTGGGCCATATTAACAAGAAATGCGCCCGAAATTTGAGGTTTTTAGGCGCTTTCAGGGGATGAAAGGGCATTTATAAAGGGGTGGGGAAGATTTTTCAAAGATAGATATTTTCCCCTTGTCCCCCAGTAGTTACGCCATTGGGCAGCATAGATCAAAAGAGTTATGACAGTTTTTGAAGTGGAGAAGGGGTTTCAGTGTTTGAGTCTGGTCATTAGGATATCTTCCCTTTTTTTCTTGTCTTTATTTTTCTCTTCTCTTTTTCTTTCCTTTTCTTTTCATCTTCTTTCTCTTTCCCTCCCTCTCCCCTCTTTCTTTTCTCTTATTACCCAGCCCGATACGACTGCTTGGTCAGTCCGGTAAAAGCCACGCTCTAAATGACAAGACAGTTTGCAGGCAATACGAGAAAATTAACAAAGAAGATACAATAAAATATTCCACAGTGTAGCAAATTAGTTGTTTCGCCGTTTCATTCGACATTTTAAACGTTATTTATTACAAATACCATGGCCTACAAAGTATTGAAAATCAAATTATTCATTTACGCCTTCAAGAATATATTTGTTTACATATGTTTTAAAGATCTAAATGAAGTGAGCCTGGAAAAGTAATAGGCCTAAGCTATGTAGTACACCACGCTCATACATTGTTGAGCATCTAAAGGTGTAATCATCTGTCAAAAACTAATCATAATCCACAAAAGCCCGATCCCTATGATTTTATTTATGATAATCAGAAATGTCAATATCTGGAAATCACTCAAATACAAGTGCAAACTAGATCAAGAAGTGGTATTGCAATTAAATAACCAATAAGATAAGAGAAGTTTTAGTTACAATAAATTTAGTTAAAACTTTTGTAAATTAGGCTTAGTTGGGCGTCGTTCCATCTTTATTTTGAAAGGAGAAGATGTCAGTGGTTCATGAAAAAGTGTTGTTATTGAATGAATATGAACTTGTTGATTATTTTAATAACGCCGTCAAATCACACAATCATAGCAATATAAACAATAAAAGAGTTGATAACTGGTTGGTTTCTCTTTTTCTTTCTTTTCTTTTCTTTTTCTTATTTAGGCACGCAATACATGTGCCAAGGATTGTCAAGCGAATATATCACTGTCCTACTTGTAGGTGACAAACCCTTACACAAGACAAACATACACACACGATGCTTTACACAAACTAAATCTCAATATGAGATTCAGGGAGTGGAGTTGTTTTGGTCGTGAGAAAAAACCCTGCAACACTGAGAGGTATTGAACCCAGGACCCTGGGATTGGAAGACAAGCATCCTAACCACCAAGCTATTCAACACTCAAATGAACTGTCAAATATGTAAATTTGGCGTTTACAATACAATGATTATTATATGATGTGTATAAAGTCGACAACGAAATTGATAGTGGGTTCATAAAAACTGGAGTAACACGTCTGAAAGTTAATTGTAAATGTTCTACCGTAATACACTCTGACTTTAATTTCACATCACCTTTTGTGGCGTGGCAATTACTTGCCTGCAAGAGTAAAAAGACACAATTAATGCAATCGTGTGACACAGTTTTAATGACACGCCGTGTGACACACAGTTGTAATGACACATGGCACTGTTAGAAGCCCAAACAATCTTTAACATTCAAATTGTAAGTAGGTCTATAATTATAGCATTGCCTTTAGCCGGTTAAGAGTGTATATATTCAAATGTAAAGTACGACATTAGCCAAACTATTTCAATCGTTCAAACTATTTATTTGCTTTCGCCGCAATTGTGAGAAGATATTCAATGCGAAAATGGTAATGATATACAAATACAATTATAAGCTAACATAAGTATGTTTATTTACAAACTGTGAATGACATCATACGGTATAGCACATTACAGTATAATGTAAGTAATTAGTAAGTTAGTTAATTTTTCGGATGGCAACGAGAAAAAGTCTTTGCATAATATGCTTGACGAAAACTCTTGTGGAACAGTCCATAGATGACGGGGTTCAGTATTGAATTAGTTGAATGAAAATATAGTATGATATATAGATTAGCACAAATACGTGGCTGACCGACTGAATACATAAGGCTATAAAGCATACCGGGCAGTGTGCAAAGCACATATCCCATAAAAACAAGGCTTGTGATAACAGTAGATTTACTGGTTTTTTTACCTTCATAAGGAATCGGCGCCATGGCAGGCCTGATTGAATTTATCTGGCGTTTATGTCGTCGAGCCACAACAAAGATGCGAGTATGGATGGCAAAAAGGATTAGAAACATAAACACATATAAGGTGAGCATCAATTTACATGAAAGAGCATTGACCATTCTCTCCTTTCCGGCTATGGCATAAATGGCTGTGAAAAAAATTACCATCACCCAAACAACGACCAAACACTTTATGATAAATGTATTATCCACTCGTCGACTATGAAAATATGGAATAACAACTGCTGTGTAACGTTCCATTGCCAACAAAAGTTGGTGAAGGTAAGATAAATAAGTTGTCCCGGTGTAAAGTAAGCTTGCTACAAAGCATATGTTATTTTTTTTGCAGCTAGAAAAGACATCGTCAGAAATTGCTGCAAAAGAAAACAACGACGAATTCAATACATTCAATATCTCTACAATCGCTAGACTCGCCACTATAATGTAAGTCGGTTTTCTGAGGGCAGGGGTTTTTGCCACGCTCAAAATGACAAGACAGTTTGCAGGCAATACGAGAACATTAACAAAAAAAGCAGATACAATAAAAGATTCCACAGTGTAGCATATTAGTTGTTGCGCCGTTTCATTCGACATTGTAACGTTATTTATTACAAATACCATGGCCTACAATGTTCAGTAAAAAAGTCAAATTATTCATTTACCGGTACGCCTTCAAGGAAATCGCAGTAAACACGTGTTGTAAATCGTGATAGCTACACAACTAACTGACTGGATCAGAAATTTTCTTTTATAAATCATACGAACACGCCATCATGTGATTCACATACGTATTGATGACGTCATGAAACGTGTTGCTGAATAAATATGAAATTCTTGATTACATGAGTCGGATCATACTTAATTTCAACAACGCGCTTCAATTTCGACCTAAACAACGTTTTGAGAAACACGAGTTTTAAGTAGACTACTTCACAAATCCGTAAATTTCACTTTCAAGCTATTGAAATTGTAAATATTTGTTTGAATATGTTTTAAAGATAAAACATCAAACAATTCAAATGTTCAATTTATTTTTCTTTTTTTAACTTTCATTGAAAAACAGATTCGTATTACGACTTCTTTATAAGATGAATAAGTGTAGCCTACAGTGGCGGATCCAGCTTGCCGGGATGGGGGAGAGGGGTGGAAAGAGAGCCTTGCAGCAGCTAAATAAATCACTGCCCATGTGTGAAATCATTTAGGTAAGAAAGATATAAGTAGCACTGCACTGGAAATAAATCTGTATTTGTCCTGTTTTGTAATAGGTAGGGGACGCTGGGAAGAGAAATAAAAACTACGTTGTCAGTGTTACCCAGTAAAGTGACTTTAAGATAATTGATCCGGATGTAGTCAAGGCCAACGATGAAAAATCAAAAATGAAACATTCAAAAAATGATAATAGATCATTTAGAGATTTACCTAAACTAAAAGTGGGTGATAGGATAAGATATAATCATGAATCCAAATGTAGTGAGCCTGGAAAAGTAATAAGCTAGGCTACGTAGACACCACGCTCATACATTGTTGAGCATAAAGGTGCGATATACAGGCGTAATCTTCCGTCAAAAACTAATCATAATGCACAAAAGTTCGATCCTTCATGATAATCAGAAATGTCAGTATCTGGAAATCACTCAAATACAAGTACAAACTAGATTAACAAGTGGTATTGCAATTAAATAACCAATAGAAGATACAGAGAAGTTTTAGTTACAATAAATTTAGTTAAAATTTTTGTAAATTACGCTTAGTTGGGCATCGTTCCATCTTTATTTTAAAAGAAGATGTCATGTGGTTTACATACGTCCTGGCGTCACGAAAAAGTGTTGTTTTTGAATGAATATGAACTTGTTAATTACTTTAATAACGCCGTCAAATCACACAATCATGGCAATATAAACAATAAAAGAGTTGATAACTGCTTGGGTTCTCAAATAAACTGTCAAATATTTAAATTTGGCGTTTGCCATACAATGATTATTATAATTATGATGTGTATAAAAACGACAACGAAATTGATAGTGGGTTCATAAAACCGTAATACTATCTGACTTTAATTTCACATCACTTTTTGTGGCGTGGCAATTACTTGCCTGCAAGGGTGATACGACACAATTAATAAAATCGTGTGACACAGTTTTAATGACACGACGTGGGACATAGTTGTAATGACACATGGCACTGTTAAAAGCCCAAAAAATCTTTAATATTCAAATTGTAAGTAGGTCTATAATTATAGCATTGCCTCCAGCCGGTTAAGAGTGTATATATTCAAATGAAAAGTGCGACATTAGCCAAAATATTTCAATCGTTCAAACTATTTCTTTGCTTTCGTCGTAATTGTGAGAAGATATTCAATGCGAAAATGGTAATGATATATACAAATACAAATTTACGCTAACATAAGTATGTTATTTACAAACTTTGAATGACATCATAACTTATATTACTGTAATTGCCTTCCTAAAACTCTAAACAGATAATAGTTCAAGGCTCACGTACACCCTAGAATAACGTACAACATCCACAAATATAACAAGGCCCTTAACATAATGATAGTTGTGCATATTCCCTCCAACAATAACACCTGAAACCATGGACCTATTGTAGATCCATGCTGAAACTGTAAGTAGAACCAGTAAAATAGTTAATATAAACCCCCATAATAAAATAATAATAAAAAATCTCTAACAAAGAGTACACATCTCCATCCTTGATAAATGTTGAAGACTATTATTAGAAAAGTTTCTTCCAGATTGTCTGACACCTAAATATTTAAATACTGTACATAAGTTTGCTCATCTCCTTCAATATATGAAGCTTTAACATTAGACGTGATATATAGGGCTTACATGTAATCCTTGACATATACAACCATTATTCGTATAATTTTATAACTTTCAGCATTAAGGCACTATTTTCTTTAATTGTAAGATATTTGAACAAGCAAGATTCGTTTTTCAATTTAACATATTTATTGTAAAAGATGAATATCTGGAGAAATTTACTAACACATCAGCTTAAAGATAATACGTTAGTACGTATTGCAATATAAAACACAGAATATTACATTGATAATGTTTTTATCACTCGATTTAACAAGGTGGTAGCTGACATTGTATCGATTTTGCTGATGAGATATATGTGGATTCGTAGCCAATGAATCAAACTGTGTTTGGATTTAGCATCATTCTGTGATCTTCAAAGGCCTGATTAGACCTACTCTGCGATGTTACGAAGCTCCATTGCGGTACTTTCTTGACTTATTTGATTGCTGAACTTCTTAATCAGTGCCTTTCGCACCTGAAAATACAATTGGTACCGTAACGTAAACATTATTTATTGCTATTTTAATCAAACAATATTTCAGGAGGAATGAATTAAAAAAGCACCATTGTATCACCTCTTTACTGAAGGCGCATTGCGACAGCCAGATAAAGAATCCTTGCATGGAGTTGAATATGACATAAATGTATTTAAACGCTTCCCAATCACAAAAGACGATAATGACACCGAAAATCCACGAAAGTCCAACGGCTGGTGTAAGGAGCAGTATACCACTAAGCAGGGTTCTTAGACAAAAAATTATAAAATGTTTATATTTAAAATAAGTTTTTCATATTGATATTATATAACTTCTATTATTAACTTAAATGTGTAATACTGGTAGTTATGTATCATTTAAATACAAACTATAATTTTAACTCAAAGGTTTGTGAACATTTAAACAAAATCAAACCAGTGGCGGATTCAGAGGTAGTGAAAGGGACTCTCAACGCCCCTCTCTTAAGCGAAAAAAAACCCCCCAAAAAACATGTAATTTATAATTATGCTTATAGGGGATCCTCTAAACACCCCCACCTCCAACCATTGGTCTTCGATTAGCATTTTGAACCCCAACACAATAGATTCGGTCCAGCAAACATAATTCAAAATTTTCCAATTTTGTTGAATGAAATAGGAGGACATATTTGTGAATGCAAATTAAACTTATATTACAATAATTACAAGATTATTTTTTACGTTACACGAGATATCTAATAACAGTGTCTGATATAATTTATGGTTTAGAAAATCGATATTTGTAAACGGTGAACATAGATTATTTGTATTCAAGAACAACTAGGCCTATATTATATACTTTAGACTTAGACATGTTTTAATAAAAATATGACATAAATCGGCCTATTAAAACAGACTAACACCCTAATCAGGTTAAACATGGATAGTTAAACGAAAGTCTGAAAATTAAAAAGTAAAGGTAAAAGAGGTCTATTGGATGGACAATTAAAGAACTAATTTGATAAGAAAATACATGAATAACAAAATGCCTTGAAGTGATGAGAGTTGTTTCTAACCTGATTCGTTTGTAATTTTTCATTTCTTGTCCAGTTTGGTTCGGTAGTTGAGATTTCTTGAAGGTTATAAAGCCAATAACCACCAACTGTACGAGGACAATCTATGAAAATATATTACGTTTTGTGTACCATAATGAAATGTAGGAAAATTTGATATGTTGCAACTTCCGATTGTTCGAATAAATTTATAGAAAATTTTGCTGCAGTAACGAAACAGTTATAATAGAATATATTTCAGACAAGGCAGTTGAGACCATATGTGTTCCTGAGATATTGTAATAAGAAATTCTGTAGTAGTGTACAACACATGCTGATAATTACAGTTTTTCTGCTTTGTACTTTAGTTTATAAATTGTATTTTACCATACTAATCCTTCTCGTTATTAAGTGGATATGAAAATAAAAATTACCAGAAGGGTGAGACACACAAAAGAAACGAACGCCCATATGGCTCCCGATCCAATATCTAACCAACACCTAGAATTGAATTTAAAAAAACTGTAAATGTACTGCAAAAAGAAACTGTGTAAGGATAATAAATTTGTGCACACGTATGAATTTTCTATTGAAAACCTCAGCGTTCGTAATATGGTGAACTAATAAATAATAAACAAAACAATAAACTTGATACCTAAATGTGCAATTCACATCTTACCAGGTATTATTAACTGTGCCAAATTCATATAGAGATAAATACATTTTTAACTCTACTAAAATTAATAATAATATGATATTCAAATTTACTTATCAGATGCGTAATTTTGTCTTGTTATACCAACAGTCGTCCCAACGACAATGATGGGTCCAATCCAACCAATGTATCGACTGTACAAGAAGCGCCTGTCATGGTCAGCAAACGGATGTTTGATCTTCATGTATACGTCTGTTGACATGATCAACATCCACGAGAAAGCTACCAAGAGACTGTAGTGCAAGCACCCGGCAAGAAGACTGCATGCCATCTGTAAAGGAAGTATAATGGGTATGTCAAATATACCAAAAAACAAGAGTAAATGACGATACCAAAGATGAAGGTGGCATTGCAATTGCACGGTAGACGTTCTTAATTCAAAGCAAATTTCACATGAATTTTATTATTACCTTAATAATGACATTTTAAATATCTAAACATAGTTAGAGGTCAACTCAAAATTTACGGTTAAATGAACAGATTTTCCACATGTTGCAATTTAGAAATCTAAACAAGTTTATGAAGTTAAAATAGAAGAGCGAATGTTCATTTAGGTACCACAAAAGCTGTGAAGTGAAGTACAATATTTTTAGCGAGGAATGGTTGTGGCATTGATGATGTTTATAGGATAATGGAATGGGTATCGGGATGAGTAGTGGTAAAGTATGCCTAGTAGTTATGCACTGGTAATATTTTATAGACATATTTATTATTATTAACCATATTTTCTTACAAACATTTTTGAGTTATATAATTCGACGTACTGAGTTCTTTACATCAACCTCCAGGAGCAAAAAGAACAAATTGGCACAGAGTAGAGCAGTGACCAAATGGCGCAAAATTCTGTACCGGTCTGAGTTCCTCAAATCTCTAAGAAAAAAAAATACATTGGTGTTTGTAGTGGAGCAACAAGCCTTTGTTAAACATTTCTCTCATGAACGTAAAGGGCAACAAATTACCCTATTGGGAAGGCAATTGGTATGGCAACCTTTTGTTTGAATCATCGTCTCCGTTTCAGTATTATTTATTACATAGATATAGTAATTTACTTGTTACTCTACGTTTAACTTACTTGAAACAACAGATTATAACGAGAGTGATGATAAGAAAAACATTTGAAATTGAAACTCCAACGGTCGTAAACACTGACAAAGCCTTGTTATTTATCTGTAAAATATGAAACTACTGTATAAGAATTAGCTCGCCACAAAGAGCGCAATGTAGAAGCTCACATTCTCACGCATACATCAGAACCACCTTTAAAGTGTTTTTTTTTTCTATATTTGGTTACAGTTACATTAAAAATATTATTGCCATTCATTCTTACCTGTTTCGGTTTCATCAGAATGACGAATGACGTCATATGATTGCATATACACGTCACTCCGCTAACCATATAATCATTGCCATAGACTGTCACACAACCATCCGTTGACCAAAATCTTGAAGAAAATAAGCGGTGGTGTACATTGTAGACAGTTATTACTGTACATCATGTGCCATTAAACACAATAAACAATGTTTAACAAGTGTATTTAGAGTTGCCACCGTCGTCTTTGCTACTGCTACTGTTCTGCTACTGCAACTTTAACTGCCACTGTTATTGTTATTGTTTCTTATTTGTCATTTGTTATTGTGGGGTTCTTTTTATTGTAAATTGTTATTTTGGTGTTTGGTTACAGCTTCATTATTATCATCATTATCATCATCATCAACATCATTATCAACATTCCTTCCAATATTCTAAATAATTATTTCTTATTCTGCATAAATCGTCTAAATAGGCCCATGAATAATCTATGAAAAATCCAGGCAACGAAAAATTGTAAGGGGTAAGAAGTTGATTTTGATATTAAAATTATTTAAACGTGAATTTTTTAATAAGCGAAAAAAGCATGTTATTCATTGTAGAGGTTGGAGTGAGAAAACATAAAAATAACTTTTGATTTAATTTAACAATTTATTATGTTTGCAAAATAATTAAAGGATATAACTTACGCTGATTTGTCATTTATATCGTGTTTGTAGTGACATGCTGGAATGATATTCACGTCCGAATTATTTTCTGTAGAAACAACCTTGGATATTTTTTGGTAAAAAGAATCGAAATTTAAAATTAATATATGCTATTTCAAGCTGAAATACAACACATATATTTATCCGGATACACAGGGCAAAGGAAATCTTTTTTATTTTATGCGTGCTACACCAATCTGGATGAATATATTTAAGATAACTACTATAGGCCTAACATTATTTTCTTGTTAAAAATAAAATAAAAAATAAAAGAAACCGTAGGAAATTCAAGTTTACAATCAGTAGGTCTATTTCTATATTTTTGAATTATTAATAAATAAATAATAATAATAATTAAAACAACTTAAACCACAACAACCACAACAACAGCAACAGCAACAACAATAATAATAATAATAATAATAATAATAATAATAATAATAATAATAATAATAATAATAATAATAATAATAATAAGTAGACTTACTAAGTCCGTTTGTAAAAAATAAAAGAAAATATATAAAAAACAAAAATAAATCATACTATAGAGAAAATTATGACGAAAAATAAATATGCATGAAAACGAGGGAAAGCCAATACTAATGCTGCTGTTGATGCTGCTGCTGACAACAATAATGATGGTGATCATAGCGACGACGACGACGACGATGATGATGATGATGATGATGATGATGATGATGATGATGACGATGATGATGATGATGATGGTCATCATCATAATCACCGTATTAATAATAATATTAATACTAATGATGATGAGGATTATAAAATTATTTTTTGATACATGACACCAAAGCATTTTGTTTATTTACTTATATTTCATAAATTAAATTATTTGATAGACCTGCAGTTGATAGACCTACTTATATAATTCTGATTTCTAATAATGATGGTAAGGATCATCAAATTGATAATATTTATTTGATACATGACATTAAAGAATTTTGTTTACTTATTTATATTTTATACATAATATAATCTTATTTTTAGAATATATTTTATTTTAAAATAGTTCCAAGCATGTTTTACCTTAATAACTGGAAAGAAGATCTTACAGTTGATACTTATTTCATTCTGATTTCTGTCATGAATGTCAATGGTTACGATATCAGAAGCGCTTGGCAACTCATTTCCATTGCTGTGAAAATTGACATAATTGTTACGAACGGCTAAACATCAATACAAATCTAACCATACAAGATAACTCATTTAATTCTTTTTTATGTTTTGTTGATACAACCCATGTCTAACGAGATCGATAGGCTTAAGGCACATACCAAACATAGATATTGTTTTATCACAGCAGATTATACCATTTAAAAAAAAACTCAGATCAGATTATTGTGTTACAATCAAAGATACTAGAAACACAAGATAGAGTTCTTAACAGAAAAAAACTGTTTCACCGAAATGCATGGTGGGAATACAAACAATGGGGCGCCGCGTACGGCTGGATCTAAAAAACTACTGCCAGCGTTACAACTGTGAATATATAATCTCCTTTTGTGGAGGTTGAAATCGCTGCCATTATCCATAGATACAAACAAGTAGGCATTAATAAATCAAAACAATAAAATGACAGACACAAAAGCGCAGAATCGTTTGACCGAACTCTGATTAGTGATCAGGTAGTTTTCGCCGCACAACGTTAACCTTAACTTTAACGTTAGTACCCAACATGCAGCGCGATCATAGCTCCGCCCCTTTTTGTAAACAAATCGAAATACGCATTCGCAAACCAGTAACTAACGTACGTCAAGCACGTAAAATCCTGAAATTAACGTACTCCGCAACGCAAGATGAATAAATTATGACGTCATCCGTTAACGTTAAGGTTAACGTCGTGCTTCGAAAACTATCTATATGTACTAAGTTTTCCTCCATTACTGGAAAAAGAAGGGCGCAGTGTGCGTCTCGGTATACTTACCCAGAGCCATATATATACACCAACAGAAGGGCGCCCTGTACGTCGGGCCCAAGTATAGAAAACTTGCATTATAAAAAGAGAAGGGCGCCGCCTACGTCTGGCCCAATTTCCGCCTCATTTTTGTTATGCGAGTGCTCTATCTTGTATTTCTAGTATCTTTGGTTACAATTGAAACATTTTGTTATGCGGAACAATGGACCTTCTAGAGTTTTAATCAAACTTTACAAATGACCAATCAAAACAGTGCCAAATACGCGCGTGTTCACCAAACACACGTGTTGTCCCACGAACGCACGAGTTTACTTGAATTTACGCTATCTTTTTGTGGGAACTTAGCAACAATATCCAAGGGGGCGGGGCTTAATTAATGAATGGGCGACACAGCAGGAAACAATACACGAAAGAGAAAAACTCACGCCAAAAGCGAGAAAATTTTGAATCTATGCTTTGTATATCAGCCGATTGTCTATTATGATGATTGAAGGGTCACCTTTGAAAATAAACGAGAATGAAATCGAAGAAAAAAAAGGCTTACATAGTTTCCAGTGTGAAATCATAAAGCAATTCCAGACTTGCAACCAGTTTGAATGGTCCGTCTAAATAAAAACAACGGTTTTGCATTATAAGTGAACAATTGCGTATCAAACAACAACAACGACAACACAAACAGCATGAGCAACAACGGCATTATTATAATCTTTGTATATGAAGACGATCGATCTAGTGTGAACTAGTAGATGGTAAATATAGAGGGCGTCACGTAGTTACACACACAGTCTCTTGACACGTTAAGTTACAGTACCGAGTTTAATTCCCATCACAAGAGAAATAAACGTTATTGTTACCGTCATCAGTGTCCTTATTCTTATTTTTATTAACACCATAATCATCATTTTTATTATTATCATTATCATTATTATTCACAAATTTGCATTACATCAAGGAAGCATAATTGGAAATATCGTAACTCATAAAGCGACAGGGCTTAATTACAATGGTGTCCTCATGCATTTCATGTAATTAGAAATCAAATTTACAATAAGATATCAACCTTATTATTATCAGTGACGTAATACAATAGACTATTTAATAGTAGTTCTAAGATTTTGTTAATTAAAATTATACATACCTTCTTTAAGTGAACCAACAACAACTGATGTAGAGAACGTGACGCTATTAGGGTCAGATGTCAGATTAACATCGGATACTTCCGGTGTCTCTTCAACACACCTTATAC